GCCAATCTTTGTGCCTTTGCTGGGAGTGAAAACCTCTTTGTCTCTGTAGCAACTCGTAAACACACAAGAGGTTTTGTCCTTCTGGAACTGCTTCTGCTGAAGCTTGGTACTGTTTACAGTCCAGGCTGCCAACTTTAAAGAGTCGGGTGTGTAGTTGTGTACCTGAGGATGTCCAGCAGCCGCTGGGCTGAGCTGTGACTCAGTCTGACGTCTGAATTTAAAATATGGAGGATTCTGATGCAGGTCAGTGCAGCTTGGAACCTTCTTTACATTCATAGAAATCCATGGGTTTGAATTTGCATGGCAAACAAAGACGGCTTCAACCCCCCCCCCACTGTATCCAAACATACCAAGGAATAGAAAAGAAACCACAGTAATAAGTTTGGTTTTTCAATTTACACTGATGTTTGAGCCCATCAGCATTTAAATGAAAATATGCGACTGCAATCAAACCGAATAACATGAATGAGAGAGCAGCTAAAAATGTCAGAGGATAGATGTGACGCTCCGACTCAGACTGAAGACATTGACCAGAAAAATAATGACTTGCTTCTCAAATGACTTAAAATGCGCAAACGTTGTTTTATCGCCTATCGGCGCTGCTTTTTCTGGCAAACGTGAGCCGAGGCCGGGAAGCCTTGACGTGTCGTTGTTCTCCGCCTGGCTTGTTTTGTGGCCAGACGGCGCCGTCGGGTCAGAACGCTCAGATCGTCACGTCCGAATGTTAAACAGACGTTTCCATGTCAGACCTCAGCAGTGGCGCACAAAGGCAGCAGTCCGGGCATTTTGTTTGAAAGAGAAAAGAATCAGCTTATTCTTCATAGAAAGTAGAGCAGTTATTTATATTTATACGTTATACAAATGTAAGAATGAAAAAAAAAAAATATATATATATATATATATAAACAACATGCAGACAATGTTTGGTGCTTCTATCTGGAAAAGACTCTTACTGAGTTTTTAAATGATTCTCTGTTCATATATAAGCGCTCTTACAGAGGGTAGCAGTTCCTCTGAGTGCTCATTTAAAAATAAAAGAAAATATTAATGGAAGAACATTGTGTTTTTTAGCCTCGTTACACACATTGTAAAAATGGATTTTTTTTGTCTTTAAATGATGAACCCTCTCTTTGGATGCGCAGGACAAAACGCAGAACCAAGTGAAAGATTTAAACTCAGAACCAGATTATAGACACTAAACGACATAATGAGCAGAATAATCCCGAAATACAAATGACTGTCAGCACGGAAATAGTCCAGTCAACAAATCCACAGAGGATTTGGCATTTCTGACAGGCGAGGAGGGAAAAACATGCCAAACAGTTTCCTACAGGTGGAGAAAGCTGGGAAAATTCTTTAAAAATGATCCTCCACAAACTCAAACTATATAACAGGAGCCATTAAATTCCTTCTGTTGTAATGAGTGGTAAGCAGATATCTCAAGGAAAAGTGGACAAAAAAAAAAGAGAGACAATTTTAATTACATGGCTTCAAATAAGGATCTTAATAGATAAAATTTCTAAACATGAACTAAATGAGAGCAACCTCAGTGTGAACAGATATAATTATTATTAGAGCTTCTAAAAAGCAGACAGAAGCTGCTCTTCGTACGGCTGGCTGCTCAGTGTGCGCCCGGCGCCCAGCAAGCAGGACCTAACCCCAGTTATTTGGGATAATCCACAGATTGTAGGCAGCGAGCAGACATTTGTTTTATGACAGATGCCAGAGTCAGATAAACATTTAATTAGCAGCTCGTCAGCTGTGTCAAAGCTAATTACTCCGTCCTCAAGCCAGAGCCAAAACCCGACTTGCTCTTCTCCCAGCCGTCCTGTTGGCTGCTGCGGGGATGGGGTGGGGGCGCTGGAGGCAGCGAGGGTGGGGATGTTGGGGATGGTGGGGTTGGTGGGTGATGTAAGGTGAGGTCCGGACCAAACGCTCCTCGCTTCCTACGGCCTGAGCGAGCCGAGGAGTACGAGTCGGGCACAATTACAGGCTGAGACACCACCGTGCAATTTGTCAGCACATCTGTTGTGAAAATTAATGCTAGCAGCACTTTGGTTGTCACGGCAGCAAAGCTGTCTCCGTCAGCAGTGTGATGGGGATTTTAGGGACGGGTAGTGCAAACACTGTCTGGTTGTCAAGTCGTCACTGGAAGGAGTGGGGCAAAAACAGTAACACAGACCAGCCATGCGACGCCTCTGCTGGTACACGGGTAATGGATGACAGAACCAAAAGGAAAAAAAAATCACTTTTTCAGGCTTTGAGAGGAAACGTTGTTCTGCATCACACCAATTATGCACATGTGCTGCTGAGGGAAGTTATTATTAACCGTTGTTAACCCTCCGGGCCCCTTCATTTTGTGCTCCATCTGCGTTCCTTGGACAGTAAACAGTGATCTTTCAAGGGCTGCCATAGAAATACTATGTGTGGTCATGCTTTTGCAACATTTTCTATGAATGTAATTTGTACCTTACACACCAAAAATATTCATGAAATTTGTACCCTGTAAATGCCTTTTTCAGTGACAAAAGACTCACGCTTAAGCAAAAAAAAAAAAGAAAACCCAGAAAAACAGAAATCTGATTACCAACACATAAAGGAAAATATTTACTTTGTCTTACATATCTAAACCAGATTAAATTATTTTTATGATTTAACTGTGCAAATATTGGACCAATAGGAGGTTTCCAGTAAGTTCCTGCAGCACTTCAGGGTTTGGGATAAGCTGAAGATGCTTGTTGAAAACAATTATTTCCTAAGACATGACTTTTGCCAATCAAATGCTATAAACTTATAGGTCGGATTATCTGAAAGTGAGCATGTCATGGCTTTGCACACTTCCAATCGGTAATTTCACGATGTTTGAGTTAAAGGCACAGTGCTTCCTCATGTAACGTAGAGGAGAAACCAAAAGAAAGCAGTACATGTGCAGGGAAATATCACAGAAATGTCCAATTCTTGCACTGTTTATGAAGAAAACGGGTTCTATGTCCATGACAGTTTAGCGTGTTTTATGCACAATGTGAAAAAATAATCCCCAGAACAAAAGGTAAAGCCCTTTTGGAAGTTGGCAGGAGAGCGACGAAGTCAAAAATCCAAAGCGTCTGCCCAAAGAGACCGTGGTTACAATCGGAGTACGAAAGGAGAAAACCAGCTTCTGCAGAAACCTGTTAGTTGACAGCAAGTGAAAAGGGCTGAGCGGGTGAGTGGAGGGAGCAGTCTATCCTTCAAATGACCACCGCTGGGATAGTTACTGCTGCAATCGCAAGACACATTTAAAGGTCTCCAAGTGAGTTTGAAAATGTCATGTATTTACTTTATGGTGAATGGCACATATCCAGAGAGTAAAGCTGCGTTTGAGTCATCGCCATGGTCATTGTTCCTGCTGAGTCTTGCTGGCCCGTTATCACATTTTGTCCAAAGTTAGAGCTCTGCTTGCTTGGACATCATGCAAACTGTGAAATCTCTATAGCTTCCGCGTTAGCCGAGCCGGACTGACCTGTAACCTAGCAACTGCTTGATATCTTACATCTCGCACAAGCAGGCCATTAAAGAAAAGCCTCTCTTTTCATTCCGAGCATGAACACTTTGGTAGCTCCGTCCCCTCCCTCCCCGTTTCACTCCACCAGCATCCGCCCGGCAACGCACAAAACGATCCTCCAGCAGAAAACATGAATCATCGCTGTTTGTGAACCTTTGCAGAAAGGGGATTCATACGGTTAAACCTCTAAACAGCCCATAATTAGTGGCTTTTTGCAGCTCTTACGAATCTGGCCTTTGTATCTCTCACAGGATGGAAGCGTGTCTGCTGGAGGACCTCCTGGTCAAAATATGCCTGCTAATGGTGACGGAAAAAAGGTATTTGCCCCTTCACAGATTTCTGGGGGTTTAAAAAAAAGATTTTGTGTCCATTTCAACCACAGTGGGAAGCATCGTGTCTAGTCTCAGTGCTGCTGTTTTTGCTAGCAATTTAACATCAACATTAAGTAAACTTATCGGGCGACAGGAAGAACAATTGAGGGTCTTTGCCTTTTTTTAGCAAGAGAAGTAATAACTGCCTGATTAAGGGTCAGAGGTAGGCGCCCAAAGGTCAAAGAGGTCTCAAGGTTGTCAGCTACGTCCTGATCGATGGTAGGAACTTCCAAATCGTAAAACAAAGTCATCAAAATCGATTAGAAGGCGTAAATTCTGAGCTGTATAATGGCCTATTAAAATCCCTGAAGGCCACATTAATTTCCATTGGGGTTGTTGTGATACTCTGGGTGGTTTGGATCTGGCGAGAGGCTGACGCTCGTTGAATTTGGTGAGCCAGGAGTTCACCGAGTCCTCTGGGCACCAGATTGACGTAGCGGCTCAGCAGTGTGTCGTGTCGCGAGCACATCGAGCTCAGCTTGCAACACAAGGCGGTCCTTGAACAAAGAGACTCTGAAAACCACTGTAATCTCGGGCTAATTTGAAAATATCTCACCTGCAATCGTTGCAGGATCTATTTCCAGAGCGGCGCCTGAAGCCGTCGTACGGAAAGATGCACAGAAATTGTGTCGCCCTTCATCGCTGCTCTTCCTCCTCCTGAATGTGTCTCTGAGCACATTGTTAAGACTCTCCAGTAACCAGATAAGGGACGACGTCAGGGAACCTGAGCTCAGGCACTGGGAGAACAAGAAAGACAGGAAGCAGATAGAGGGGAGTTTTAAGCCTGGGATATACTGTAGCATGTGTGCATGTCTCTGCTCTACATGAAGATCTATCTTTGAGGCTCCATACTTTCTGCTTTGGAGAGTTTGTTTTATCTTGAACAGGAAGGAGAGAGGACAAAGAGAGAACTGGAAGGAGGAGGAGAGTAAAGAAAAGAGTCGGTCTAAAGACTTAGAGGAGGAAGAAGTGGGAAGGAGGGAACTGGAAACACGAGATAGGGAGGAAGAAAGCACACTGGTACTAAAATTGGATATAGCATATGACAATAAAAGCACAAGTACAATCTGGAATGGCATGATAAAAAATCTTTATTTTCAAACTTCTTGAAAGCGAGAGCAATAATTGTGAGAATTAAGAAATCAAAAGAGCCGATTGTAGAAAATAACTCTTGTGGTTCTGAATGAAAATCCATTCCACACATGGTTTTATGGCATTCCCAGAATTACACTTGGCTAAATAAAGCATCAGTCGTTCATTGACATGTATGCAACTTGGTTATTGGAGCTTTTGTTTTTCATTTTCCTCTATCAGAATCTCTTGCTTTTCCACTTGATTTATATTAGGTTCATGCCAAAAAATATTTAAAATTGTCTGTTTTTTTTAACATCTGGAACTTTAACAGAATGGTTTTATGGAGAAATATTGTGTATTTTTATGAAAGCATAACCTTGACTAGAAAGTGTAATTAATATTCAGATTAGCTGCTCGTTTCCAGTCACATAGCATAGATTTCCTCTGAGGCGTTTCAGGTCACGTTCTGACACTTGGCTCAAATCTTGTAGCAAGCTGAGTAGAAGGAATAAAAACAGCCCTTTTTCTAGAATAAAACTAGAAAAAGGGCTGAATTTGTGCACTTTAGATGAATAAAACAGTGTGTGGCAGACAGTGAATTACATTAAAGAAGAGAGAGCAGAATCAAAGCTGACTGAATATTTAATCAATCAAGATGGCGGCACATGGTAACAACCACCTTCAGCCCAGCTCAGATTTAGTGGAGACTAATCTGTAAAAGGATTCCTACACATGACATTTCTAATGTTTGAATATTTACATTCTCAGATTTGTTGACTTATCTTCCCTTTTTAGAAATCTGTGCAAAACACATTTACCTTGTTTGTTATGACTGATAATAATCATAAAACGCCGCCATGCTGACCTCTGACTCACAGTTTGTTGAGCATAATATCTTCTAGTTAGTGAAAGTTAAGGCTCCATTTCCAAGAAAACTTTGGTTCGTTGACATGAAAACTGGATTATCTTCAAAGATGAGTTTCATTCCAGCCCGATTTCCAGTTTTCTTTGAGGTCTGACATGCAGTTTCCAATTGATCTTTTTTACTTCTCGATAATTTAGTACATAAAAAACAGAAACATCCCTGAAGTTATTTGATTGACGTAGTTTTAAAAATAAATTAAAAGAATATCGTAATTTATGCATATGGAATAATGCCTCAAAGTATGCAATATCAGCTAAAGAGTTCATCGACAAAAAATGCAGAGATTTATATGTGATTACACAGTTAATATTTAAAACATTCAGTGTTTGCCTATCACAGATGTTAATCAACAGAACATTTTTTAGAACTGGTAATATTGATTCTTGACTGATCGGTGTAGAAATGGAATCGAAAACCCTTTAATCCGCTGCTCTTTTTAACGCAACAAAATAAAAGGTTTTCTTCTAAGTGAATAATTTCTACTTTCTGGCTACAAACTATTTGGTTTGGAAACGATTTCAGTTGTCCACCCTGTCGGCACCCGCAGTGTGGCGTCCCCCCAAAAACAGCTAGGTCTGCAGAAGCAACGCCACACCAGCCAGAGTCCACTTGGAGGGCTTTTCTTTGGTCTTAAGGTTGAAGGTCCACACATATGTGGGTCCCCTCTGACGGGTTTTATAGACGGGACACTGGTAGACGTTTCTGCTTTCCTGTTTGTCCACTGGAACGGCCCTGATGAAGATGACCGGCACGGCCGGGGTGAGCTCTTTGAGACGCGCGTCGACGATCGAGCCAGTCTGAAACAGAGAAGGGAGAAAACAACGACAATTTAGAGATTACCTTCACTGGATTTTATATCAGGGTATCAAAGTAAAATGGGAATGAATACATATGCCTGTCACATGTTTAGGTCTTTATTGGTGCGTAAAGGTTTTGAAAACTCTGCATCATTTTCCTTTAAATTCAAAACCATGCACGACTTTGTTTTGGTCAGTCACAGGAAATCCTAACAATAAACACATTGATGTCTTCAGCTGTAGCTCCACAAAAAAAAAAACTCTCAAAAAAACTGGGTGTGAATCCATCCACTAATAGCGATTAACCAGAGCGATTTTTGACTTTGCGTTTCAGGAGGCGGCGTTGCGGCAGCCCTGGAAAAGCTGTGAGAGTTCAATTCAAAGTCGGCCACAGCATCCTCACCGAACACAGTGAGTCTAAGTGGCCTGTCTCATTAATTAATCCTTCCACACTTAGCGCCTGACAAACACAAGTTTCTCCATGAATGCGCAGCGACTTTTAGGAAGGAATATAAATCCCGATGACTTTGGCAAAAGCCGGGAGGACAAAGCTTTAATTGCTTCTGCAGTTGCTCTCAAACTTTAAAGATGTGTTAAACACTGTAACCCCCCAAAACGTCCGTGTTTGTTTGGGCCAATGAAAGGAAGTTGTTTGGGCTCCTTGTGACGTACTGTAAAAGTATTTAATGACTGTTTAAAAAAAATTATATCGTCGGGTCTCCCAACGTACTGATGGAGCAAAGATTTTATTACAAAGCTGAAGTACTCAGGACCAATAAAAGCGCTCCGTCTACATAAATGCATATTGTTCCGCAGTGTAATGCCTGCGTCTTTCTGTGCGAGGTGCAGCATTCTGCCGTCTTCGATGCATAACCCCCGACGAACGAGACGCGCGGCTCATTAATATAAATGAGTAGGTTTATCATAAATCTTTGACTTTCATTGCTTCATAGCACTGCGTCCAGATGGAGGGCTGCTCGCTCTCTTCGCCAGTGGCACAGAGCCGGCCTCTGGGGCCGAGAGGCGGAGAGGAGTGGAGGATGCTGGAGTTGCGAGCCTGGCCCGTCTCTCCGCCTGTCTGTTTGAGCGCGCCTCCAACTTTAATGAAGAAGAAGAAGAAGAAAAAAGAAAAAGAAACACTCCTCTAAAGTGTGATCTAAGCGTTCGAGTGCACACTCTGCACATTCCCTAATTAAGAAGTCTACGGGGATGCTCCTTGAAAGCTTGGTGCATATACAGTGGTTGAGTGTATGTAGATAGATGGAGTCCTGGGAAGCTGAGTAATGCACTGCACTCCAACAGCTGAACACGAGCAGGAGTTAAAGCAGAAACCGGAGCCGCAAAGGGAACGCTGAGACACTCCTTGGGGTTCATCCCAAAGTTAATTTACTTGACTCTGTTCAAAGGTGCATTTTGAAGTTAACTCACCTTGTGTTCCCATGTCTGTGCTGCGTCATCATAAAGTGCAGTGCGGATACTGCAATATAACTTATGCCTTTTTTACAGTCGTTGTAAAAAGGAAAGTGGGCCCTATTTCAGTCCTAGAGGTTCACAAATCAGAACGTAGTAACTCGGATCTGGGTTTTTTTTACCAAGTAAACGTCAGGTTCAACTTACCCTCGAGTGCACAGAAATACACCACGGATTCCTTTTTGTCTTGTTTTCTTAAAGAAGAACCAACAAAAGAGCAAATACTTTATTATCAATAATTTTTAGGAATCCTTGTCTGCTCGACTTCGTCAGGTTCATCATCATGAGGGAGTTCTGCTAAACTTCTCCTTATAAAGTTTCTCCAGGTCATTGAGTTTTATAAGATTGAGGTCTTGAAATGTTCGCAACACATTGATTATTTTCTTTCTTAGCCACTCTATTGTTTATTTGCAGCTGTGTTTGGAACCTTTCCTCCGTTGACGACTCAGTTTGGGTTCAACTTGAGCTGTCAAATAAATCAGAAACAAGACCTTTCTGAGCATCTCCCACCTGTGAGTCCCACCGCGCTCCTTCCATGAACAGTCCATGGACGTACGCTCCTTCGCGAGGAGGAGAGCTGAAGTCCTCCCGGTTCTTCTTTGTGACGTCACACTGCAGGCACATGCTGTCGAGAGGCCACTCGTTCCTGTCAGGAACGTGACAAAAAACTGTTATTCTGGTAAAGCTGGAGACCTTTAATGTAGTATCCTGACCGTCTCTACCTTCTGGCCATGGCCTGCATGATGGCTGTGAGGAAAGACTGGGGGTTGAAGAAGCCAGCCAGCCACACCGCAGGGGGTAAGCTGAAGTCTGCTGACCAGGCTTCAAGCTCCTTGATCCGGGCCAGGAGGTCGTTGAACCACAGAGCCAAGCCGGACATGGACGGATACGCTCGTCTGGTCCAGCTGTCTGGCACGGCGTCCAGGAAGATGGCATTTTGTAGATCCTCCATTTCGCTGGTCATGGTTAGCTCTCCCTGATCGGTGAACAGCACAAGACAGATGAGCTAAAATCTATCACCTCTGTTTTGAAAAAGACAGAAAACACCTCTGTTGGAGTGTTTTCATGGGTTGGTTCTTGTCAAACCCAGAACAATGAAGCTCAAAGTCCAACAATGTTCCCTCGTATTTTTGAGGCATTGGCGTTTTGTTGCCTCAACATCAAGATGTGCCAAATGTAGGATTTAAATGTAGCCAAACTACATTTGAATAAAAAAGGAACTTCTGAAGATGTTCTTTGTTCTGAGCCATACAGTTGTGTACATATCACCAAAATATTTGTTCACTGCCTTCGCCGCATGAAATGCGACTAGACAGTAGAGCTAAACTTTTTCCTAATGCAAAGACTCTGAGAAAAGTTGACCTTTTGCAAAGACTGAGAAATTTGACCTTTTGTCCACAGGTTTATTGAACACAAAACACACAAAAGAGGACACGTCATTCTTTTAATAAACATGTACGTATAAGTTTAGTGCAACTAAATCTAATACTGTCCCAAATGAATTAGCAAAGTAGTGCAAACTCACAATAAACATTCAAAAATATTTAACATCAACCTCAACAAACTGGAAATGATGTCAAAAATAATGATGGACAAACATAACCTACCTAATGCTTCATCAGGGCAAAGATGTATGCAGATGGACCTGGACTGACTGAAATCTATCTAACTCTCAGCTTGGCTTCCTGGCCGAAGCCACATGACGTGCAGCTGGGCTGCACCTCTTAAAGGGACACATAGACACACCCAACACAATTTGGTGTTTATGAACAGAGTCTTGATTTGTACTCTTATTTTACAGAGCTTTGTGTTGAAGATATCAATTAATCATACATGGAAGTAGGAATTGGACTTCACTGTTGAGTTCAGACTATTGTTGTGCAATAACACAATAGGAAAATCTGAACATTCGGTCAAAGAAACTGCAATAGTTGGACTGATTCATCAGGGGGGAAAGAAAAAAATCTATTTACAGGAAGGAGAACACTGAGAGGCCGGGTGCAGAGAAAATAACGCTGGTGCTCAGCGCGAATAAAACAAATCAGATGTTCATGGACTTCAGCAGGTCATGACCTGAGCACAGATTCCCGCAGATGAGAAAGTGGATAGCATGAAGCTATCGTTTGGAATGAGTAAAATAAAGAGGACCGAACAGAGAGGAGCTGGGAAGGTGGTTGAAATGTTCCGACAGGATCTCCTGGTTCTGTTTCAGGGCAACTGCAGGAAATCTGGACATTTTCAGGGATTCTTCAAAACCTTCTCCATTAACATTTTATTAAACTGCTGCCATCAGACAAAAGGTAATAAGATCCAAACTGCTGCACAGCGTTCTTCCTTGAGTTGTTCACATGCTGGACTTCTGGCAAGAATATGCACTTTACATAAATTAACTTATTTTTTACTGCACTTTTTTCCCTAAGTTTTCAATAATCCGCTCCACGATTTTTCACAGATTTCAAAGAAACTTGAAATCCATAAAAACAAACTAACTAACTCTGGTTGTTTCCAACTGCTTAAAAAAGGAGCAAGTGGCAGAAAGTTGTACTTGTGGTTTGATGCAGTGGGAAAAGACGAGTGTTTTCATTGCAGTCCGTCACACGCCGTGGCGCTGCTGTCATTCTCATTCGCGTCCAGGCTGGTTGTTGAAGAATCTAATGTGTAACTAGCTGTTTGTGCTGTCTGCTATTGACAAATAGTTAAAAACCCCTTAAAGAAGTGATTGACAAAGATCTTGTTCTCGCCTACAGGAAGCAACCAGGAGTTCCCTATCTGACTTCTCGTCAGCTCCTAATTGGAAATAAGTCTCAAAAGAGTCGGACAGGATGAATGACACAAGGTCGCCAAAAAACTAGCCGACGGCAATATAAAATGTATGAGACTGACGTGTAGCTAATGTGTGTGGTTTTCATCGGATCACTAGTTTATCTCCCGTGATCCTCCCACCGTCCCCCACAGCTCAGAAATCCTGACCAGTTATTAGCTTCCGACTGAAACAATATGTAACTGAGAAAGAGCATCGAGGCTAACACCCTGATAGCTCCTACTTATTCCACCATGCAGGCAAAACATGATTCCATTTTCTGCTACAATAGTCGACACGACTTTTAAATCACTGAAGCAGTTTATTGAAGCTTGTAGAGCCGGGAGATCGAAGACTCATAACTCCTGAGAAACACGTTGACACATCCCCCCCCACCGCCCACCCTTCTTGATTTTTCTGTTTGGTGTTAACAGATGAGTCAGCCATGTATGACACATTGACACAGATGTCTCCTTGGTTTTACTCATCCACATATCCCAAACTCTGGCTTGTAGCGGTTTCCGTACGGGCTACGACTTTCAACTTCATTGTATTTAATTGGAGACTTATTTGAGAAATGTACACAACTTGGTGAACAGATATTAATAGGAAGAGGAAGGATGCAAAATGTTCAAAATCTTTTACAAATAAAAAACAGTGAGTCTCCTGTGCACTTACATTTATGTTTCTATCAATTGTCCACATTTGTAGGTGCACCACTAATAGTTGCAGCAGATCCTCCACCTGAGCTATTGATCTCTGCAGCTCCTCCAAAGTTAACGTTGGTCCTTTGGCTCCTTCTTAGGCCTGTACACCAGAAACTCCTAATTAAGCCCTTTTTTTTCTTATTGACTAAAAGAAGTGGCATCAATGCCCAAGTCTGTTTTATTGTGTCAAAGATTTTGCTTGTTCACTTTAAATGTTTTTAGAATAAACAATTCTGCGTTTTCCTCCTTCTCTTTCAGTTATTTGCTCGCTCATTTATACATTCATGCACAAGCGGAGCACACGCGTGCACAGCTAAGGTTAAAGGAAAACCCAGAGGGCTTTAATACCCCCCTCTTCTCTGCTTAGATAAAACCATTCCGACCTTTAGTCCGAGGTTCAGGGCGCTGAGAGAGAGTCTGATCTCGTTGGTGAGGACGTTCATTCGCTCACACTCCTGCAGCGCCACCACTTGGTACGGGGTCCTGTCCTCGGCCTTCCCCAGCAGCTCCGCCATGTCAAACTGTTCTGGCAGCCTCTCCAAAATGTCTTCCAGGTCCGAGCGAACCTGATAAGGAGGGAGAGAAAAGATAACAAAAGGGAGGTGAATGTCTCTTTAAGAATTTCACAAAAAAAAGAAAAAAGAAAAAAAAGAGAGCTAGATGGACTGTCTGAGTCTGATAAACTCACACTCGCCAACGAAGGCAGGCTGAAAGTTAGTTTCAGACAGACAATACTATAAATATTCATGAGGATATATTCTGCAGTGCCATCTTTTTTGTTTTGTTTTGTCTTTTTTTTTCCAACAAATTTCAATTTCTACAGTTTAATCTCTCATCAAAAATCGATGCTCGCGTCATTTTTGTGGGTAAGTGAGGAAAGATAATGTCTTCGTCAACAGTTTCTGAGAACAAGCAGCGGGAGCGATCAATCGGCGGATTAGGTGCTGAACAAAGGATATGAGGTCATCATATTTATTGGAATTTTCCGTTGGAGAAGCTGATTTTGAGCCTGGCAGCCGGCGAGTACCCTGAATACAGAGCAGGGCTCATTGGTACTCTCCGCATGGCTGTTTGTTAAGACAGGAGTTCTTCGTCTTCTCGGCGAGAAAGGTCACATCATAACACATCGACGGATGGATACACACCAGGGCTCCACAGAACATTTAGCGGTAAAATGTTTGATCCCACAGGGCCATGTGACGAAGCAAGCCAATAACTCAGCCAGTCCAGTATATCAGTGTTTGGATTTATATTTAAAAAAAATAATAAAAGACAGTATGGTTAAAAAACTAAAATCGCTTTAATAAATAAAGAGTACTGCAAGTTTGCTTTTTCCCTGTATATACTCTGTAAAAAAAAAAAAAATCTAATAAAAACAAAGTAAGACTTCCCTCTCAAAAATAGATTAGAGGAAAAAAATAAGCCCAACACAAACAACGAATTATTGGTAGAGGTATAGAAATACAAAAACATAACACCGCAAAGTTGCAAATACAGCTACAAAACAAAATCTTTACGGGAAGGGAACGGAAAGTGGTAAATAAACTGACATAAGAAGATAAACAACCCAAGAGTCATTTTTGCACATTCTGAACCCATAATGGAAACCGCGACTCCGAAAAGGTCAAACAGTCTTTATTGAGAATAGTGATTAAAATGATGTGCGAGCAGGAACAGGGCCTGCTTCTCGGGGTCAACATTCGGGTCAGATTCTGCAAAAGACACAGGATGATGAGTGATGGATGAGGCAATTAGGAAGAACAGCTCAAACAGAAAGGAAAGGTTCCCCAGACTTTCCTTGACTGAAGTTGTCATTAAGCTTTAGGGAAAAATAGACGGGAAAACGTCTGTTTACCGGGAATTGTTTAATGGATCCCTTCACAATCAGGTTAGCCAGTGCTGTGATTTATGGACTGGTGTAATATGGTCCATTTTCCTTATGCTGGTCAACACAGCAGCATTTTTTAAGAACTGATAATCTAACTTACTCAAAAACACAAGCATCTTTTTTTTTTTTGCTGTTTGGATTGTATGGTTTCCTTACGTTTTGCAATAAAATTTAATTAGGCTGACTCAGTATTAGAGTTAATGTGGCTTTAAAAATTTAGATGAGTCCATACGGAGCTTTTTGGCATAATCTGCACAAAGTTAGCGAGTATGCTGATTCACACGCTTACTTTGAAGGCGTACAGTAGAAAGATAATATGGACCGCATATGAACAGCTTTAGTGTTTAAGAGCTCATTAGGCGACAAGGAGTCATATATTTTGCATTTAGGAGTTTCCGCTGAAGCAGAGGTAAACTAAAACAGCCAATTTGAACCAATTTTACTGAAGTCCTGCATTAGATGAAGTTATTATTGTGGTCCATAGTGTATACTAACAACAACAAAAAAAATCTGCTTTTGTTATTATGCCTTGCAAGAACAGAGCAAGTGTGTAGGAATTAAAAGCAGTGCGATTTTGCTGTAATGCTTATGTAAGCAGCATAGCGGCGTCCATCTGGTGGAAATCCTGTCCTAATAGCATCACCTAAGCTTACTGCTCCTGAGGGACATCACTGACAGACTGGATTTCAGCGACACTTTAAGAGACCGAGTTTGGGAAGTGTTATGACAGAGCAGATATTTGACCACGTCCTTTATTAGTTTTATATTTAAGTGTGGCTCATAATTATACTGACGCAGAGCGAGCGAGTCACAGCTGACAATACAGTCGCTGTATGAGGTTGAGGTTCACAGTTCTGATGTTCCTGAAATTCTCCAGCTTAAGGCTGGTTAACTTCTTGTAAGTGTTCATGACCAACTACAGCTGACTGCGCCACGATATATCATAAAAAATATTTGTTTGAATTCGCTGGTTGGATAAACTCACGTATAATACATTCCACAACTTCAAAGAACACGCCGGAGATCTAAGAAAGAAAACTAAAGATTTACAAAAGACGTTCAGCTTCTCGATTTGTTGACGCTTCACCATGGCCTGAAAAAGGGATTATAAGTCAGTCTGTATTGACCTATGAAACTGTTTTGTGTTTGACATCAAGAATCTGAAACTACTATTATAAATACGCCAGCATGAACATATACATGCATACAAGGGTCGCACTTATTTCCATTTTTTTCTGTGACATCATAATTGTTGCCCTTACTGAACTTGGCCCAACTTGATGACATCATGTGTGGATGACTGAATGTAGAGTGAAGAGCTTTAAAGTCCTCTAGCCTTGAGAAAGACAAGTACTGGTTATAGTGGAGTGAGCATTAAGGTTAACATCCAACAAAATGTAAATACAAGGCAAATATGCAATACTGTGTTAACTGTATAAGCAGAATAATGCAATTGACAACTAAGCAAAGACAGACATAACTTCTGTTTATGAGAGAGAAGGAAATTCAGTCAATTATGTAGCCAGGAAACAATCTGAATCTGAATCCAAGTGATCATTTATGTTGGAAATCAAAGACAAATTATCCTACAAATGTCCTGCGTTAACTACTCTAATGAAGAATTATGACTTTTGTTTTGAGTAGTACAGATCCTAGACTCTAAAACAAGAGCTTCATCCACTGGCAAGAAAATCCTTAAAAATACAGAGGAACCATCACATTATTTTACAGCTCACAGCAGCAGATGTAATGACTTCAACAAAGTGAACGGTCAGGCAACCCAGAGCCTTCTTTGTTATTATTAACAAAGTGACAGTGTCTTTACAAAGCCCCTATGCAAGTCCACGGCCTCTGTGACAGAATATTTATTTCAACTTTTACACTCAAATAAGCTTCATTTCAGGGGTGGATTCAAGCAGAAAACGCACCAGAAAATGTCATCACTGTACAATTCTCCCTTTGAGCTTTCCGAGGCCCCAAACAGTTGGTTTGAAAATTAGTTTCAATTCATTGTGCAGGAAGCATAGAAAATGTCACCTTCTGTCATCATCTGTTTCAGATTCTGTGCTCCAGGGGTTTTGCAAGACGGTTAGCCTCACGCAAGGCAAACAGCTGACAGACTGCTGGAGGTTATCATCTTTAAATAGGGCCACCCTCATATGCAAGTCCCTCTTTTGTCCTCGATGCTCAGATTTTATTCAGCGCGGAGCGGGGCCAATGAGATATGCTGAACAGGAGACAGAGTTTGCTATGTAAAATTTTCTAATTGCGTCTGTCAGCATTTACGTGGAATGTCTCAAAAAGTGTCAAAAAAGGAAGGGCAGAAGAAAGTGTTAAAAGAAGGAAGGAGAGGCAGGAAGATGTTTTGCAAGCTTGATAAGAATTATAATCCAAATACATTTCAAAACTGACATAAAATTGTCGCTGAAAGCTGGGCATATAAAGACAGAAACAACATTCTGGAAAACAAGCCAGCAAATATTCCATCATCGACTGCGCAACAAACATCAAGTGTTATCGTAAGTCGATTTTTCTCTCATTTCTGCATGAGATTGAGTTTCAAGGACTTCACCTTCTCTTCTCTCGTCCTTCCTCCTCCCTCACCAGCCCCTCCGTCTCTGGGCTGCATCTCCAGGACGGTGCGGAAAAGCTTCTCCGACGTCTGCGTGAGGACGCCAATCTCTGCGTTGGGATGAAGGCCGTACAGGTGAGGGGACTCTGCAGGCAGCGTGTCGTCGATGTACTGAGGAAGGAGAGATAATGAACAGAAATGAGATCGAGCAGATGGTTCTGATCTCATTTGTGCAGCATGACTATTTTCTCTGTTTTTGCTTTTTTTTTTTGTCAGTTAAGTGTTTCGGATCATAAAATGTTAATCTCAGACAAAGAATCTTAAGTAATTCAAAAGAAATAGTTTTAAGACAGTTGTTTGACTTTGACTAGGGGAAAGACAACATTAGCTTCACTAATGGTGAAAAAATATAATTTTGGTCATGTTGCATCAAACTCATAAGTTTGTGATGTTAAGTCGTATTCCCTACCCAAACTCTAGCATTGTTATTGTCAGATTTGTAAAATCAACAAATGATTTTACAGATCTGAAAGGAGAACTTCCTGTTCTCCTTTTAGTGAAGTATTTGTGTTCGTTTTGTATTTCTTATTCTCCTTTTTTTTAAGGACCAAACTCCAAATCCAGTGTACTTTACTGTGTGTAGTGCATCGTTGTGGCATATCGTGTTAAAATTCCCGATTTACGCGATAGTCTGATGGTATTAGTTTGAAAAATCTAATATAAGAAAAAAAAAACATCTTTCAGCAAATAGGGTCATGTTAACGCCATTCTATTCTATTCTGTTTATATCTAGCCAGTTTTCGACACAAGTTATGGTGATCGATTGATAATAGACTGAGGGAGAATATGTGGCTCTCAGTGATTCAATCACTCTTCGTTCAGCCAGCAGGACAATAATCCAAAGCTTACCAACAGCTTGACCTCTGCGTGGCAAAAAAATAAATAAAGAAAGAAAAAAGAAAATCAGAGTTCTGAGGTGGTCTACTCAAAGCCCGGATTTAAGGTTTGATGGAGGCACAGTGGTGTGATCTTAAGGGACAGTGCGTATGCCAAAAAAACTCTTCAATTTAGCTGCGTTAAAACATTGCTGCAAAAGAAGAGTGGGCCAAGACTCCTTCAGAGTGAATGACAATAAAAGCTAATCTATAGCGGCTTCCGCTTTTATAGAAATTGATACTTTTTCTTCTGTTCCTTCTTCTTCACAGGTCTACACATCACCGAACAGCACAGCAAGACAACTTATTCAATAATGTGATAAGCGGCTTTTTAAATCTCATGTCTGGTTTTTCTTCAGTAGGACTGCTGACGAAGGAAGGGAAGAATCGCAGATTTGAAGGGGTGGTGTTCAAACAATGAAACTGATAACAGCAGATGACGACGCAAAGAAGATGGAAATGCTGCATTTTGCATCTGCTGCTCCGTAATTAAAACACATGCTTCTAAACTGAGTTCAAAATAAAAGTCAAATAGAAATAAAAAAATTTAAAAAAGTGCTGATCTGGTGAGTTGCATTGAAAAAAAAAAGTTCCTCTGATGTCAGGATGAAAGTTTTAGAAACAACCTGGCTTTTAGTACAGGATCTCTTTGTAGTCGTTGCTTTGATCTCTTTAATCCTTCCCATACAACTTTTACTGATAGCATGCGTTTAATGTTGAAGGAACAAAAAATGTTTTGGACGGATGCGTGTGAAATTCCACCCACCGGGTGGTCGTGGTGGAAGCGACGGCCTTCTACACCCAGAGGGCATTTAAAAGCCCCGGCTGTCTGGTCAGACTCCCTCCTGGCTCAGCCTGGCTGTGTTGTGACAGCCAAGAGTAAAAAGCTGCAGTTTTCCCTCCAGAGCGACTTAATACATCTATATGTGCTCACTGAGCAAGTCAGCAGACTGAGGGGAAATTAAATCCAAATCAAACATCCCACTCCTCTTTGGCTCCACCAGGAAACGTATAGGAGGAATCTGAACTGATTATTGCTCACATGTTACATCACCGTGGGCCACAGCGCACATAAACTTTAGCCACTGCTGATTTAATCCAGTCAATTAGGGTTTGTGTTCAGTGATAAATGAAGGTGACAAAAAAAAGACGAGATGTTGAGGTGAAGCAGGAGCCACACAATATCATGAAATGTTATTTGAACCAGCATAAAAAAAATTGTATTTAGTTTTACTTAAATACAGTTCAGATTTGATGAAAATTGTACGTTTAAATATTCATCTTAAACATTAATCTTCCCAATAAGCTCCATTTTAAACTGTTTTTAAGCTGGTTTATATTTGTACTTTTTTAAACTTCTCCACAAACAAAAACTCTTACCGGTGCATTGTTTTTTAAATTGTTCTGGATTACGTTAAAATAAAATGAAAACAGACATTTGTTTTCATGACGAGAATGATAATTCTCAATTTTGAATTTTTATCTTTTAATGATAACTCTGCTTGGCCTTTGGATTTTAAACATTGCATATTAAAATGTTAATTTTTTTCATGTGGATACTGCAAATTACTTGGTATTTCTTAACGCTTAGTAATTGTCCAAATAAAAATAAACCAAATAATGACAGGTAAACAAATAAGCCTTAAGTGAGGCTAATTCAGGCTGAGTTTTTATAATTGGGTGAAATAACATTAGTGCACAAATGTTATTGCAGACTGTCTTCTATCTCTCTGAAACCAAAGCTTGTGAGCAAATTTTTAAAAACTTTTGCTTCTGAGTGTAAACTCACAATGAACAAACACATTCACTTTTTTTATATACTTTCACTGGATGTTTATCAATGGAACCACAGACAAACACCAAGTCTGATCAATACAACTGATTCTTACAAGAAAACAACAATAAGTAAAAATTCATATGTACAGTTAAATGCCTGACAGCAATGAAATGCAACAGTCATCATTCGTCAAACGTGTTTGTACAAAAGCACAACATCAAAATCTTTGATATTGTTTTTGTACTGGAATTATAGACAATAAAACACTACCACAATAATTAGACAAGATATTATTTCTGAATTGTCTTAATGTGGACTTATGAAGACGTTGCATCTTAGGATAGATTACTTTATAATAACAGAGAACCTTCTTCCACCCACAGAACAACTCTCCCGGTGAGAAATATTAATATAACTAAACTACAATCTGTAATTTCCCAGGGACTCACACAGTTTTATTGGTATTGATTTAGCATTGAACTGTATACATCCACACAGTGCCCAGGGAAGAATGATGGAGAAAGACCTATTAATTATAGCTGCTCGGTCAGAGCCATTTGAAGCGATCATTAATTTGCAGAGGGCACAGAAAAGCCCCCCGGGAACAAGTAGGTGGAGGGACCTGAACTTTCCTTTTGGATCACTTACCATTTATACAATGTCTGATCCAACTGTAAAAAACTCTGTTTTCCTTTTTTCGCTGTGGTTTCAGTGGTTTTACTAATGGTCTGATGTTATCCAATTGGTGCCAACATTTCCCTCACCTGGTGGTAGCTGTTGTAATCCATGTTGCCAGGCAAGGGGAGACCAGGCGCCAGAAATAACTCTCCTTCCATCATCTCAGGCTTAATAAACTCCTCCAGGTAGGTTCGACACAGATGACGATCCCAGTCATCGGTGATGTGACCCCCGTACATGATCTCACCAAACAGGTAGCGCAGGTCGTCGTACGGTACCTGGTGATTACAAAAAGCGAGACGGTGTTGCTCCGCCAAAAGCGCCTCAGGGTGTCACACGACTTCACATTTCCAATTAAGACTGCAAACAGTGTTCTTTGCAATCCACCCGCACAAGAATGGGAAGAAAAGAGAGAGGGGGGGTACGTACCTTCAAATTGGCCTCCAGGTAGTTGTAGAGGACGTTGACAGAAATGGTCAGGTCTCCGCTGTTAAAGGGATACGATCTGTTCCAACCTTGAGGACCAAATTTCTCCTCTCGGCGACCACGGCGTGGAAGTAGCAGAGGGAGAACCAGATGCTTTTAAATTCGTTCTCCCGCGCACACATGTCCAGCGATTCCTGGGAAACCAAAGGACAAACCACATAAGAGTTTTTACAGTGTCTTTACTTTTTACAATATTTTCATGCAGACATGTTTTATGTAAGGGAGTTGAGTTCCACAAAACTCAGTCCAGTTACTGTTGGGGCCACAAGCCACCCAAAATAGGCGAGTACTTTTTAATACACATTTGACACTTTTTTGACATCATTTTTGAATTTCCTTTTTATGTTGCAGCACTTTGTTGGACTGGCTGACGGTATTTTGATTTATAAACACTGAAAAGGTTCAAACAAATTTTAAATTAGTCACGATGACACAGTTTGGATCAGCAGATGGGAAAAAGACAATCAATACATATCCCCAAATAAGAGCAAAATCTGTTTTTTCTCTGAGGACTGCAAGAACCAAATGACCTCATTCTGAAGTTGTTGCAGCTTTTTCTTGCTGTGTTTTCTGAGTGAAACTATAAAACCTGTCGACACCGTGCAAAAACAGAGGAATTTCTATCAACTGGTTTGGGAATTCTTGCAGCTTGTTCCCGCCAGAACATTATTTTCTTGCGGTGTCCAGCAAGTATTGTGTGATTGAACAGAAATCTGAAGTGACCACGGGCGCTACAGTGACAAACCCTGCGACTGGAGAAACCTAGGAAGACTTACCATATATTACATTTGAGTTGTGGTGAAGCAGGAAACATTTCAATGTTAAACAACTTAGTTCTTGTGACTGCAACCTGGAGTAAAGGAACACATTTATCTGTTCGTGTGGAGAATGTAAAAGCCTTTACAAACTACTTTCTGAGTACTGAGAGAAAATAACTGGCTAACCATTAGCCTCACCAGTTAGATGAGGTATATATGCTATTTGAAATGAACTCAATTCAATAAGACAGTTTAATTTGCTACTTCCAAATCAGTCTATCAAGGTTTTATGCAGCATGATACCCTTCATCCACCTCAATATCAGGGGCTCAGAATAATACCTAAAAGTCATACAGCAACAACAAGACTACACAAAGATTGTATAGTCTCATGGACTGACTGTAACATTGCAGCCTTACTGATAATTGTTTCCACACTTTCTGTGTTAGAGGTACACAAAGTTGTGGCAGACGGCTCTATGAACAGTTTCATTTTGTCAAATCTTCCCTGATGCAACACAGTAACAAAGAGACAAGAAGGTGACTGGATTGCAATAAAGCCAACCATGAGATTCATTTTTAATTGTCACAACTTGTCAGGCGCTTTCAGCTTCCAACTGTCTCCTGGGCTCATTATTCTAGACAGGCAAATAAAGAAAAAAAAAAAGACAAAAAAAGAAACGTAAATGGCGCCGTAATCTCCAGAGGGGCGGGGGAGTCAGTTAAATAAGCATCCCAACAACCCCTATGGAAACCAGAAGAGTGGAGTCTCTGCACTTTAGCATGTAGCAAGCTGTGTATCACAGTAAAGGCCCCACATTTCCCCCCGACTGCAGTGCCCTGGGGAGCTGACTGCTACAATGTGCACATAGAGTGAATAAGTAGAGTGCAGGCCTGCTGCCACACACACACACAGTCGTTGTTTGAGGTTTAGTTAATATTCTGCACGGCGCTCCTCTGCTCAACCCAGCTGAAAGAGATGCATAACCTCCCTATCCATGACCTGTGGACTGGAGAGAAACAAAATGCTGCAAGATTGTTGGTACAAACACGCACACACATTCATACCCTGCATCCACAAACACAAACTGAAAGGACATTTCAGTTGAACTGCCAGAGTTAACCATCTTTGGTGTCTGATTACCCACAAAGAATGATAGGCTGAACAGGCCAATAAGGAATTGGAAATCCATAGGCACTCTCTAGGGTTTAGCTTTTAGTGATCTAAGTTATACCATTTTTTTGACAGTGGTCTGGGAAGATATGTTGGGGAATTGCAGAAAAACCAAAGAAAAAAAGAATGTTATTTCTGTGGCTTAGCTCTGGCTTTAGCCTTGTGGGTGGTCCATAACAGAGAGTCAGGCGGCCATTGATTAAGTCTCACCGACAGCACATGACCAGAATATTCTCCGAGCCTAACCTCAGCAGACCTCCCCATGCCTCTGCATAAGGCAGGGCTCACAAACACATCGCACTTATCAGGCAAGATACACATCAGCAAACTAAGGATTGTGGAAATGGATCGGGACGTAGCCGAGAGGTCAGGTAATGGTGCGGGCGAAGATGCATTGGCAGCAAAGCATTGAGGTAATGGTAAGGCTTAGATACAGACAAAGAACCGATAAGGTAGAGAAACACTTGAGGAGGCCACCGTGACACACAGATCCATTCTAACCAGGAGCCTGCAGAATGAACCAGGAGCATAATATCGTCTAGCTTTTCCCTGATAACATTTTCCGCAAATTGGCCTAGTTCTGCCGTCTGTCCTCAGGTAATCCTTCTGTCCCCACCAGAGTTCACCATACCAAGTTTTCAACTCAGCAATGCCTATATTTATGCCCTGCGTAGGTTACAGGAAACTGAGTAACTCGGAGACGACTGTGCTTTTTGTTTGTTGCAACAATTGTAATTTGGGAGCTTCATAAAAGTGAACATTGTATTGTCTCAGCTGTAATTCACATCTAAGACAAGAACAAAACCTCTTCAACAATAAATAAAACACAACTGCCTTCAGATATTTTGATCCCATACAATAAGCACTAATATTGTTCTGGGAAATCTGGTGCTCTGGGTCTACATCTTCCCTAGTCACCGTAACTTCATAAGAGTAACTAAATATAGTCAAACAAATAGTAAAAACTGCTCCTCAAAATGGGAGAGTTGACATGTGTGCATGTATGTGTCTGTGCAGTGCTTGTGCAAAGGGCTTGTGTAATATTATAAAAAGAAGCAAGTAGTAATTGAAAGTATTGGTTTTATTATTATTATTTGCATAGTTTATCATCTAAATTGGTAGATCCATAAACATTCACACATGTAAACAAGTATATATGTTGATGTATACATACTGGGAGATTAATGAGAGCTAGTGTTGTGAAAACTTGCTATATTAAAAGCCCTACAATATTTCTGGTCAAAGGGAAGTCTGTCTCAAAGTGCTAATAAGTTCCTCTGAGCATTGTCTGGAGGTATTAATATGAAATTCAGACATGAATGGCATCCCTAGTCAGTTAAAACATTGAAGAAGCCTTTAAGTAATCTGGTGGACTATAGCATTTTTGCTATTTATGGAAAAAAAAGAAAAGGATTGGGGTAACAAGGAGTAAATGTACGAAAACACTGGCAAATATTTTGTAGATTCCTCTAGGTTAGAGTTTCTCAATTCTGGTCCTCATTCACATTGTTTGAAGGGGGAAGTTGTGCTCAGTGTCTTCTCCTGAGCGTTTTGGTGTTGTCTTTCAGTGCAGCGCCACCACAGGCCAGGGAGGGAACAGGCTTTTGGATCGTTCGACACAGTGAGGTTATGAAAGCAAACCGCAACCAGCTGAAAACGTTACAAAAGTTTCAACTTTCAACCCAGAGTCAAACAGAGTCCACCGGACAATCAGGTATGAAAACAACCTTAGTATGTGGACTGGCAACATGTTCAGCGTGTATTCTACCGCTTTCCCAGTAACGGCTGTGGGTGGGAGAAGCAGGCCTACGACCCGGCAAAGGTAAGTGGGTGTAAAAAAAATAAATAAAAATACTGATAGATGAGTTTCGTAAAGGTCTGCTAAGATGTTGCATTTTATTAGATTGTAGCTTGATCAGAAACAAAACAAAAAGGACAAAAAGGCATAGTGGTCATCCAGTTGCGTAGTAGATATTTATTTCTATCGATATGTATTTTGGCATTTCTACCAATCAAACCTCAGCTGGATTGTTACAACGTGAATCCATTATCGCCTATCATCTAAAAATAAGCATGGAAGTAAAGCTTATTACTACTTACTAAACACATTGACATCCAACCCTGAAAGTGTTACCTGGCTGAAGTTGTCCAGGGCTTTGTGCAGGTTGGCATGCATGCCAGTAGGCGGTTCATTCGTAATCTTGATGGAGTTTTCCAGGATCCCCTGAGGGACGATGTGGCTGTCGCGGGTGGAGGACGGCTCAGCGCTCACAAACACTCGGAAGTTCTCGTGGCTTCCCTCGGCATACTCCTCGAGAAGTTTCTCCAGCGTGCCCAGCCAGCGAGCGACCAGATGGATGTTCTTACAGAGGAGAAAACGAGCAAAACGACAGAAAAATCATAGTTTTTGGCAATGCAATAGTTTTTGGCAATTTACTATCCAGTTGTGGAATTTTTTGCAAGGTTAGCCTATCCTATAATAATTTCACTTATTCATTATTCAATAGCCACACTGCACACAACAATAGCAAAGACAGAGTGTTTTGTTTTTATATCAAGTGGAGAGAATGATGGTAAAGATGAGAGTCAGCTTAAGTTGTAGTTGGGTTAAATTATATCTTTTGAAAGAGGCTAGCACTTTACTTTTAAGTAATACATGAATGAATTGGCTGGTGACCAGAAGTCAATATTCAGTCAACGAAGAAAACTAAGAGCTTCAGGGTCACTCCGATCTGTTTACGCTGAACTCTCTTACATTAATATTTAATAATGTGCTGGATTTAGAAATGTTTGGTGTGTTTTCAAGGGAAATGTCTATCTTTGTAGAAAAGCCCTAATGTTTACTGCTGTAGTAATTGTACTATTGTGCATATTACTAAGATAAGACGCTCAGTTCTCCTTGCAACATTGCCTATTAAACATTAACGGCCATTCTGGTTGGGAAGTGTACAGACGAAACATTTCGACTCCTGCTCTTATGTCTTCCATCTTAGTCTCTAAAGAGAAATCCAAATTGGTTAAAACATGAAACAAAGATCACAAATCAGCCACTAATTTCTGATCGGTGCACTTCTCGACCCTAATCTGCTCTGACTGCACTTCGACTTTTCTGTAAATGTCTGGGCTTAAATGGATAACACAAGGTGCCATAATAAGGAGCTGGAATTGCCAATATAATTCTGTCCTGTGATGACAACTAGAAAAAAGGAGCAATTAAAACGCTACACATCTCTTGTTCTTTACTGTGACTTTGATGTGGCACTGAATTAAATGGTACACAGCGCCTGAAATGGTTGACAGAATGAAGTGAGCGTTTTCTGGTCGAGGATTTTTAAGACTTTTATGGGTATTCATCTCTGTGTAACACGAGCTGCGGACGACTTCAATTTTCCTCATCTCAACCGTCCTGACGAGAACAGGATATCCGATGACTGATAAGGAGCGCGCCCAGCCCCCCACACATCTCACCACGGAGCACTGCCCACTCCCTAAATCTAATTACAGCACTAATAACTGCAGTCATTGATTCATAAGCCGCTTTACTTTCTCATTTCCCTTTGCTCTCAGTATTTAATCTTCCTTATGATGACTGGAGTAAGAACTCTTTAACGAATGACAGGGAACAACAGGGGAGGGTTGGGACATCAGTTTTGTGGGACTCGGAAGAGAAAAAGTAAAGTTAATCCACCGACGAAGAAGTTCAGGGGGAGAAGGACGAAAGTTAGTTCTCCGCCTGCCGGTGCCTTAGAGAGTAATGAACAGTGTACAAATTAACAGTCTAAATTCAAATGCTTTTTCATCAAGCCACAGCACAACTCTTCCTCTTGGCATGTAAATAGTTTGGCTGTAAAGCGAGCCAACAGTAGAAGTGAGAGACTGCCCGAGAACTTGTCACTGTAATGAAAGCATTCATCGTGTGGCTGCAGGGAGAGAAGACGAGAGGAATGGAGAAAGAGACGAACCAGCAGGCCAGCAGACAAACAAACACGACAGCAGAGAGCTCCTTTTTTTGCGGTCTTTTAATTAAATTTCAGGTGCCGTGTTTTTCCAGGTTTTTTTCCCCTCCTTCCCTCAACGTCTTCCTGATAAGGGCCTCCCAGCTTCTTCGACCCCTACAATGATACCACATCAAGGAGTCCTCTATTTACATAATAATATGAAAGTTGAATCTAAAAGCCATTAGGACACACTGCTGGCAAGGTCTTTGACGCATTGCTGTCACACGCCACCTCAGGGAAGGCACAATGGCACGTTCAGCTGCACCATAAGCATCTCCATCGAGCAAACAGAAACACACAACAGTATTTCTGTTGTATTTCTTCGCGGAGGAAGAAACGCATTGGTCGGGGAGCGACACAGGCGAGGACAGCTGCACAGCTGGGCTCCTGCACTGAGGAGGCGGCCCCGCAGCTCAGAGCATCTCTAACTCCACACTGACGTAGGAAAGCAGCAAACAGGGCTGGGGGGAGAGACAAATAAAACCTGCACCACCGACATAAAGAAAGCACTCGCAGCTCAGTATGCTGAGAATACATTCACAAATGTGGAGAATACAGCTGCAGTAGGTGATTTTAATGTTTAAAAATGCGTAATGTTGTGCAATTATCAGCATTCATGTTTAGGCTATAAATGCAGGACGTACAAGAACAAAAGAAAAATCCTTATGTGTGAAAGAAGGTCTTTTCAAATATTTCAATAAGAGTGGAAATGATATCAATTTATGTCTATGCAAACAAGAAGCTCACACTGCAAAGACACAAAATCTGACAAAGTGATTTTGGTCTCGCTTCTAGTGCAAATATCTTATTACAATTGAAATAAACCAAACTACCTTGAACGTAACTCTAAAACCAATTCTTAGTTATCATCTAAAAAAAAAAGTCTCCCAACAATTGTTCTTGGGTACGAGTGTATTCATAGTTGTGTGTCTGCATACTGCTCTGTGATGGAGCGCAATCTGTTCATTTTGTATTTCAGGAGATCCACCCCCTCCTTGATTTTATAAACGACAAAATCTATCTGACACAGGCTGCCTGTTTGCCTCCAACATGTTAAATTAATGTTATTTACATACAATATTTCCAGAGCATTAGCGAAATAAGTGGACGTGTACAACGTTGCCTTCTACATTGTTGCTTTTACAAATCCCTGTATGTCTTGTCTACCAGCATGCAATAAAATAAAGCTTTTGAAAGTGCATGACCACTAGTGGTCTTAAGATTATATATATATATATATATATATATATATATATATATATATATATATATATATATATATATATATATTCAAGGTTATTTCTGTCACTGTGACTGACGTTGGTGGCAGGCTCCTAAGGAGGCAACATGGGAGAGTTTCTGTGGTAATCAGCAGTGCCAGCTGTGGTGACTGGCAGTTGCAGAGACAGATCGGTCCACTTTATATCAAAGCCTCAAATAAGTGAGTGATTTTGAACGTCCAAAACATTTTTGTTTCCAAACATATTCTAACCTACCTGACTCTAGGAAAAAGAAATGACGACAGACATTTTCCCTCAAATGGCCAGGCTTTAACAGTAAATGTGCAAAAAGGATGCCGAGTCGTGGCCACTCTTTCCCGACTGCGTGGCCAATGTGGGATATTCAGGTCCAATCTGCCCGATTGATTGCCTCTCAATCTGCCCCCACCACCTTTCTGATGGGCTGCTTCAAAGTTTCTGCATTTTCCTCTCTCATTCCCATCTGAGCAGAAGCTGCTGTTCAGACGTATAATTACCTGTCGAGTAAGGAGGAGCCTGCCATTGACCTGGCTTTCCACTGATGCAGCAGCAGAGGAAAATGTGGACGATGAGAACTGAAGAGTGTGGGAAAGGCAGAGGATGCAAGTCGATGCATAAAATATTACAGACGGGGAAAGCAACATAGCGGAATCGGTAGGTAAGACGGAGAATATATTGTTGGTCAAATTCAGCGTGAAAACGACTCCTCCCAGACCTTTTTCTTTATTATTCCTTTTGCTCAGTGTCATGGGGTTGGCTCTTGGCAGGCAGAGCCACAGACGGTCGATGATAAAGTGAGTAGGAGGTTTGTTGCTAGGGGGACGAGACCTTCTTAATCCTAATCGATCGGCATTCTTATGCTAAGGTAATTACGCAACTTTTGTCTGCTATCCTGAGTCTTCAAGAAGACAGCGATGACACTCTTTCCCTTTTTGCTCTCCCCTGTGTGTTTCTACCAACTGTGTGATTTAACAGAAAAGGGTGTCCCACCATGCCTGGTCTGCGGTTCATATCAGTCGATACGTCCCACTGGAATTCCTCGGAGGTTTTTACTGAAACTGCAAAAGTCCGCCTTGCCCTCCGGATAAGAGAAGAACAGACACAGCAGCTTCAGATATTGTAGAATATAATACAACGATCCATTCAGTAAGAGAAAAAATGCAGGAAAGAACATTTTTCCATGCAGACAAACCATGGAGGAAAGCAGACATCCAGACGAGCATGCAAGAACTGTTTTCCTCTACATAGAAGATCCGCCTGTTAACCTTTCACTTTCATGACCATCACAAATATTCCTACATCAGTTCGTCGGTTTCTTTTTGATTTTTTTTGTGCGTTCTGTTCCGTCTCTTCAAAACTCTGGTCGGTTGAGGCTGAGCCAGGTTCTGGTTCTACTGGACGTTTCTTCTTGTTACAGAGGAGTTTTTACTCTTCACTGTCGTTACATGCATGTTCAGCCCCTGGGCAAGGCACTCAACCCCAAGCTGCTTATCAATCTGTGTATTTTGTGTTTCAGTGCGAGTGGCTCTATACGTCGTCAGCTTGACAAAACCCAATCTGTTTATGTTCAGCATCTTCCGCATCAAGAATATTTCATCTGATTGTGTCATAGAGACATTTGGAAAAAAAGGCAAAAGTTTTTACTTAAATGTTTTTTGTTCTTCCTCCCCTGCGACACTCACGATAATAACCTTTTGCTGGACAATAAATTGTCCCAGCAATTGTTGCGATAAATTATATATTAATAAAAAAATATATTAATAACTACAGAGAAATGCAATTTCAACCTCTCAAAGAGCAATACATTTTCATTTTTGTAAGGAACTTTTAACATTGAAAATGGGAAATATTTCAAATATATAAAAATAAGAAAACAACCAAAAGCAATAAATAAAACGGAAATAAAAAAAAAAAAACACACACGAAACCATAAAACATTTTGTTTATGATGTCTCTAAACAAAATTCAAAGAACATTCATCATCAGAGTGAAAATTAGTGAGCTTAATTTCATTAACTGATTAATTGATGCTTGGCTGCATATTTCTACTTGAAAAATCAAATTTGGACAATGAAATACATCTGATCAGAAACCAACAAACCAAATCTAAATGGCCAGCATCATGATGATTCATTCGGTAGTTAAATTTCCTGCCTGACGGTTGTGTGAAATACACGAATGTTTGCTTTACCTGCAAGATGACCCAATGGCCTTCCCGAGCGGCCAGATCCAGGGCTTGTTCAGCTATAACCTCTTGGCCTTGACCCAAAGACACATTGTGGAAGTTGTTGTTGTCAAATGTGTAGCCCATCGTCTTCCCTAGAGGATAATAGATGCATTTAATATGATTTACACACAACAACAAGTTAAACAGAATTGATTAACATTGACTAAGCCTCACTAAGAATTATGGCATTATGCAAACAATACCCAACACCTACAGAATGACATCCTAACCACCTCTGGTAAGTTATTTTGTCACCATCTGTGGACCCCAGCAAACATTTTTCTCAACGCAGGTAGATTTTTTTGGGTCGGTTCATCGTTCATTCTGAATTTCGGTGACCGTGCTGCACTCTGTCTGACAGTATTCAATTGTCAAGACGCAGGGAGGGAAAGCCTGCTGACTGGGGCCTGATTTAAAGCCTTGGGATCTGGATACCATGCAGTTCACGAGTCCAAAGTGTCCTAGAGTCAAATGTACGGCCCGTTTGTTAAAAACTTGAACACTGGTGAAAATTTGGCCTTGCAACATGACAATGATCCCAAGCACAGCATCAAAAAGTAAAATGTATCGCCCCAATCAAAGTGCAGTAAAACTTCAGACTAAAATGTTAAAACTGTAAAAGGCCTCTGCATTTATTCACACCCACAAATTTGAAGGTACTGAATAAAAATTAAAAAAAAACTTGTAAAGAGTGGACAAACTCTTTCATGAAATGAAATGTATGTATACATTTTGGTTGTATTAAAACACTAACTATAAATGACTGTCTCCTGCAAATCTAACTTTGGATAAAAATTTATAATATGGTGTGATATCATATTAATGTGGTCAAATTTGACATCTTTGTCAATCTGAAAAATCATCAACTTACCAACCTGTGGAAAAACAAAAACATAAACCAATATGTATTTACAGAAAATGAAAACTGCAGGTGAAAAAATAACTGCTAACAATCTCTTCACAGAACCCCCCTTGAAGTAAATATCACTTTAAGTTACTTTGTAATCCATACATCAGTAAACCTGCCCCATTTTAAATTTTGAGTGCATTCATACATTTATTTTCGGGTAATCTTTTTCTCAAATTTAAAACTAAGTGAAGTTTCAGTCGTTTTCCACACTGCCATTAGTCCCCTGCAGAGCTTCCAAAATCACATCACCTATCTAATAAAAATCTAATTAGATCCTAATACAGATGATAAAACCCAATTTTCACACGATGAAATAATCCCCCTCTTTCTTTGTACAGGCAGCAGGAATTCTGCAGCGTTTTCTGCAGCAGAGACTTTTGATTTTACTGACTCTGCTGAAAACTAAAACTGTTGATAATCAATACCGACGCTTCTTTTGGGGAGTTTCAGAAGCATTGCTCTCACTTATCACATTAGGAGAGACTGGTGCATTTCACACGGTAACCTCCTTCTCTCGCTGAGAGAGAGAAAGACGCCAATAAAAATCCCACCAATAACAGTTCTCTCCGGGTAATAACGGCATCTAACCGCCATTATTATTAAACCAATCAAAAGAGTACGTTATTTAAGCTATAGAAACAGAATGTTGCACGCAAGCAACATGACACATGATGATGAAGCGCATTAATGCCAAAGTACTGACTCGTGAATTTGCACGGGGGACCGAGTTGCGCCGACACACTGCGAATATTGCTTTGCTACAGTTAGCTGAAACAATCTCTGCTGCCTGAATATTTAATGGAGCCAACTCTAAATACCCACAGACGGAATAGTTTGGCAGCAGATTAAAAAGATAGCAGGCTGTGAGAGTTCCCTTTTCCAGGTCAGTGGAAAAGCTCCCATTTTTAGAATATTTCTTTTTTGGTCAAAGAAACAAAAACCAGGGCGTCGTGAGAACACAGTATTCAAACAGGGATGTAAAATAACTCAAACCGGTGACATTTACTTTCCGCTGCCACTAATACACCAGTGGTGTCGCCTCATATATTTATGACCTTTAGCATAATCCACTTAATCTACCCGGATACTGCTGTGGATTGGTAGGGACAGCTGGCATCAAAGGTGTATCAGACTGTTGTTCTGTCTGATACACCTGTGATGTTGTAATTACAGAAAACTACAAGTTACACTAGATTTCCCTAGAACAGTATTCATTCCAGTTGAACTTCACCTCATTTTCTCTCAATCAAACATTTCAATGTGTTTCACTGGAATTCCTACAAAGTAGTATGCAGGTATCAAGTTGTGGAAAAATTATAAATTGTTCCTAAATATTCTTTAGGAAAATACCAGCAGGAATCTGGAGATTGAGCCTTTCTGAAGGACAGGTCTTCTGCTACCCCCAGTACAATACCCTGCACTGAGCTTCATTCCCCTTTCACTTGCAGTTTCCAGCAGCCATTGTACAGCGCATTCAGCAATAAAACCGTCTGACCAAACATTCTGGAGCTCAGCTAGGTTTTCCGGGTGACAGGTAGGGTGCTGCTGGGATTGTTCTTGATTAAGTCACGCAGTGCGACTTAATCAAGAGGTTTTTGAAACGGCTCATTTTCCAGACACTAAAAAACATCAACTTACTACTAATAGAAAATTATGGATTGTGTCGTTAGACTGTTTTTAGAAGTAATGAATGCACAAATGGAAGTACGAGATATGAATTTTGCATATACTCGTTATTTGATGGTATGGCAGTTTTCTTTCTTTTTTTTTTAGGCTTTGGGTTCTTTCTAACAAAGGTGAAAAAGTAATCTTGTTACAGCATTTACATTGAAATAATTGGTATTAAACCATTACGTAATAGTCATTTTAACACCTAGTTAGGAAAAATAAATGTAAAAAAGAAAAAAAAAAGTGTGTTGCAAAACAGAACAAGAAACATTTTGTAGAATGTCCTTTGTGGAAGTGAACACCTTGGATTCAGTTGTGGGATTTATTGGAAAGCAGATGGTCTTACAGCGTAAACAGGGTTCAGGTTCATGAAAATATTTTTTTACAGTGCAAGAAAAGATCAGCTCTGTGGAACTGTATTCAGCAGCAGTTCTTCAATTTCTGATTTCCGGAAATGTTGCATTTGGGTGCAGCTTGGGCTCCACATGTTGGATGACAGCCGCTAATTTCTTTGCTTACTAAGATGCTTGTACTGGTGCAACTCTGAAAGCTTTGGCTTTTCCTGCTTGTTTCAACTGCAAAGGCTCATCTCTGGACATGCTTGACATGTTAGAGTTTTAAGCCTCCCTCAGAATCTCATTGCTTTCATTCTGATTCTGATTGGTCAGGTGAGCCTGCTGCAAGAGAGGGGAGGGCCTAAATTTGAAAATAGTTTGTTTTCAATGGGTATCTTCAAATAATTGTTTTGTGATGTTAATTAAATCACAAATTTTGAAAAACATCCAAGGCATATAAACACTTTTATAAGTCTCAAAATGCCTCAACTTCAGTTCCTTTAGAAAATACGAAACGATAAATTGGTCACTTGTTAGAATGTGCTGAACTTTAGAGTGAAATTTTAAGGCTTACATCAAACAGTGGCATTACCATGTTTCTCAACGTCCTTCAAAGGATCCACTCCAGGAGACAGGATGAAGAACATGGGAGTCGCTGGACTGGACTCGTCAAAGGAGACGGCGAAGTCCAGAGATCTGCCCATCACATACTCACCTCCCAGTTTCTCCTCTACAAAGTCTCTGCAGGAGGGGACAAGGCTTAGTTCTCTCCAGCTTGTTTTGTTTCATCTTTGACCGACAAAGTGCAGACCTTGAAGAATCTGAATCCTCTTATAGTGCAGAGACAGCGGTTTAAAATCAGCAAATCACAAGAAATGCTTTCTGTCTCAAACACAGTTTGCTGATAAGAATGGGAATGCTTTAAATAGATTAGGAGTTTGCATGTTTGTGCAGTTTTTAGATTTGATATTTGGAAGTGAGTGTTCTGGTGAGCTCACTTTTGTTTCATTTGTAAATGAAAGATAAGAGCTTGATTCACGTTCTACCTAACAGGTAAACATTATGTATGCTATATGAATTATTAAAGTGCATTTAACATTTTGTGAACTTTGTCAACAGTAAACAGATAAACCAGAGAGAGAGAGAGAGAGAAGGAGAAAGATATTCTGCAAAGGTTACAAGTTTGGGATTTGAACCAATGACGGCTCCGTCATGGAGTTAAAGACTGTATAAAGAGTGACAAACTCATGTTTGACCTTTTAAATAATTTATTTAAAACAGTGACAATACATCAGCTGGACATATGTTAATTATGAAAAATATACATGTAATTCCTGAATATTTCACAATACTCCAAAGACAAAAATAGCAGAATTTGTAAGCAGAAAATACCAAATATAATAGTTTTTTTTTTTTTTTGCTCTGGCTTGAGACTTGACATCTCTTGACCTGTTGTGAAAGGTGCTACATAAAAGAAGAAACTGTGCAGTTGGAAATGGGGGAAATGAAGTGCAGGCTTAAAAAAAAGGCTTTTGACGTTTAACATGAAGTGCTTCTGAAATTCACAGGCTTTGGGCAAACAAAGAAAATATATAGATATATAAAAATTAACATAATGGTTGTTCTGTAAACAACATTATGTTATTACATTATGAGTTTTAAAGACAAGAACTGGTGTGTTAAATTGGAAATAATTTAAGGCTTACATTTATCCATATATGATCAAAATTATACGCTCAAATACATTCACTGACCACTATATTTGGTGAACTATATGGGGTCAGTGTCTGTTTGACTTAACAACCTCCTGAATTATTAAAGGAAGCTCACAGTACTGTTCATGAAACCAGACGGCAGGATCATGTCATGTCATGCCTCACCGCTCTTTGTGGTAGAAAATTGACAAAAGTTTGTTTAAATTTGTCAATTTTGGCTTACAAAGTATCAAACGGGTTGTACGGTTGAGGTTTTTTTTTTATGCAATTCCAGACAGATAATATTATCTGGGTTTCATATTGTCAAAATTAGTTTTTGTTGTTCAAGATTAGTTCCTTGTTGAAACAAGATGTTTAAGTTGAATTGGAAAAACTTTTCGTCATGATTGTGATGTAAAAAGCACCAGAAGGATAAAAAATAGAAAATTAACTCATTCCAAATATTTTCCCTACTTCTAAAAATGTTATGTTTTTCAATTCATCTGAGATCTTCATTGAATTATTTGTACTTTTACATTGTTTAAAGTATATATGCTTTCAAAAATATCAAAAATACATTGATTGTCCCTGTTCGTAAAGGCCTTGTCAAACTAAAGATCCAAGAAACTTTCTTCTCTACCTTTTCATGTAAATATCAGTTCATGTTCTGATTATTTAACTCTGTGAATTAATTATTAAAAGTCCTCAAATAGGACTTTTTCTTTGATGAGATGATGACTGACTGAGCCTTTTAGTTGTATAAATAGATGAATGATGAATTATAATTTCAAGAAAAGTGTATCCATGTGGGAAATCTAGCAGTTTACGGTAGGAAGAAGCTTGAAGCAGCAATTACTACGAACTAGAAGAAATGAAAACATGCACCCTAATAACTCCTCACAAAAAGCCAAGTGTTTTGTCTTTAACCTTTTCCCTTTCATTCAAAGTTCACAGAGCAAAGGTCAAACAGAGATCCCGCTGCTCACCTGACTGCGTATGTCATGCGGTCGGGTCTCAGGGTCCTCAACATGCAAAGCCTCTGGAGAAAAGTTTTGCTCTTCCAGTCGTGTGGGAATTTCTCTTTCTCTGGACACTCGGACTCGACAAACTTCTTCCAGCGTTTGGGTGAACCCAGGATGTCTCTGTCCAGGTGCTTGAACTCATCCATGGAGCACAGGGACTGTCAAATTTGAGAGAGAGAGAGGGAAAAAAAGAAAGCGGGATTTAAATCTGCAAAAGTTCTGTTCATCAACAGGAAGGTTTTGGACCACTTCGGAAAGATTTCTCAGCAAAAGCACCAACTTTGTTTGCAAAAATTGGAGGTGAGAAAAAAAACCCAGATTGCTTATCTTTCTCTCGTGCTCATTTAAGTAACATTTATTCAAAAGAAAATGCTGAGTAAACAATCGCTTTTGTAACAGCATGGGGGTAAAGGAAGTCTAAATATGCATCCGCAGCACAAACAGTGGGGTTCCATTGAGAGCCCCTAGCTGACAGACATCTTATCTCATCTGTGGAAAGCAGCAGTGTCACTGTGCTGCCTTGAGCAGGTAGTCGCTTTATGACAAGCACACACACACATAGCAAGTGTATGCCATGTTTCACACTGCATAAACTACCAGGAGGCTACTGAAATCATCCCCACCTACCCCAACACGCAAAGACGACAAGGTGTCAAGAAATAAAAGAACTCCACACCGTCAGAGTTGGTGAGGTGAAGGGAGATGAGACAAGGAGGCTCTCAGCAAACAGTTCTTCACTCTGACTTCACTTGTTTAATTATCCCAGGTGGGTGGCAACCTCTTAGTCCTGTTCAGAAAGAACGCACTCAGTCCCGAGGGATTCCTCCTCTGGTAATATCGTCAAGAGAGTCGAGCAATCAGAGGATCTTATCGTCCTTTAAAGCTTTCCTACTGATTATGTTTCCCGCTGCGATAAGAAAATCAAGTGACATAATTTGATTAGCCGGGACCTTAAACATCTGCAGTGCGCAGAGTGCAGCGAGGATGGGCTCTCTCAGAACCCGCGGAGGGGTTTAGGTTAAGTTAATATTGTAGGCGGAACAGGCTGAAATATTTATGAACAGGAGAAACGAACAGACAGACTTACTGCTGTTAGGCTTCAGTTTGCTGCTAAACTGATTTGACAAGAGAAGGAAACGGCGCGGAGCAAGACGGTTTTTTCTTCAGGAGAAGCCGTAACTGCTACATGTGATGCTTCGGCGTCACATGTAGAGTGACTCCATGCAGCATCACGTGCTATCAGGAGAGAGATCCAGGTGAAACAGGGATACAGGTTATAAATCTGCAGGAATCTTTATGAGCTGTCTGTTCTCAGAGAGTTGTTGCTGGAAGAGCATACAGATTACATCATATGAAGCAATTCCACAAACTGTAAGTCTAACTATGTTGAGGGTGATTTCAGATACTGTGTGGGGGGAAAAGTGTTTGGATCTATACAGAATTCTATATTTTACTTTAGTTTTCAAGTACCAATGATTAAATGCAGGGAGAAAAAAAGCCTTCTAGGCCAACCTATTTGGAAAAAAGAAATTCCTTCCTTTGCAAAATCAGAAATTCCTGCAGTCGTTCACAATCTTTCAATTAATCTTGGGTCAGGTTACAGGGTCAGCAGCCTAAGCAAAGAAGCCCAGACTTTCTCTCTCCCTATCCAGTTGGTCCAGCTCCTTCAGGAGAATCCCAAGGCTTTCCGAGGACCTCCACCGAATATTGCATCGTGCTCTGGGTCACCTCCCGGAGGGACATGATCAGAGGTATCCCAGAGGCACCAGAACACCTGACTTGTGCCCAAGTCCAGGCATCCAGATGCCTGAGCCACCTCGACTGGCTCCTCCCAACGTGGAGAAGTAGTAACATAACTCTGAGCTGGATGACCAAACTTTTCTCCCCATCTCTAAGAGAGGAATAACCCAGACACCCTGATGCTGCTTGCATCCGAAATCTCATTCTTTTTGGTCACTAACCAAACTCATAGGAAGGGAGATCTACATTTCCTCTTCGGACTGAGCTCTGTGACCCATGTCTGGTTTCCCTTTCTGTTCTTCATCAGGAGAAGTCTTTAGACTGCAGTCTGTCTGATCACTCACTAAGGGTTTGTGTGTCACATGTATGAAACTACCAGGGGCATAAGGCCCCCCGACAACCTAGTTCCTAGGATAGTTGGGACTCTCAACTCCACCACGATGAGGTGGCAGCCCACGGAGAGGAAAATTAACGGTGATTAATCCTAAAAGCTGAGTTCAATTTCACTTGTCACATCCTGACCTGATTACTGCCAGACCATTAGAATCGGCACTTTGGGACTTCAGTGAACCACAGTTCATTATCCGCAAATGAAAGAAAACATAGATCAGGAGAGAACTTTCCAAGGAGTGTCTGGCCTACTAAAAACTACACAAGACAACTCATGCAGGAGGTCACAAGCAAACTCAAAGATGATTCTTTAAGTAATGACTCATTTCGGAGAGCCAGTTACACATTAAGCTTTTTTTCTCTAGTTTCTCGTTTTAACAAAATGCATAAAAAAATGTTAGCATATGCATCCACCCACAAACTCATTTAAGTTGTGCATTTCCTTTTATCCTTTGGTCAAAACAAAATATTTGATGGTGCCACTTTGAATCAAAACATAACTTTGACTCGTGCCTGTTGTGAAAAAGTTTTAATGGGGTAGCTTTTTCATCCCTTTTTCCGTACCTTGATCCCTCCCCAGGAGTGGTTCGATAAGAAATCCACTGGCGAAGTTACACCTGGTTGGACAGGATACCTCAGCAGGAAGTCCAGCTCAGTGGGGCTTATTTCATTATTCATCAGGAGTATCTGGGGACACAACAAACAGGAGGGCAATGTTGGATTTCCCACACAAACTGCAACTTCTTTCTGCTTGATTAGATTCAGACAGGGTTCACAGTCTTGAGCAGCCGATTCAACGGCATGCGAGGTTTTGAAACAAATCGTGCAGAAGATGAAAGCAGCTCCCCTTCCTACCTGGAAGACGAGCTGAGCCGTGTACGTGAGCTTGTCACACTCAAACAGGCCTCTAGTGGTGTACTGGAACGCTGAGAAGGTGATGCTGTCAATTAGATTGGACACCCGCTGCTTGAGAGTCTCATCCGGGTCGGCCTTCAGAACCGCTTTCTGGAAGACCACACCGAATGCCTGGAGACGCACGAGAGAAGAGAACACAGTTTTCCAGGAGAAAGATGCTGGAACAGTTTGAAAAGCTGCAGTGTTGGCATACATATTGTTTAAAGGGGAGAAATTCAAATATTCAAATACACTTTAATGGGAATGGAAGGATTCATTTTATGGTGGTAATTTTGTCCTCAAGAGGGCTACAAATTGGCATCAGAGTACTCGTAAAACCACGAAAGAGACATGTCAACACACAACAATAACACAAAGACACGTCTCTGTAAGAGGACCTCCAGCACAAAATGGGCTGACGGCACCTTCAGAAGGGTGTCATTAAATTTTACATAAACTTTGTTGAATGCAATTTGAGCAGCACGGGTCACTCTGTAAACAAAAATAAACAAAGCAGCTGAGAATTTTATGAATACAAATGAAACATGTAGGAGGTCATACCTTTTGAAGGATGCTCAGTCAAGAAAGAAATCAAAGTATTTTATTAAGGTTAGTAAGAAATACCTAAAAACTTTATCCCGTTAGGTGTGCAGCACTTTGTGGAACTTGATTCGAGGTGGAACCCTAATCTGACTTGCTTAACATGCAATGGCTTAACATGTCCCATTGTGCCTGCATTGAAAATCAGATGCAGGCACCGATTTTCAATGGCAGAATATTTCATCTGACAGATTTATTGGATAGCCTGGACCCATGCTTCCCGTCATCCACACCATCCTCAGGCAGAGCAGCAGGCGAAAGTTAACTCCCAAGAGCCACAAGAAGTATATGACAGAAGAAGAGTTCAGAGTCACTGCTGCTCAAGGGGATTTTGCACCGTGGGGGAACTAAAAACGGGCAGGATTTCCTGGATGTTTCTCGTTACTTGTTTCTAATGTAATGCACTAAGCACAGTAAGAAAAAAAGAGGGCTAGTCTCAAATATGAAATTTCAGATGATTAGGTTTTTGTGACTCATCACAGGAAGGTACCTGGACATAAATAAACAGCTAAACTAGAACCATCATCACATCTGTCACAGAAGCTTTACAGTGCATAGCTATCAGAACTTTGCACTGATAGTTTTTCTCTATCAGTGCATAGAGAAGAAGCCGTGCACTGATTGAGTTCATATACAGAATATGAACTGATGAGTGAAGCCCATGTTTCAAAGATTTTAATCAGTCACAAAAGCCAGTAGAGTTGTTTATGACTCCATTTTTTTTACATGATTTAAAATTTGTAGCATCATGGCATTTTTTTTTTTTTAAACAGAGGATAAGTGTGTTTCTGGCACACATTGCCATTTTACACCACAATCAAGTAACTATGTTACCTTGTACTTTAAAAATGTATACGTCAAACATGACTTCAAAGAGATTTGATTTCTGTATCGTAGCTGAAGTTCCTACATTTGACCTTCCACTCATTTGTGGACATGAGTAGAGCTTTGCATAAACAGGCGTTAAAACACAAGGATCCCTTAAACGCGCACGACTGAGTCAAAGCAACACGAAAAGTATTTGATTTGATGACGGAATGACAGGATAACTTTATATAAACCTAAAAAAACCCGTGAATTTTTTATATTATGTATTAAGAAGCAAGACTTCTCAAATAATAGATAAAATTCTTTTTAGTTTTATCTTTTTGCTACAAGATAATAATAAGAGCAGTAATTCCTTTTTCTGCCAAGATTTGCACTATTTACTCACTCATTCCAGAAAAAAAACAAACATGATGAACTGCGAAATCATTGGCCTTATTCTGAACTCTCTAAAATGTGGTGCAATTTCAGTTCATCAGTGTTATGCTTTTCTTTAAACCCCTGTACATAAAAAAAAGATCTTATAATGTGCATTATTTCATGTAAGTCAAAGGTATAAAAAGTGAATGTGTTTTCATTTGATTACGCTGGGAAATAAGTTGTGCAGAGGCAGCTACCTGAAGAGTCGGGAGTGATTGCAAACCATATCTCAGGCTGCCTTCTCTCAGGCTCGCTGGCTGACAATATGAGAGACATTACGCTCTACATAACCACATTAGGGAGCCACAAACACAATAAAAGCAGGCCAAAGAGCATAAAACATGATGAGCAAATGGAAGCAGGAGGAAGAGAGAAGAGAAGCGGGGAGTGTAAAGACGGGCCTCTCTGGGAGCCCTGGAGGTGGGTAGGAAGCATAGAGGGTCAATAGAGAGGCTACCTTGAGTGAGAACTGGTACATGGGGTGGATTTTATTGAGATCGTTCATTATGAAGTACAATAAGGAAGCCCGCGCCGCTGCTGGCCGGTAGTGCTCCCGAGCCTCATTGATTTTGGCCTCTGTCACCTTGGCTTCCTTCACCTGCAGTAAAGATATCACAGTTTAAACACAAAGAGACAGTGTGCCGAACAGAAGAAGTGCACCCACTGACTTGTGCAGAACGACAACAATTCAGTAGATCTGAACGGACTGGCTCACATCGCATGGAATACGCGTCTTATGTGGAGATTTTTCTCAGCCACTGAATGCGCAATTATGCTTAGAAATGAACATCTGCATAAGCAGTGATCATTCTCTCACAGGCACACTGAGAGCATCACAAGTTGCTTTTTTTCCCCTTTCTTCCTAGTGTGCTCTAAGTAAATGTCGGCAACATCAGTAAACATCGAGCAGAGATGAGAAACAAAGCTGACGTGATCCGATATTCTGACAACGAAAAGAGAAACTTGGGGCACTGACTGAAAAACAGAAAACCCAGTAGCAATGGCTATGCATACAGACAATTCAGCAGTTACTTTGAGGTACAATCTCTGGTGAAATAAACATTTCTGACTGGGTGGGTCCAAGTAATAAACTTCACAAAAAGTACATTTACCTAATACTTATTTAAATTATTACAAGACAAAAACGGTGGGCACAGGCTATTAGCCCAATACGGGCACAAACTTTCTGCAGCATAAATATTTTAGCCACTAGATGACAAACTGACCTACTGACCTAGGAGTGAGGGGTTTTAGCATTGTGTGTTATACAGAGTAAGTCCACACTAGAAAATTTCAGGCCTGCATTGAGTTGTTTGTGCCAACAAGTTACTGTTGGCCAATTAGGAGGAAAAAGGTAGAAGAATCTTACAGTGAAATGTGAGTCTGTTAACTTTTAGTGTGAGCCTTTAACATTTTACTAAGAGGTAATGATATAAAGTCGCTCTGAAACGACTACAAACCCTTTTTCGAAAGCCAGGTTTCTGGGATGTAAAAATAAAAGAGACCAAGATGAATCATTTAATAATTTTTCCATGTGTAATCTTAGATTTGCTCTGCACAATTCAAGTGCAAAACACGAGTGGAAAATAGTCAAGACGAAAAATAATAAAACTGCAGTGACCTTGATGCATAAACAGACCGACCATCAAAGGGTTTGTTTGCATTTCTTCAGGTGAAGTTCTGGAAAGTTATTTTTATAAATAGTTTTCAGCAGGAAGAATACATATCCCTGTGAGCTTGATGGAAAACAAAGAAATGTGTCGGAAGTAAAACTAGTTTGACCTATGTCTATTATAGCCAACTTCAGAGATTTAAAACGACTCAAACTCAAAATGCTCTCATTAGTGGGAAAGAATGCTACGTTAGCAGATTAAAAAGTCCAACATTTCCAGAGAAACTGTTAAGTTTGGTGCTCTTTTTCCTTTTGTTCCCCAAGTTCACATGTGAGTTTTACATTATCTGAGTCTGTGGGTTGATTAAAACCACCTGCTCAGCTGTGACTCATCAGTTTCTGTAGCTCTGGCAGAAGCGGAGTAAACTTTTGTATTTCAGTAATGTAACATTGGTTCCAGTCAGTGTTTCTTTTTTCCCCCATTATACCGGGAGGAAACCACAACTGTCTTGTAATTGCGAGCTAATTTAACTTTTTAGTCCCAGATCACAACTAGCTTTCCTTAAGACCAAGTCAATGCCTTGTCATTTCACTAAATTAAATGACCCTGACTCATCATTATATTTACACCTTTAGGAAGGTGTTCAGGAATGAGCAGAGTTTCTTTCCTACTACTATTAGTCACCCTAAGGATTATACTTTCCTTGCAAGAAGAAAGAAATTGGTTCCTTTTCCTAAGGATGCAACAGTGTAGTGACATCAATCTGCTCTGGACCTCCTGCAGGAATTCTTGCTGCTTGTTCTTGACATATTCTGAGCATAATGTTCTTCATGTGTGGTATCCTAAAGTTTTTGTGTGATTGGTTAGAACTTTGAAGTGGTATAATAATTTGTTTTTGCTTTTAACGTAGCACTGAGATGAACTAGATAGACAAAACTGGGTTTTTTGAGGAGTACAGACAAGAATTTAGATCCTTTACATTAATTTGGCTGTTTATAAAGTCATAGTGTGGAAATTGAAGGGATGTATTGTTATTATTTTTAAAGTGCTACTGAAGCTATGAGGCTAGAACACCACAGATGGTGTAAAACACAATCTTGCCGTTAGTCTGGCTCAGAGATGAGGAGAAGGATGGACAACATAAAATCTCAGCAGTTGGATGGGCTCTTCCGTCTTGCAAAGCATACACCATAATGGGTTTAGAAATGGCGGAAAACAGTCGCCGCTTCCTTTTATTAGCTTGTTAGAGTCACAGTGTCACTTTGTAAGGAGCAAAACAGCAAGAAGCAATATTTTTTCCCCCCAATTATGCTGTAAAATATTAGGAAAAACAGCTCTGGATAAAAGAGCAGTGATAATGAAGAGATGTAAAACAAACGGGGCTGTTTTAGTGTGAAGAGAGTCTGAAAAAGAGATTTTAGATCATCCCCATCAAAATTGATCATGTTCATGGTATCATTTGGCAGCTAATTTGACTGAAGGATTATGAACTTTATGACTGCTGTCTTCTTCGAAGGCAGAGTAATTTGGCTGTAAAGGTCAGCTCTTCCACTTACTGGTCCCTGAACACTGGTCTGATTATTGAATACTTGGCTCCTGTGTGTGCTTTCATACTGTGTCCACAGGTTCTTTTTTAGTTGTTTGTGGGTTTTGAAGATTGTTTTAATGTCTTGTCGTTATTTAGCAAACAATTAGATTTTTGGTTGGGGAGAATTTTATGAGTCTCTCATCATGGTTATGGTTAGTTTTCTTCAGATATGTTCACCTGATGTACTTTTTGAAAACGTGCAGCCAGACTACATTATTTTGCATTATTTTGGAACTGAACTTGGTAAAAATGACTATTCCTGTTGCATTACGGTGCAAAAGTAGGTACGAAATTTATTGCTTGCCAAGAAAGCTCCTAAGAGGCCGATAGCAATATAAAAAGAGCTGCGGCAATTTCCAACAAGTGCTGGTTGCCTTGCCCATGTTGTACAATCTTCTGTATTCTCCATAATGGAATTTCAAGTCAGAATTGCTTTGTTCCAAAGAAAAATAATGGTCTGATAAAAACAAACATGAATTTTTGCCCTACAGTTTTCAAATGTCTTGCATAAAAGCTATGCCACGTATTCAACAAAAACAAAAAACATCCACAAGCGAACATGGTGGTGGCAGGACAAAGCCTTGGATTACTTTTGAGGACTGGTCAAGATGAATAGAGTTATAAATACTTCCAGATTTTAGCCTAAAATGTCCATTTGTCAGCTGGAGAGCTAAGAACGAAGAGGGAGTTGATTTGTCACTGTGATTTTGCACAGTGAGTGCATGCATAGAGCCAAATGAACAAAATAAATCATTTATGAGACTAACGTTATAGTGTTGTAATTGCTGGCCACAAAAGCTTGAGTTCACCTAAGAGAGCTGTGGACAAGAAATGTCCCCCTAATCTGATGGACTTGTGGGTGTTTTGCTGGGTGGACTGGACACATAATGTCAAAAAAAGAAATAAAACATTCCTAACAAAGAGGGCTCAATGGGACTAAACATGCTACTGAACATCCATCAGCAACATATTTCATTCACATATAGATATATCAAACCTTCTGTTCGATCTCGGCAGCGGTGCGTTTGGTTGTCTCCAAATTTTCCACGAGCTCCGTGTCTCCAAGGAAGTTTCCGGAAGCTGAAGACAAACGGGAGAGCAAGTTGTCCTCCAGCGTCTTCAGGGTGATCTTAAAGCCATTCTGCTCCTTCGTCAAGTCGGACTAAGAAAGGAAGAAATACTTGGTGTAAAAAACTTTGACATGTTGGTAGGTTTCTCATTTGAATGTGAGGAGTTGTACAGATGCTGGGTCAATACAAGGACATTCATACCGAAGGGCGCCTCAAAGGCAGAAGTGGTCGATACACCCTGCATTGCCGTAAGGACACATGAAGGCAGAGCTCGGAGATGGATTAACTCACTTTCGTCTGGTTGCCCACCTCTAACTTCTGCCAGCCGACCTCAGCGTGGGGAAGTCATCGATTCAAGCAGGAGGGAAGGGAGCTTTGATGGAGAACTACCCAAACAACCACGCACCCACCCGCGTCGATAATGACTAATCTCTTGCAAAACACAATGTTTTTAATTATGGGCCATTATGGGTGCCGAGCAGGAGGTGGACATAGAATTTCACATCATATGGATTAACATACCATGCCATCCAAAAACAGCTTCGACTGACAGTCTTTTCTCTTTGTTCTAGCTTAAAAACACAATAGTGTCAGAGGAGGAACTTAAACTTTTTCTCAAAGAATTGTGTTTGAGTGGCGTTGTGAGAACAAAGTCGACAGGGCAAAGTATCTCATTGTTTCATCCTGCTTTGTCCTTCATTTCAGCATATAGAGGTTTCGTGTGTTTCTGCTTAATAATGGCTTTTCTGACGTTTCCCTTAAAACCTTCTTCTGCAACCTTTGAATTACAATTCTTTCATTATAAGGAGGGAGACTCTTTGGGGAGAGCTAGATTTTCATCAAATGGTTTGAATATATCTACATATAACAGTGAAGTCAAATGTACTTCTGAATGTCCAAAACTACATCGAAAATAAAAAGTAATACACAACTAAAGACGTCCCACTCTGATTCAGGACACCAGCTCAGGTTCCCAATCACAGCATTTTTAAGCGATTGCTACCAAAACGTCTCAGTGTTGCTCTGCTGTTTGTTTTTTTTGCATTTGATTGATTGAAACAACTAGATTAAACCAAAGGGAATCAACTAGTCCTACCAAGTCAGAATGAATATGCTAATGTTAGATTAGCACTGCACAAAGTTTATGTGGATGGATATATTGTGAAAAACGATGTTTTGTTGAGGACAGAAGCTGTCCTCAACACTAAAAGTGGGGCATGTATGACGCTGCTAGTGTATCCAAATCTAAAACCGTGACATCAAGAGACAGAGAGGCTAAATAATTAAGAGATTAGGGTTATGGCATAGTCTGTCCCGAGGTCTTAATTCCACAGAAAATCTGAGGAGGGAGGAGTTTAAGTTGTCAAGCGGCACTGGAGGAAGTTTATTTAATTGGGACCATAGTCGCTGCTAATCAGCGGCTACGGTCCTAATCAGGATGTACAGAAAGATCTCGATCAGAACTTCAGCCTTCTGAGCCGCCTCAAATGGTATAGTGTTCCTAAGATGTTTTGTCAGTGGGGTTATGTCTTATGTTTTGACGTGTCAGTGAACCTCGAAATGATTCAAAGGAGGAAAATCCTGTGGTCAAAATGTAGCCAAAAATAGTCAACTTAGCATCAACTCCATCTTCCACGGTTGGAAGAAGAGAAATACTGAGTATGAGCCAAATCTCGACATGTTCTTATCAAAGCACGTCAGTGGAAACAACATTTTCCCTGTTGGGGAGACACGTAGAGCCTGACTTATAACACACTGTTGGAGGATGACGGTTGTATTGTGGTGATTAGAGGGCGGGGCTAAGCTCTACGAAACCTTGAATGAGAAACATCTGCTTGTTCTTCAAGTACACTGAGAACTGGATTTGCACCCATTATTCATTTCTTTTAATTTTTTACAGTATTCACATTTCTTGGTTTTTCAATAATATCATTACAAGCGAGACGTTTCATTTCTTTTTAAATGAACAAACTTTAGAAAAATCACTAGAGAATATTACATCTTTTTCCTTCCCTGCAATTATATCACGCAAAAGGAGGAGTTGAATTAAGAGATCCATCTTTGCAACAATATTTCATTTTGCTTGCATGAAAGCAAATTCATTTAACTTTTTAAAAATGTATTGTGCCTCTGGGTTGTTAATATTACATGCTCTAAATCTGTCGTTAATAACCAGGTTGGAGTTGAAAGATGCTGTAAAAGCCTTGAGGTTTTTATTCTTCTTCTTCTTTTTCCAAACAGGATACATTGGTATTATTTTTGAATGCCAAGTATGTTTTTGCAAGAGTCAAAAATGATCACAATGGGCTTTTTTTTTTTTTAAATATGGTGGACGGAGTCAACTGTGACCTTCTACATGCTTGCACTCACTGCTCTTGAGGGGGAAAAGCTTCCGGCACTAAAACATTCCCAACTGGATGCAGTAATGAGTCAGTTTTTAACGATTAGCTTTCCTCTGGCACATTGTACTTGTAATTACCCCAGCTTGGGGAAAAACAAACAATTAACCAGTCAGCAGAACACCCTAATTGGTATTAAAATGAGATATTACATCTATCATTTCTTTTGGCAAATGATTACTGGGTGCCACGATGCGGTCGTGTTAAGGTAATTTAGGAAGCGGAGCATTACACTTCTCTCGTTAATGAAGGGGGTTTGTGAAAAAGCTAGTCTGGTGCAAAAACGCGACTCACTGTGACAAAAAAACAAAAGCTGAGGTAACCTTGGTGGGAAAAGGTTGCAGATACGACCCTCCCTCCAAACACCCGTCTTGTGCAGATCCAAAGAAAAAGGCATCTTGATATTTTAGCCTGCCGTACCTTATTTATCTCGATTAAAAACTAGTTCCTTCACCTAGCAATCATCTTATGCCTGAGCAGCAACACTAACCTCATTAAAGGTATTATAGCACAGAGATACTGGAGGAATATAAACAGGTACAGGCAATTTGCCCTCCTCTATCATTGCAATGATTGTTATCACTCTGGGTTGTTGACAGACAACAAAAAGCCATTCAGAGCTTCATTGTACGAGCCGTGTTCAGATATAAGGAGGCCTAGGAGTGCACAGAGAGCCCGACACCCCCTCAAAGTTTCAGTGTTAATTAAAATGATAAGCGAGTTCCAGATCTTGTTTTTTTTTTTTTTTTTCTGTATCATCTGATCTGAGAGAAATGCTAATTAAACAAGCGTCATTAAATCACATTTCACTCCACTGAATATTCTGCTGAGAGGACACAAGGCTGAAAATATCTCTGGCATTCTGCCATTTCTCCCCACTAACTCTTCGTCTCTCCCCTTCGTCAAGAACGAAGATTGGACCCTGGATGGTGACCCGGCAGCGACAGGTCTGGATGTAGAACCGTCCAGGAAGTCTAGATGAAAACTCCAGGAAAAAAAAAGCTGTCAATATGCAAAAGCAGACTTTCTTCCAGAGTAAATCTGTCCGGACCGCTAACGGGGTTCCTGTGATTTCTTCCACTCTAATCTCTACACGACGCCGCCGGCAGCCAGACGTGTTCCGAGTAAGGAGGGGATTTTTGACTTTCCATTCAACTAACAAGGGCCGCATTTTAGGGACACGGAAAGTGTGTCAATGTGTTGACTAATTGCTGTGATACAGTAGCGCCATTGGCCAATCCATTTTCAAACAACTCGCATGAAACGAGCAGATTGCGGATAAGAAGGCATGGAGGCATCGTTAGGCACTGGCGCTTTGATCAAGAGAGTTTTTCCTTAATTACCACCATTTACATTCACACAGTGGCACATGCTGTGTATATCATAACTATGTGGTGCTCATTACTTTTTTAAAGTTGCCCAGAAATATGGTCTATTGTACACAGTGTGCAGTTTGTCACACGCATTACATTATATTGAATAACATAATTACCCCCTTCACCGTCAACAGTTCCTTTTAAAAGTCACAATGAATCAAAGTTTGAGATGTTCTCTGAGACAGTCTTATCAGAACCAATGGATAAAAATCGATCCACCACTGAGTCGCCATGTTAGGATGTCAGACACTTGGAAAAAGTTGTGCAGTGCAGTTGGATGTTGCTACGTATTAAAGCTCCTGCCCGACCCTGGCAAACTGAAACACACGGTAATGAGAGAGACTTGTTCAAAAGTCCTGTAACATGTTTGAAGTAAGAACATCGCTTTTAATTTTCTCCTATTCCAAAAATCTACACTGGGATCAATGGTGAGGAATTGAGCATTCTGCTGCATCAGGATATGAATTTGTTTTCTTCTCTCTCTATTTGATCAACTGACTCTGGTAAAGATATTTCATTGCTATATGACTGCCACATTTTATGAGTTAAATGAACATTTTGGATTTGATCCCGGATTCCCCTTAAATATGTTACCAGAAGACTTACAGATCGTTTAATGCTCACAGTTAAAATTATCTGCATTTTCTTATTTTTGACACTAACACAGTAATTAAACTGCCTTTACTCTGTCAAAAAAAAAAACACTACCCTCTGTAAGACATAGTTGTCTTTCCTTGCAGTTCACATAGTTAAAACAGTTTCTAGTGTATCCGTACTACAACACAAATATTAGAAAGTTTCACTTGAACCCCATGTTTTATGTAGCTGTCAATAAGCTTCTGGAATAAATGTGCAGTGATAGATTAGCACTCTTTTTGGCTGAATTGACACTGAAAATAAAATCTTCATTTTCTTCTTTATATTCACACAGTGGCACCAATCTGGTTTCCAGGCACAGATGAGACTTTTAAGCGCAGGCCACACAAAGGTTGATGTAATTTCTTTCAAAGGAGCCTTCAATGATAATTCTGTTTTGCTTTATTCATCCCAAAAGTCAGTTTTACTTTCTGTTTTAGCATTGCTGTATTTTTGAAATACCCATTTGTGTTCTCCTACTTGTTAATTTGACATGAAAAAGGAGGAAGTAGTTGCTACAGCTTACATTATGTTCTAGATACACTAGTGGTAGTAAAAATTAAGCATATCTTGAGTGAATGTATTGCAGCAGCTCTAATATCAAATCTGTTGCTGCTTTATTTTTTTTTTGAATGCTTGCATGTACTTGTGTAACTAGCAAAAACTGAAATTCCTTTAAAATTGGATGCAATGCCTGGGGGAAAAAAATCAAAATATGCTTCTAATATAGGTACGCTTTGCACATTTCCAATTTTTGGATAACTCCATATTCATGTAAAAGCCATGTTAGCACACACAACCTTTTATACACATAATACAATGCATGCACTCCCACGCTAATACACACACACACGCGTATATATGCATCCGGCTGAGCATTTTCCCTAAGTAGGCACCCTACAGTAAGCCTCATAATTATCAGACATCCACCAGGCGTTAATCAAAGGCGCTAGCTGATTGTCTTTGAATCAAAGAGCCCAGACTTGCAGCCTCCTGTGATGTTTCGAGACAGACGTTTTCTCGCTGACACGTTGTGTTAAAGATGGATAATGACAAGCGGGAGTGCTAAGCCCATTTTGTGGAGGCCTCGCACTTCTCTGTCTGTTTCTTTTAATTATACCTGCTCAGAGGAAACGCTAGGCGTCAAACTCAACGCAAATCGTTGTTTATCCTCTGATGAAAGCCGATGAGTGGGTCACGTTCTCCTTTCAGGTCTGCTCAGATTCACGTTTACATCTCTTTTGACATTTATGAAAAACATCCTTGATGCCCAACAGATTCAGATATTATTCCTCCTGCCTCTTCTTACCTTCAGCTGCTCCAGGTCAGGTCTCTCCATGCTGACCACTGCTGCCAGCAGCTGGTCCTCCAGTCCGTCTCTGGTCACTGTAAAATTTATCAGGGTGCACTGCGCCTGCAGCTCCGGCTGGTAATGAGGGTTGGCCAGCTTGGTGTGCAGGATGAGTCGGAAACTGGGGCTGTACTCGCACTCCTTGTCTCCGACCTTTATATATCTGAAATGTTTATTTGTGGAGGGTTTCGGTGTGAGAGGCGGAATCAAAAGTCGCTGCATTTAAATGAACTGAAGAAACCAAACTCTTGTGTACTTCGGTCTTTATCAGACTCACACCGTTGATCAAAGTGTTCAACAATTTAGATGAAAATTCATAGATATTTAAGACTGTGATACTGCATTTGTAAGCAAGTAGAAAACATTTCTCAGCCCTCAGGTTAAAACGACCAGTTGAAAAGCTGAATTAGTTTCATTTTGAGAGACATCAAAGTAAACATCAACCTGGTTTTGACTCACAGTGAGCTGATCTCACCAATCATTTCTACTTAGTGACATATCAGTGAAGTCGGAAGTCTGTCTTTAAGTCCCACCTGCCCTTCTTGATGGTTTCTCTTCCCAGCAAAGGGCCGAGTACAGGATCCAACGTTTCTCCCAGATTTTCAATCAGAACCACATCACCAGCTGCCAGCGCTCTCTCCACTGCATCAAGATACCTTTCAGGGCAAAAAGGAGGACATTTCTGTGAGAATTCATTGAGCCGTATCAACTGCAAAAGCCCTGGCCAACCTCCCTCCCCACACATCTCTTACCCTCGTTGTTCAATGCGGATCACCCGCAGCCGATCACCGTATCTGTTTTTGATCCATTTGATGCCCTGCAGCTGGGGGTCCACCATGAGGGGCCAGCGCTGGCAGGAAGTTAAAATGGTAGCGTTCTCTGTGGACATCCCGTCAGCCGGCAGGCCCTCGTTCTGCCACGCAGCGATGTCGGCGTCATCAGTGAGCATGGTCAGAGGCACCAGGTCTGCAGTCACTGGGATGGGAACCTGATTACATAGAAAGAAGCAGCAATTTATCTGCAAGGTTTCTGCAGGTTTCATCAAGTCAAATTTAAGACTTTTTAATACCCTTTTTAATGAAGCCTTGAATGCAATTAAAGACCAAAAAGACTAAATATAGGGGATGGTTGGGGGATCCTCCTGTACCACCAAACTCTGGTCTGTTTGCGCTTTCAGCCTTAATCCTTAGAGTGGCACAGTCCTTTTTAAAAAAAAATAAAAAAATACACCTAGCATTTTATGATGCATTCTTCAACTTACTTTGATAAAAGTAGAATCCTATTAAATATCTCCAGTTACTGACAACATAGAAAATATCGGTAATTTTAAAAACTTATACCTATATGTGCATTTATTGGTCTTCAATTCCCGACATGGCGCAGAAAAATTCACAGAACTTAATGTCTCTGTAATAATATTTAATAAAAACATATTTTCAAGCAGGAAGGAATGGAACATCACACAGTGGATTGTATGTGGATTTTTCCACCGGGTGGAAAAATCAATGTCTGATTCTGCAATCAGATGATTACCTTCTACCGTATTGGGGTCAAAAACCTTTCTAACTAATCTACCTGCAGCTCTTTCTGTGGTCAGCATTTATAACATTATAACAAACCTTCTATGACTAAATCAAATATAATTTTTTTCAAATTTTACTGAATAGACATTTTCCACAGGGTGGAACATTAAGGTTTACTCATACATGTTTAACATATTTAAGATTTTTTAAAAAAAGTAAGGAGATTGTGAGAGTTGAAGCTTACCTCGTTTTCCACGGTTGAATTCACTTCCATTAAATGGATTTTATAAAATTTTTGTCTTTTTGAAGGCAAAAAGGAAACATTCTAACAGGCTGGAAAGTTAGTACTGGGACATGAATAATATGAAGAAAATATCAAATAAGAAAGTTTCAACAGATTCAATTGCATATTACAATAGTGTTTTGTACAGTCAATCAACTTATTGATGAAAAACAAAAAAAAATCTATATTTTATAGTTTAAACTTTTAGAGGAAGTCTATTACACTGCACTGCGGACACAATGAAATTGAGCATGTGTGTCACCAAAACGGTGTGTAAAATACAAAATAATATTTAAAATCCATTTAAATTATATTTGAATGATGGCAAACATCTAAATGTATAATCAAAATACATTATTGTAAATATTAGGTACATTTGAGAAAAAATGAACAAAAATGAACATGAAAACATGGAATGTTTTCAGTCAGAATCTGCTTTCAGATTCTGACTTTTTGCCGCAAAAAGTCAGAATCACCCGTACCTTCAGCTGACTGAGGTAAGGCCTCCAGCAGTTCTCCATCAGATGTCGCCTGTAGCGTTTGGTGAAGTACCCCAGGTAGGAGATGAAGGCAGTGATGAGGAGGACATCCCCACACAATGTCCTCTCCTGTCTTCTAAAGTTTTCTATCGCTTCTGCCCATCGGACATTTTCAGCCGCGAGACCTCCCACCTGGAATACAAGCAGAGAGCAGAAAACGCATTTCCATTTTACTCCCACTGCAACTTCTCCTTCCTCAGCATATCCCCCCTCAACTCCCAGAGAGATTTCGTCGAGTCAAACTTAAATTAATCTATGGATGCTGCTGCTGATGCAACCAGCCTACGATCACCCAACCACAACAATGATTTGCAACTTCCAAGTCCTGTTCTTATTAGATTTTCATCTCCTTTATAACATTTCGGCTCGTGTTCCAACACCTCCACTTTTTACCGCTGGAGTGATCCAATTTCCCTCCACTGATGAATACAGCTCACGCTAATATCTCATCTCTGCCAAACTCGAGAGGCCGGATGCTTTTACGCACTGGGAGCTCGGCACCCGTCGCGGAAACAATGTGCACTTGCAAGGTGCATTTGCATTGATATTCAGGACTGACTGGCAGATTAGCACAACCTCTACGGCTTTTTGTTGCTCCTGTCAGGCCTTTTGAAAGCCTTCTCTGAATAATTTAGATTATCGCGCTAACATTGTCAACACTCATCTTTTTGTTTAGCTGTCGTCAGCAGTGGATGCACACGTCGCTGGGTGATGGTGGGATTTAAGTAAACGCTGTGCCTGTGTGCAACGTACATCCCGTCGGCCACGAGAGAGAAAGTCCCGCCACCTGACAGCTTTAAAATATACCCGAGTGTAAACGCTCATAATTGCAAACTTATGCTCCGTATTCCTAATGCTAATCCAAGAAAGATATTTTGACTGCTTTTTTTAGTTAGAATCACTTATGTAGATATTGATGTATCTGGACAGCAGATAACTTAAATGTACACTATATCAAGAAAGTTAAACTGATAGCTGACATATTATGAATTAATCTGTCAAAAACTGTTATCTGAGAAAGCTTTAGTCGTAAAAGCCTTGTAAGTAAAATGCCATGTGGCTAAAGAATATGATTTTGAGTATATTAGCAATACATCAAGATCCATTTAATATCTAAAAGTGATCATTAAGCATTCATCTTCATTGATTAAAACTGTCTAGAGCCCATTAGTTTTGACAGGAGGCACCGGAGCTGCTGAGACAAACCAGAAAGCCTCGGCTAACATTTATAAAGCTAATTGTGTTCTGTAGCAAAGTACTCAGCTGTCACTGGTCTGAATGATTAGACCTGTGTTTCCAACTCCAATACCTGCCAAGTGTTCAGTGGAACAGATTCTAAAGCTAAAAGTCAGGAGGCAATTATAGCTCTCATTCATGGTGAGAAGATATGGGGTCACGACTGAACTGCAAAAAACACAAAATCTTCCCAAGTATTTTTGGTCCAGTTTCAGGAGCAAATATAAGACAAAACTAAGTTACAGGTAACTTTTCAGCAAGAAATAGGAGCTTGTCAAACCTCACTGCAAGGCAACGCTGCTAATAAATGTGCCTCCATGCAGCCCTCAGTCTAATCAAGTCACAGTATTCTACTTTAATTTTACATCTATATTAAAATTTAAAATGCTATCCTCATTGATCAACATTCATTCTAAATATTCGTCCTGATTCTGTCCTTTTCTCCACAGAGAGTTCAATAAATCAATCAATCAAATTTTATTTGTAAAGCACATTTCAGCAGGAAGGCATTTCAAAGTGATTTACATTATAACAAATACAAAAGGTCATGCAACATAGAATCAACAATCAAAACATGACATTAAGTCAAGTTCCATCATTAAATTTGTAATTGATTACGTTTTGACTACAACTCTAAACAATTGGGTTTTTAGTGGCGATTTAAAGGAAGTCGGACATTAGTCCTCTAATTCTGGAGATGTTCTTCAGGTGATAGAAGGCCAACTTTGTAACTGTCTTTATGTGGCTCTGAAGGTTTAGGACAGAGCCCATATCTACTCCCAGGTTTCGGGGCTGATCGCTAGTTTTTAGTTGTAATAACTGAAGCTGTGTGGTGGCTTTAGATCTATGACTCTAGATCGTTCCTCTTAGGTCCAAAAATAACTTTGGTTTTGTTTCTTTTCAGCTGGAGAAAGTTTTGGCACATCTAAGCCTTTATTCAGTGACTGGATGGGTTCAGAGTCACCTGGTGACATCGTAATGTAGAGCATTGTGTCATCCGCATAGTTGTGGTAGCTAATATTATTTCCTGTTATAACCTGAGCTAGTGGGAGCATATAAATATTGAATAACATGGGTCCTAGGATTGACCCATCTTATTCTGACCCAGCTCTCCAGTCGATTCAGTAATATGTCATGGTCGACTGCGTCAAAAGCTGCACTGGGGTCCAACAGAACCAACACTGTGGTTCTCCCACAGTCCGTACTTATTTGTATATCATTTAATACTTTTACGAGGGCAGTCTCCGTACTGTGGGGAGCACAAAAACCAGATTGGAAGGAGTCAAAGCGGTTGTTTATCATGAGGAAGCTATTTAGGTTTTTTCAATAACTTGGCTGATGAATGGGAGGTTGTAATCGACCTGTAATTCTGCAGTAGTAATTTGTCCAGGTTGTTCTTTTTTATCAGTGGTTTGATAACTGCTGTTTTCAAAGGCTGGGGGAAAACGCCTGATGAGAGCAATGAGTTCACCATTTGGATCAGATCAGTAGCAATAACAGGCAGGACTTTCTTAAAGAAATGTGTGGGAAGGACATCCAGACAGCAGGAGCTTGAACTTAATTGACTTATAATTTCTTCTAGGGTTTTATAATTAAGTAGTTGAAATTTTTCCTGTATTTGTTTTGTTTGGGTACAGCAATGGTTCTGGCTTTAGAGTTGATGTGCAGATTAATCGTCTGATTTTTTAAAAGTTTTTTCTGAAAAGAAGCTGGAAAACTGGTTGCAGGTGGCATTAGATTGAAATTCAAGTGGTAACATCATCATTTGTGAGCCTGTCAACTTTTGCAAATAAAGCTCGACCATTGTTAATGTTTTTGTTTACAATTTCTGCAAAGAAAGCCTCCCTTGCACGTTTTAGTGTTGAGTGATAACCAGGTCCAGTGTGTGTCCTCAAGTGTGTGTTGCTTGTTTGACATGTTGTGTATATATTAAAGAATGAAAGCTGAGATCACAGACAATTATTAAACAATCATAATCAATGAATATGAGCGATAGAAGCTCATTTAAGTCAGTAAAGAAATTTTCCACCTATGTTGGAGTTTGAATAAAGTCAGTGTCAAAGTTCGTTTGTGGCCTTTAACCTCAATTCCAAGTTTTATAGATGACAAACGCCCTTGACTCCTGAGGTTGAACCTCCCTCAGCCATGCTTCTAATCAAGAGACTCAGGCAAATGAATCTCATGGATCTGCTGTATATTGTATTCTATATTTCTATTTAAAAAAAACAACAAATAAACAAAAATAGAGTGTATGTGGCAAGATTACAGTCATAGAACGCTGGATTAATGTACCAGTTCCTCATTTTAAACTAAGCAAAGACAGTAAGCAGGATTTCAGTCAACAAGTGAGGGACTTAGCAGCTGGATGAGTCACTATCTCACATCTCTGTTCTAATGCTAGGTTGTTTTAAAACAAAAAGACTGCATGGAACGCTGCATGAAGCTGCTACATGCTACATAGACAGAATGAGGTCCATTTGCATGTTAATAAAAGTCACAGGGACTTTAATTGGAGTTAGAAAAAGAGTGTTGAGTAAAGCTCGAAAAAACTTTAATTGGAAATGTTCAATATTCTCATTTCAGAAAGTAAAACTTCCACATTATATAGATTCATGAGATAAATAGTGAAATATTATAAGTTTAATGATTATGGATTACAATTAATAAATATGAAAAATTATATGTCTAGAAACATTTGATTATTACCTAAGAAACACCAAGGTCACTGAATCAGCTTAGTGAACATTTTCCTTTTTCTAACTACGCTACAACGTTTTTATCACTTTTCATCATCAGTAAGCCACAGTGATTACATTTACAAGAAATAAAACAAATCATGACAACAGAAACTCCAATGTGATCAAAACTAGAACAAAGCATTTCATTCTTTTCCCTGTCTAATAATAAACATTTTCATAAAAACCATATGACCTTGCAGGAAGAACAGTAACGCTGTGCAAGGCCTTAAAAAGTTTTCAGAACCACTGAAACATTTTATCACATAAGAACCACAAGTTTTGGTGTATTTTACTGAGACACGTATTTCTACTAAACACCTATCCTGAGAAGCCCTCAGGGATGTTTAAAACAAAATACTGAATGAATAACAAGCGGGTCAGGGGTAAAGATGTGAGGAAGCTTAAAAGTGGGTTAGGTTATAAAACAATATTTCAAGCTTTGAACAACTGTAAATCCACAAAGATGCGGCCATTTGCTTAAACCTACAGAGAAGCAAGAGGTATGGAGTCATTATGCAGGAGGAGTTTGAGATTTACAGATCAGGTGAAAGACTAAAACATTTACTCCATAAATATAATCTTTATGGAACAGCGCTAAAAGAAAGCCACTGCCAAAAAACACAAAAATGTAAGAGAATCCTCTGGTCAGGTGAGAGAGGGAGGCTGATTGTTTCTGGTCTTTATACAAAACATCATGTGTAGGGGGGAAATGTCACCATGCCCAAATCATCCTTTGGGGAAACACGGTGTTAATATCTGGCTGTGAGAATACTTTTCTTCAACGAGTGGGAGGAAAGCCAGGGAGAGAGGACAGGAGTATGGATGGAGCTAAATACAGGAAAACCCAAGACGGAAGAGAGTTGAAATCTGAAAAATACTCGAAAGAGGCGTAGAGCAAAACAATGGCTCCAAGTCCAGATCTACGTCCAATTGAAAGCCCATGACAAGACTTGAAATATGTGTTCACACATTTCATCCATCCACAGTGGGAGCTTTTTTTTTTTTGACAAATGAAAAAAATAGAAGAGGGAAAGAAAGGCGGTATATATTTCAGTCTCTAGATATGTGAAGATGGATATTCTGAGAAATATCCCAGAAGAAAATCAGAAAGGTTGGTGGTACAGATAAGAACTAAAGGGATGCATTCAAATGTACGACGCCTTCAGATTTTATTTGTAAAAGAAAAATATCTGTATAGATAGTGTTTTTTCCGTTTAATGCTACTTTGTTGGTCTATAAATTACAATCCCTTTAAAATACATCAAGGTTTGTGGTTGTAATGAAGTGAAATAGTTCAAGGTGAGTGAATACCTTTACCATATGCAATGTTTGTGAATCAAACAGAAAACAGTGTTTTCGGTGTGTTAGTGGTTAGCCTGTGCTCTACGTTATCCTGCAGCTGTCCTCCTCACCAGGCGGTTGGCCAGTGAAATGGTGCGAGCCGTTGATTCTGCTTCCTGTTGGCACTTCACTTTGTCCGCAGTGGCTTTCTCAAACTTAGCCGTGAGCTTGGCTAGGTTCTCATTAAGGTGCTTAAAAAAAAGCAAAAAAAAAACACACACACACATACACAGAATAAGAGAGAGAAGAAAATATATTAGGGACTTATTAATTTGTTTATGTAGTCAAGTAAAACATAAGGGTTTATAAAAGCAGCTTTGGATGGGAGGGAGGAAACAAATTGGATAAAACTTTCCTCTTTTCCTCTTTAGTTGGATTTATTGGCATATGGAAGCAATTATAACAAGGACAAACAGGATTAATCGGCAGAGAAGCACACAGGTTCAGTAGATTAGCTAGAGGGTTGCTAATTCCCCTTGGCTCTGAAAGCCATTCTCTGCTCAGGCGATCTGACTGAAGGCTGAAAAATGACAGCGAGAAGTCATGCTGGATCTTATTAACAGCCGACGCGCCACACTCTGCAGGTTTTGATGTAAGCGGCCGCATCTGCCGCAGTCGCAGGCCTCGCTTTCTGCTGAGACTCTCCGGACCTCCGATGAGCTGAATGTCAAATACCACTGAGCAACAATTATTTACAGCTGCCTTTTCTACGGCAAGCGGGGATGGATTTGGTTTTAGATTAATGAACAGCAAAAGTCTTTTAAAGCACTTACACCAGCTTTGTATTGATGGAAAGCTGGCGGTGTATAATTACTGGAAGAGCTTGTGTGTCAACTGTCACTCAAAGGCTGATAAAATAATTCATATCCTGACTTTCTGCCGCCGCTCACACAGCCTGTGGTTGTTTCCATTTTATCTGTGCGCCATCAGATTCTTAATATGCTGCGTATCTTCGGGGTTTGATGGAGTTGTTGATCCGAGCTGATGTCTCGCAAATCAAGCGGCGTTGTCTACCTTTCTTGAGTCATTATTCAACTCTCAGTCAGCCCAAAACTAAAGTTGAGAGATTTTTTTTTAACAACTGTCACTGGATATTGACTCAGAGGACTGATGATTCGGAAAACACAAATAAAAGAATACCTTCAAGGATCGTAGCAACGATTTGCAACATTAATACCAAAACTTTCTTAAAGAAAAAAAAGAGAGCGAGATCTGTTGAAGTCAGTGTTCTGAAACAGACTTTTGACTTTTTCAGACTCAAATGATCAGAGCTTATTTCTCACTTTTTAAATTCTAAAGATCCCAAACATTTATGGTAGATATTTCTATACAAGCCAGACTTTATAAATAGAACCAGCAAGAATCAGAGACTTGATAAAAATGGAAGAAGGACACAAGAATGAAAAAGAAAAACATAAAGAAGGAAAGGACAAAAATTAAGTCACAAGGGAAGATATAGGAAGGGACTGAAGTCATCAGGAATAGTTGAAGAAAAGGAAAAATGTAAGGACATAGGAAAGGTCACAGGGTCAGAAGTAAGGATATATGAAAGGAAATTGAAGGAAAGAGAAGAGAAAGTTTAATAATTAAATGAAGGAAGAAAAGACAATGAAAGAGAAGGAGGACAAACTTAAGACACAGAGGACAGAAGGAACTGAAAAAATGGGGTAGGGAAAAAAATGTTTCTCTAAACTTAATTTTCTTTTTCTATGCTAGAAATTCAATCGATGTACCGTCGTAAAAACGAATTTTATTATTCCCGACATTCGTCCAACTTACGTTGATCTTCCTCTTGATGGCCGTCAGCTTCTCCTGCGCAGCAGCCAGTTCAGCGTTGGCCTTGCGTAGAGCTTGACGTTTGGGCTCCACCTCACAGTAAACCTCGTAGAACTTGACGATGTTTAGAACCCAGGAACACAAACCAGCAGCTGCGTAAGACTTGGAGGCCACCAGGTCCGGCTGAAACTCTGGATTCTAGAGGGAACCAAAACGGATGAAGAACGGTTTGAAACGATGCTCGACCTTAGTCAGGTTTATCACTCAAATCACTCAATTGGGAATCGGTAAACATGTCAGTTGTTACATTTCCATGGTAAGAATCATTTGCAGGAACCAAAGTAGGTTTCTGGGGAAAATACTCAGAAAATACTCTACTCCTGTTGTTCCCTGTAGAGCAGGGGCCGCTGTCCTGCAGTTTTTAGATGTGCCACAGGTACAAAACACTGGAATGAAGTGGCTTAATTACCTCCTCCTTGTGTAGACATGTTCTCCAGAGCCTGGATGACCTAAATACTCTATTCAGGTGTGATGCAACAGAGGCATATCTAAAAGGTGCAGGGCAGCGTTACTTGAAAATGGTCTCGCAGAAACAATGTTGCTCTTCACTGTTGCTTAAAGTCTGGAGTGACTTTATATGGGGTTATAAAGTGACACTGAGATACAATCATCAATTAAAGATGTTCTGCTAAAAAATAAAATATATTTTTATTTTCATGCCTGGGATTTCTTTTCTCTATTTTGCACGGGATGGTGTGGTTCATTTCACATCCATGATGTTTCTTGGATTTTAAACCATAACCACGAACAAGATATTTTTTTCTACAATTGGGATAATGTTTCTTTCATACTTCAGTCTGGGACTTGATGCCTTCAGGCCAATATCTAAAAGGCCTGAGGCAGCAAGTGGGGATTGGAACCAACCCACTGTGATTACACCTCTGAGCCACCAAGATAGGTAGCGACTCGTGTTAAAGTAAAGCCGCTTTAGGCCAAGTAGTATGATGTAGGGTTGACAGAAGGCTAATGAGACAATCGGTCGCAGGACTTGAAGCTAAAACACAACTCAGCACTTTGCCTGGTGTCATTTGATAGTTTGTTAATTCTCACCTTTGATCGACTTTGATGAAGTATATTAATACGAAACACCATTGGATTTCTGCCAGATGCCTCTGGTGTTGCGGGGTTATAAATGCAAAAATAATAGTGGTATATTCTTTAATGCATAAAACCCCCCCACCTCAAACAGAACAGGAGATATGCGATATGCATTTTTATGCAAAGTGCTTGATGTTTACCCAGCTGAACATTCGGTGCTGTTCAGCAAAGGTGTCTTAATCTGTGTAGAATGTGGCGGGATCCATCGGTGATGTATAAACAAGCAGAAGCAGCTTAAAGAGGGGATTTATTTGTATCTATTACATGCAACAGTTTAGTCAAATATCCTTCTGGTGAGGACATGAGGAGGAATGCCTTGTCCATGGACACTTAGCCATTTGGATTAGAAGGGAACCCAACATTACAACTTTTGACATGCATACGAACCCCTGGCTGCGAAATGAATTAATGAAAAGTCATTTGTAATTTCATACAGATGTTTATGAATTAAAAAGAGAAAAATTTATTTGTGGGATCTCAGTTTTCTCTTGAGCTTTAGAAGTCTACTCATGAAATTTGTTTACAGTCCAATAACTTGCTCCCCCTGCTGCGCTGTAAAGGTCATTTTTGTAATTTGTTAACTGCAAAACGAACGCATCTCTAACACACCCAAAAAGGTGAACATATCTCTGGGATCCGTTCATAAATTTATGATGAGCACAAGACTCAGATCAAAGCTGGGTGGTCAGATCACCATTAAAATATTTTTGCCTTTTAAAGATGATAGAAAAGCAAAATAAGGATTACTGGAATTAGATAACTGGAAAAAGCAAAATGCCAAGACAAAGTGTAACAACTAAAAACGCATAATATATATCATGTATCCTTTCCTATTCTCATAACATTGAACATTTAAGTTAGGTAATAAACTTTGAATATGCAAAAAATTGCACCTCTAACATTTTATCTTGTCAACTCCTTGTCTTGTGTTTTACTTAGTGAATATTTTGGTCTGTTTTTCATTATTGCAACATTGATAAAAATGACAAAAAGTCATACAATTACACTGTGGCCAAATACAAACAACGTGAGGCTGGGGTTGTCTGGCGATGTCTATTTGTGGCACAACAAATTCATGCTCGGAATATTTTTAAGCTTAATGTGAAGAGCAAAAAGAAAACATGTGAGAAACCCGGAATGCTGCAACTAATCTATTCATGTGAATGAATGGCGGCAGGGCAGATATGTGACGAGGTAAAAAGTGACATTTAAATGCTACAAGACCTGACTTGGTAAGAATTCAGCTGGGACTTTGGAGGAAGACTGACTGGGGTGCTCATTAAGACTTTATTCGCCACATTTTTGCTGCAGTCAGATTAATTGAAAGGACGTCCCAACGGGGCTTCAGATGTCAAGCAAATACGGCGTATGAAATATTCAATAATCCTACAGATATCTGCCAGTGAAATTTGCTTGCAAGGTTAACATTAGCAGAAGGTAGTCACAATGGAAGCTTAAGTCACAATAAATTGAGAAAAAATTATTACACTATGTTAAAAATTCAGCTCGACTGATATTTTTTTAGATAAGAAAACAAAACCTAAAGAAGAATAATTAAACTGATTGAACAGAAGATATTAACATCATGCCCTCTAATATCTGCTCTGACTCTTTTTGGTTTAAATAGCATTAGCAAGGCATTTCTTGTAGCCGTATGTTTCCAACATCGGATTGAAGAACATTTGCCCCACTCCTCACTTTCAGCCTCGAGGTATTTTAGCGTGTTTTTTGCATTTAAAGTCCAGTTATAGAAAGTCCAAAGTTTTTCACATGGCTATGTTTTCGTAACATCGCTACAAAGATGAACACTCGTATAAAAGCGTTCTGAAGAAACAGAAGTGTGTGTTATCTGCTGCACTGCCATGCCTCGTGTCTGCTTCATTGAACCTCATAATCAGGGCAGCTGTTAAATTTGCAACACTTAATTTACTCCTTGATTTTCTCTGGCTGTCATTTTAATGCTTGACAGCCATAATGTGCCTCTGTCATTATAATCACGGCCTGCTAAAATTAGGATTTATTAGCAGAAGTTGGAGCGCAGTGCTTGGCGACCCACCAGCCACTAGGAGGGCTCACCTGCAGGTAAGGCCGGATGGCTTTCAGGCAAGCCTCTGGGATGTTTTCTTTGTTGAAGTTTATCAGAGAGTCCAGGAAGTAGTCCACCTTGGCCATCATCACCTTGGCTGCCTTCCAGCTGCGATCCTTCGGGACTTTGCCTGCGGGTGCCATCAGAACCATGACCGCCGCCGTGACGTTGGTCACCGCCGCCACGGGAGAACCAAACGACTTCAGCTCGGTCAGGTTGTTCTGAAGAGGAAAACGAGGAGGGAATTGTAACCGTTAAAGAAGAGGGAGAGAGTGATTTAATTGAGTTTGAGAAACTGTGCAATCTCTCTGGTCTTCTGAGCAGGGGGAAAAGAAAGCGGGGGTGAAAAAAGGAGCGGATTAGAATGAAGGAAGAAGAACCTGTGCTGACTGAGACAACAACAGAGAATTCTAATTAAAGAATCTGGAGAGAGCTCTGAGCAGTGATTGAACTGTCTGTTCTGCTTGTTTGAACAGAGAGCACCTTTTAAACACAGAGGGTGTTTTGGAAAATCCCTCAGCCAGCTCTTAAACCTGCATGGGATGCAAGGATAAAGTGAAATGTCGACGAAACATAAAGACAACATTATTGTAGTAAAGGCCCGTCTAAACCCTGTGATTTAATAATCTTTTCTCACAAGTCAAGTCCACAGAAAAGATCAAAGAACAACAACTTTTTTTTCTTTTTTTCAACGAAACAAAAAATTCAGATACAGGTAAGGAGTGATGGGACAAATCAAATATAGCAGAGAGTGACAGCAGAGGAACTGACTTTGTTGAGGGTGTTGAGGGCATCCTGAGCTGCTTGCAGAGCCGGCTCAGCCTTGGCCAAGTCCTCCTCACAGTCTCTCTGCTTGCCCCTTACCACTACAGCAATGGCCGCCACCTTTTGTTCTTCCTCATCAGCCACAGTCTTCTCCTTTGTGACCTTCTCTGTTTCTATCCCAACCTCCTGCGGGCAGCACAAAGGGCTTCGTCAGTAAATTAACCAGATTTGGTATACATAGTCTGCAGTGAAACAGCACTGTACCTAGGTGTCCTACTGACTAGCAAAGTAAGAAATCACCACTGAATGATTACAAATGGCATTCAATTCGCTCTTACTTGAATCAGCTTGTCAGCATCTTCATTCTTCTGCTTGAGTTCCACTTCCTGGGCAGCCAGCTTGGCCTTGAGATCATCCACCTATCAGAGGAGGAGACTCAGGAGTTCAGCTCTGAGAAACAAGACTAAGGGCTCCAGGTGTAGGTACGGTTCGACTGAATTGACTTTTTATTTTTGCTAAGTGCTTGTCCATATGTAGTCTTGACATAATATTAGTGATAATTTTTCCTTTTGGGCATTGCTCAAAGAGAAGATAAGGTCTCTGGCTGTTTAGGCTGAAACGTAGAAAATTGAGGCATTGGGCACAAAAGATTTAAACGTCATGGCGCATTGGAAACAGCCTTTGCCATAAGCTTTAGCGACACAAATCCTGGTTGGTTTTGATCACTTTTTTCTTTTGATAAATCACTGTTTGAAAACTGCCTTTTATATTTAATCTGCAGCACTGTGAGCAAAATCTGAGTCGAGAGCAGGGCTTGTAGATGCAGAAAGAAAAAAAAAAACATATAGTGTATTTATGCATCAAGTACAGAGATGGGGGGGGGAATAAAACAACAAGCATGCTATTGTCTTTGTTAAAAAGGCACAGTGAATTCATTGTCAGGTAAAATATCCACACTAGTGTAGCCTGATCCTAAATATAAGGGTTGTAATCCACACAATGTAGCAATAAATTATCTATTTTTGTTATCATCTTGTAATTCATTGTAGCAAATGAGTGTTATCTCATTTAAAGTCTCACATGCTTTAGAGGGACTGATCGTTTATTGTTGGTGATTGTATCATCTCTCGGCCGTGTGGAGAACACAACTGCTGACAAAGCTCAGCAACCATTTAACTGAAATCTAAACATCTCCTTAGTCGTTCAAAGCCATGGATACGGTTCTGTGACTGGGAAAGCCTAACAAATAAGCCCCACAGAGTGCCCTAAACCTTTTGATGATAAGATGTTGTGCCGTGCTGGATTGTGCCATGTGACCTTTAATCCATTATGTAGAGAAAATCTTTTCCTGTCCAAGCAGATAAAGCCACAGAAAAGATGAATGGCATGGATTTCTGGGGAGGGAGAGTGAAAAAAATAAAAATAAAATAAATAAATAAAAGCTTTAGGATGAAGAGCTGCTATCAGTGCACATATACACACACTCACTAACAGAGACCAAGGACGGTCATAAAGAGAAATTAAAGCTGTTACAAATTCCCTATAACTCCCAAACAAATGGGGCTCGGCATCGCTGTCCGACTCCATCAAAACCATTGCACGGGGGAAATAAAAACAAACTGTTTTTCCAGCTTGTCTTTCAGCTAATTAACCAACTGGAAATAAGGCCGGGGGGAAGACAGCCGTTTCGGCTCGCTACAGTTCCATGCAAAAAGAATTGGTTGAATATGAGACCATCACCAAGTGAGCCATCAACATGATGAATAGGCAGTGGGGGAGAAAGGAAGGAGGTGGATAGGAGAAACAGGGACACACTAATTGGTGGAGGACATGGGTGATGTTCAGTACATCTGAGCCGTTTGTCTGTTTATATGCTGCAGATGGAAATCCAAGCCGAGGAAAACAAAACCAAACAAAAAAATGTCTTTCTGCTCCTGACTGTTTTTATGAGACAACCCACACTCAGGCCCTGTTGCTGTAAATGTAAATTGGAACAACTGTTTCTTAGGGCAAGATATTTGATACCACGGCAACAGACTGTACAAATTCATCCATGCGTGAGATAGCTTATGGGCAGAGTTGGAGATTTCACCGAGTGTTTCGCATTGTATCTATAGCTTCATTCATGAAACAAAGAAACATCTGCCTGCTTCTTGTTTCTGACCCATTAGGGTAAAGCTTTAGCAACTGCAACTCTTTGTTTGAGGCCCTACACATCCCTCTATTGAGAAAAATAATATCATTAGAAAAGATATTACTTCCTTTGTTTTCACAACAGAAACCACAATATCACACAAAAGTCTGCAGGGGAGCTTATGAAGCTCACGGAAATTATATTGCCATAATAAGAGTCAGAATAGTTGGATAAAATCTATATATGGGCATATTAAAAATCAAAAAATGTTGGAAAAAGTCTGCTTTCCCACATATATGAACCCGAGTGACATCCAATTCCTAATCTATAGAGTTTAACAGGTTGTTTGCCCAACACCCCATTAAGGTAAAACAGCCTCTACTCAACAAAGCCTTTTAAGAAGCCTTTGTTCTCTGTTCTGTCAGGTAAAAGTCAGGTTTCTGTCCAGGCAAATCAAGTTCTGAAAGTCCAACCTCACTTCTTTCATGTCTTTATAGACTTTGGTTTGTTCACTGGTAGATAGTCATGATGGAACAAAATGTTTCAGAAAATGGGGATCATTAAATTGAAATGTTTTGCTGGGCTGAAGTAGTAAGAGTTCTTCTCACATAAATTAACATAAATGTTGAACAGCCACAAACCACAGCTACCCGCCCTAACTTTGCATTTAGAAAGATTTAATTAAACTGCTTTCAGTGACCAATATTCAATTTGTACCAAACAAATACAGCACTGTTTGAACACATGCAGAAGGTTTGGTGGCCTTTGAGGTCTTTACATTGGTGTGTATGTGACCTCTGACCCAGGTAAATTTGCCATGGGACACCCTATCAAGCAATGATATGATGGAGTGTGATGTGAACAAAGTATCATAAAGGCAACATCACTCAGGTAGACTTGGTTTTGGACTGTGCTCAACTGGTATGAAGGTGTCAGAAATGTACCAAAGATATATCCTACATACCATTCAAAACCATGAATGATTCATGTTTTCTTGTTGGTTAAACCAAACTGACCCTTGGTTGAAATGAGTATTTGTTTTATTATTTCGCACCAGTCTACCCAGTCTCCTCTAACGTCCACATCGACAAGTCATTTCTGTTCCCAAAACAGCCCAAAGTACATATATTCTAAAGCCCATTTGTCTGTGATCAACAACCATGTCACGTAAAAGTCACAAATTTCCCTTTCTTCACTATTCCGATGCTCCTTTGAACTTCATCAAGGCTTTTTTTTTTTTTTGTCATCTTGCCTAGGAACCCAAAAGCAATAGGAAGCTGCTACTGGATTGATGAATTCACTGTTTGTGTTAGCAAGCAACTCAACAGGCATATTTAATAAAGTGGCTGGTGAGTGTATATGAATGCAAGCAGTTTTGTAAATGTAGCCATATTAATTAATAACACAGGTAGTTAGGAAGGTGGAACAAAAAAAGTTTCCTGATGTGGCGTACAATAGAGCATTACTTTACCTTTCAACATTTAACACCATTTCATAGGCCATGCAGATTAACATAAGGTGGTTGATATTAGAGTGTGTGAAATGATGAGCTCTTAATCTCAACATGACAATCTGAAGTTTGGAGTCCTTGCAAAGGGTTAACAATACTGGTAATACCTTTTCTTCCTCATTAAATTTCTTGCAACTCATTTTGATGACTTATAACACTCCATTTTTTTTATAGCTGTTTGTTTAAGACTACCAAATCCAAACATAAATCAAAATTAAAGCAGCTGAGGGCAGGACAGAATCTGCACAAAGAGGAGGAAAAAATAAATAAACTGTTTTCCTAAGGGAGCTTATGACTCAAGCAGCTACAGGATCGTTCACAGTCCCCTACACACACACACATATATAGAGGGCTTGCTTTAACCCTCTTGGTCTTTGTTTACCATGACCAAGGCAGCCCCTGGTGATCAACAGATCCTCTTGTGCAGAATGTTAAATAACAATACTTCAAATAGGCCAACAGATAGGCACTAACAGATACAGGCTGCTTTAATGGTGGCCTGCTGCTGTAAAGGGTGTGCTCTCTAATTAAAATAGCTCCCCAGATAGTATAATAACCCCTATATATAATGTATATGTGGTGGCTGAGTTCTACAGTAAATGGGAGATGGGGGAAACAGAAAACAGGACATTGTGGTTTTCAGCACCGACGTCACTTATGCGCAATGGTTGTTTATGCATGTGTGATTTTGTGCGGGTGGGAATGTGTGGGCCTGTTTATGCAAAGCAGCAGAGATACATGTTATGCCAAAGTGAAACTGTGTTTGTGTAGTTGGTTCTGCATTAACTCACAGAGGATAGCAGGCCCACTATAATTAGGACTGCTTCACACTCAGACTTTGCATTCCATTATTCATATAGTCCTCTTCTGGCAAACAGTAGAGATGGTAAACATTAGAACAAATGGATCCAGGTGTGGATATTAAAGATGGAAACATTACCTTATGTAAATCATAATTTCATACAACTAATCTTGTCGTCTTCATTGCAAACAGCTTTGCAAGTCATACACAGATGTGAGATGGAAAATGCCTCACATCAACACCCCTTGATTGTTTTTTTCATATTTCATCAAATTATGACCACAAATCTAAATTCATTTTCTCAGGCTTTGACTTGATAAACCAACCCTAAATATCATCATGCAAGTGAATAAAGGCAATTATATAGTCGTGATTAGCAAGAGATGAAATAAATATAATTATATGACTATGTGGTAATTTGGATTGATGTAATTCTTTCTAATGCCAGCATCTGTAATAGTATGGAGGTCCATTAGTGCCTTATTCTGGAAAACACACTAGACAACTTTTAATTATGTTCCTGCAACAAAACAGCCATGACAGTATCTTACTAGTTTACTCAGAGGAAGCATCAAAGTAACCAGGAATATGAATGATTTTTGACAGCTGTAATTCTGTTAAAGGTTTAATCATTATTAAAACTTCTATGTTGTTGTCATACACCCGCCTCGTGTGTGAATGCCTTCTAGAGCACTCGAGCACAGCTTGCTGCTCATTTTTATTCCAAACTACAATTTAGGAACAAACTTGTAGAATGTTTCACATCTCCATATTTAAAATTAAATAAACGAGTAACTATTGTATAGTATCATATTTATTTGTATTGTTCAAATAAATTGCTTTTAGATGTTTCTTCAGAAATTTGATCTTGCAACATCAGTTCCCCACAAAAGGATTTTAGAGCCTTTGTAGTTATGCAGTACAAATCAGAAAGTGTTTCTATTGCCTTCAGCTCTGCAATGCATTCAGGCATCACTGTATCCTGATGAATGAAAAGTGCACTCTTAATCCTCTTTATTCCTGACACCAGGGTCGTAGGATGGATTGGGGGTGGAGCGCTTGGTGAGTGTGGAGGTTGCAGCAATGCAGTGGGTATTTTAAAACAACATTGCAACAGAGATTTTCAATTTGTTTTGGTGTATCATGAAAACAAAAATAATTTCCTTGAATGGCTTTAATAATGATAATTTAAAAAAAAAAGTTTTAAAAGTAATGTTGAAAAATACATCAAAAATGTTTGCGTCTGTGTTCAATGCTCGAGTTGCTAATTGGTTAGCCTGGTTGAACAAATCAATTACCATCTCAGTCTGACTTTCAACTCGAACACAGATTGAAGTTTCATTGTTAGAAGCTAATTAAACTAATGACTTAGGAATGCTGCATAATTAGCATTAATAGGAGACTAAATATTAGCAATGGCACTTGTATCACTTTATGAGAAGCATGGGCTTCCACTTGTATCAACAAACAAAGTCATGACAATGCAAATCAAGTGAAAAGCATCTAAATTTGATGAGACATTTCAAGCTCTGCTAATCCCACAGCAACTTGTTCTGCCTCCTACTGGTTAAAGTTTGTATTAAAGATGTGAAAACCTTCAGTCATTGTTCTGACTGATTCTAAAAAGACGGACTATATTCCTTCACTTCTCATGTTACTACTTATCACTTCTAATGCTACGTTCTCGGCATGCCAGCTCCTTTCTCCACTGGTCTGCATGTGTGTCAATTAAAATTATCTCTAGGTAATTAAATATCTAGTTGCAGGGATGAATTTTTAAACAGAGGTTCCATTAAAGATGCAAATACCTGAGCAGATGTGCTGCTGAGCTTCTGCAGGCCGTTTTCCAGCCTCTCCATCTTGGCAGTAAGATCTTTGCTCTTCTGGCCCAGCAGACTGCGATACAGCTTGATCTGCTCCAGGAAAGATTTGGGCGTGGTGTAGTTGTAGCGCCGCTCATTAGCCAGGTACTCCTTGGATGTTTGATTGACACTGGTGTGGACGTAAGCCATGAATCTGCTCACCGACTCCTTCACCTGGGGCTGCATGATTTAAAAGTCAGCGGTTATTTCACGCTGGAAGTAGGGGCACCGTGCAGATTGCAGCGAGGGACGGTACTTTCTCATGGCTCAGGCGTGGAATTTAATTTTGTGGCCTTCAGTCTACATTTGAAAATAATATCGCATTTGTTGCGTCACGGTGGGTGACACTCTAAATTACATTTTCAGAGGAAGAGCTTTCTTTTTTTTCTGTGGGTGACTTCCTTTGTGTGTGTACCGCGTATATTCAACCGAGTTTCTCTCACTTCGATGTTCTCCACCTCCTGCAGGAACCTGAGGCTGACTGACTCCAGCGCCTCCTGTGGCCACTCATGGAACCAGTCGATCGCCGTGCAGTTGACCACAGCCGGGAACTTCCTGCTCCGATCCCTCAGTTTACTGCCGACCGGAGAGAAGCACAGGGCGACCTGGAAGTGATGGCAGCAAACATCGCAGGTTGAACTCCGACACGCAAATAGATTGCAGTCATTGAGTCATTTACATGTACACTCACGGACAACTTACAAAAGAAAGATGCGCTCAGACTAATACGCCTTCCCGGTCAAGAGGAGTGATGGAGAACTGTGAATTAATTATCTGCAGCTCCATCATTAGGCAAATAAAGCTTCCATCAAGGATGTGGATTAAAGGGATGCATAGAGCTGTGGGATATGTCAGACTGATTTTCACTGCTGGAGACTAACAGCTGGCTTGTTGAGACACTCAGCCAGATGCTCGACAAATTCAAACTGAAGAAACAAACAAGCAGAAGGCACACCCAGAGACACTGCTGATGGTAATCACTCAGCTCAGAGGAAGAGGAGGAAAAAAAGCAGCGAATGTGGGGTTTAATTCAAGGCTTTTCTATAACATCTTAAACAAGAGTTCATCTTTAGTCTTTATATTATCTTCTTATGGCTGGAAAGGAAGAAAAAAAAGAAGTGGGGGTGCATGTTGAAAAGTTTAATCAACCCTCATGGAATATTCAGTAAACCCATTTATAAAAGTATCTGTGGGATCAGGGTGAAGTTTAATTTTAGACTAAATTATTAATCAGGAGGTGGGATTCAAAGGGCCAAGGAAAAATATTTGTTCTCTCTTTCAGCAGAAGCTCATCACACTCTCACCGTGAACCCTTTGCACTGCTGCAGTCGGGGAAACGGGATGACGACCTTGGCAACAGAAATACAGGAAGGTCTGCTACACAGATTTCTGTCTGTGGAACTGCTCTGAATATTATGCAGTTTTTATTATTACACTTATTTTATACCATGTTGTGTGCTTTTGAATATGTAATCAATTTGTATACAATCCCACAAACCACAGAGAAAAGAAATCATTTGTTGTATAACGTTATAAAACTAAATTACTATGTTGACTGAGATTTACGTTTTTTAGTGTTTTAATCAACTTGCTATTTATTATCAGAGCACAGAGCCTGCTTTACTACATTTCAAATAAAACATTTAATACAGAAAAACAACAACGAACGCTACTCACAAGTGGCATCACAAGTAGAGGGACGGTGTTATGAGCGAATGCACAGATTCTCTGAAAGTTAGTCAAACGCCTAAGTGCAGGTTAGTAGACACAGAAGATGTCTCCTTAAGGAGTTAGGAGTTACCAACACACAGCAACAGCTGATAGGGATCCATTTTGTTGGTTTGCAACACGGGTCATATTGTGAAATTTGTCAGCATGTGGAGTGTGCAGATGGCACAGTCGCCCTATGGTGGAATCAGTAGGTATGTGAGAGCACCCACACACAATTGAATCATTTACATAACCATTGCTGGTCTGTATGTATACCAAATAAGATGTGAATCATTTCTTCTGGGCATATTTGTCGCTGAGTGTGTGGCGAAGGGATTGACTGGCAATTAGTACCGAGGATCCTGCTACTCCATTTCCCTTGTTGACCCCTCAAACCCATCCCCATACACTGGGAGCAACTCATCAAAAAACTTCCCAAACCATGTTAAATTGTGGCCTAGTTTGGCAATTTATGCTCAACACCCCGTGTGACTTGCTGAAACACACCCTCAGCACATTTCATGCAATGATTGAAGCTTGCCAACATTTCTGGGAAAGTGCCCTTTCCACCCAGACAAGCAGTTTAAACAGAAATAACTAAACAGTCAGAAATCCACTCTTTAGAAGATTGCCCATGGGAATGCCTTCTTTATTTATTCACTCCCCAATCTAGAGAGGTTGGTGCTGGGGCTGGGGGATGTGGTGGTGTACGCTATAATAATGACAGGATAAGCAGCCCTCTGGAAGCTCTCCCTCCCCAAGGGGAACAAAGCGACTACACGTCGGTGAAATTATCTGCAGCTAAACGGCAGCTTTTCTGCTCATGCTGGTGATTTATAATGACGTCCGCCGCCTCCCAATGTATTCAAGTTCATCTGAAAGTGTCAGGGAAGAAAATTGTCTGGGGAGAAGCTCCCTCATAAAGCCAGATGTTTATCTAAGTTTGAGAGGTTCTTTTTTTTTATTTAGAAATGGTGAATTAGAGTGTGAGGTGGAAAGCTTCTGCGATATTAGGAAGGGATGGAGATCAAACATAGGCGAAGCTCAGCGAAAAAGATTAATGTGTACCTCTCCCCTGGAAGGGAGCCACTGAGAACGGTTGTTTCTGGATGATTACTTTAGAAATTCACAGTAGTGAAAAAAAAAAAAACAACTGAGCCTTTGTCCTATCTGTCTGCTTCACCTTGAGCTGCCTGCGAACGCGGTCGATGAAGAACTTCCAGCAGTTTTCTCTCGTATCCATCAATCCCGAGCTACGGACCTCTGGCCTCACGCTGCCAATGATGTTCTCAACCTCATCGTCTGGGAACAGGTCGGGAATCTCTCCTGGAATGAATAAAATGAATCACATTATTGCCGTGCCTGCAGACCTCTTCTTAACGTGAGCTTTAGCTGTCTGAAAACTCTGGAAAAGTTTCTTATCTTGTTGGGATCGGCGCTGACACCGAGCACAGAGACTCTTAAATCAAATCTTGCTGTGGTAATAGAGGTGGAGGCTGCAGGAGATCATGCAGAGGACTTATGCTAATACAGATATCTGCTTTAAGTCACCACTTCACTAGAGTAACTGATGAGCGCGGAATGTGCAGATGGATGTATGAGTCTATAATGAGTCAAAGAAACTTCAGCCCATGTAACCTAAGGTTTCTGAATCATTATTTAACAACATAACTCCAGCCGCTCCCCGCTGCAAGCACCTGATTGACGTTTAGGCAGAACAGACTCCTTTCAAACAGCTTTATTCATTTAGTTTTAATGCAACTAAGATCAATTTAGTTAGCCTATGATGTCATCAGAACGGTAGCTTAACCTGTTGTTATGATAAATGTATTCTTTCTGAGCACATATTTGCAGAATATGAGCTAAAGACTTCTAGGAGCACTCGAGCATCAAGTCTCTCAGGATACATTTCAACAGGGTTGGCACATCTACGCACTAAAATCTTGGATTGAGGTCTTGGCTTTCCTCCACATCCCAAAAAGGTCACCCCCTAAGCCTCCGCTGGTGTTGCTTTAGCAATATGTTGAGGGTAATTGCTCAGCTGGAAGGAAAACCTCTGTTCTGTTCTTTTTCTGGAAGACTGGGATTGCACCAGACATTGTGTTGCTTTTGCATACGTCTCATCTGACAGCGGCATTTTTTTTCCACATGCCTCTTGGTTGAATCCAAACACTCACACAAAGTTTTGTGTTAGTACTTGTTTTTTTTTTTGGTGACTATGAATGCCTAACTCTGTAAGATGCGTGGGTTGTAATGGCCCGTTGACAGATATCACCATTTCTACAGAATACTTGTCAGGTTTCATAAAGTACATCTTTGGACTCTTAGTGGCTTATTTGATTAAAGCCCCCCTCACCTTATGAGTTTAATTTCCATCTCTTTCCAGGTTTGGTGTTAAGGTAGAGTTTATTAAATCATTATTATATATATATGATCAGTCATCAGTGGTGTGTAGGTCATGTACTTATACATTTGTTATTTGAAACTTGATTTTCATTAATGCACTGATGTTGATTCTGACCGATATCGAAACGGGTGTAGATCAATTTGATATCTTTATGTACATTTTTAAATGTGTAAAACCGGTTACCTTGCTATTTAACACAGCCAAATGTACAGCAAAAACAATTCGAGCAGAAACTATCCACAAACAAACAAGTTCAATGGATGCAAGAATTGTGCAGGTAATAACATAGAAGGGGTCCAATGTTAACATGTAACCTGGTCTGTTAAGATGTTTTTGATTGAAATAGCTTTTGATTTTAGCACATGTGACCACTAAAATCAAAAACCACTAAAATGTGCAGCATTTTTTGAATGCTGCACATTCAAAAAATTATCATTTGTAGTTCTTTAAAATCCATAAAATGTTTATGGATTAAAAATATTTAATGGATTAAAATGTCCACTGCACTGTTCCAAATTATGAATAATAATTTGGAACAATGCATTTTGAGTTTTTAATTTTTCTTAAAAAAATGCTGTTCTCACAGGAAGCTTTGTTCAGTAAAATTTGATTTATACTGTAATAATTTATGACTTGAAAATTATACTGACCATCATTTGCATTGACCATTTAGGAAAATCTGAGAAAATATCACTTGCATAATAATTTGGAATAAAATATAGGTTAAAGACGTCATCTTCTGGCAAAGTGAGGGCAGCGGATGAAAGAGAGATTCTAGAGAGAGAGAACAAAGACCTGCAAGGCGAAGGCTTGTTTCCAAAAACCACAGCCTGCTGGCATGTTTACTGGCAGATGCCGGCACTGTCTGGGAATACAATGAAGGGATCTCAACATACGCAGGTTTCCAGCTTTTCAGCAGCTAAGTTTTTTCCAAACATATTTTCCATTTCCTGAAAAAATGTTGCTATATTTTCTTGAGCAGTGGTCTCCATCAGTTCATTCAAAAAGCTTGAAAGGCCAATAAAAACTGAATCAATAACAGCTTCTTTCCTCCTAAGACTCTGATCTGAAAGGCTGTTTCCCCAATTCTTAGCAACGAAGGGACAATAAGAACCACATGTAGTAACCTGCTGGTGCCTTTTCTGTTGCTGAATGAATTTGGTATCCTGCTGTGTTACGTTTGTAGTCTGTGATGTACGTAAGAGCGGTGTTAGAGTGCCAGGAGTGGTGAAAGTGACCAGAGAAAAGTCAGAGTTGGAAAATGAAGAAATGGCATACTGGACAACATGTTGTACTGCTTACTGATGTGAAAGAGCATTTCTGCGGCCTGTAAAGCTGTACATGTCTCAATAAAATGATGTGGCTCCACACTACGTTGTGGGGAGTATCTTCTTCAGAACATCTCACCGCTAAGCTCGACTTTTGAGAGAAAAACACTGTCTGTTCTCAGAGATTTTCATTACAGATTCTTATGCTTTAAAACCAGTTTTCTTTGCCCATCTGCGAGTAGAATTTGGTTGTTAGTTGTAGCCACAACCAAGTTGAATATGTGGAATTGGGGAAGTACTTCTGTCCCACAACAACAAAGTCTGGGCTATCAGACTCAGCTGTTAGTTTTCCGTATGTTTTCACTGCATGTGAAAACATGCGGTTTTCTTCCGCAGTGCAAATTCATGAATCCATCCATGAATTTTCTTACACCTTTGTCCCTAGTGCGGTTGAAGGGTTGCTGGTGCCTATGTCCAGCCAACGTTCTGGGCGAGATGCGGGGTTCACCCTGGACAGGTCGCCATGCTGTCACAGGGCAACACAGAAATAGACAAGACAAACAATCATGCACACACACTCACACCTAGGGAGAATTTAGAGAAACCAATTAACCTGACAGTCGTGGTTTTGGATTGTTGGAGGAAACCGGAGTACCCGGAGAGAACCCGCAATGTACACGGAGAACAAGCAGTGCAACAGTGCTACCAACTGCACCACTCAATGTCACTTATGTATGAGTGTTTGCTTCAATGGTTATTCTGTCTTGTCAGTCCTACAACCACACTGTGATGATATAGGGTTGTATCGAGGATGCCAATTGGCTATTAGAGACGTAATAAGTGGGTGGATGAAATAGATTGCCTAGTTCTAATTTCAAAAAAATCAGCAATAAAAATAATACCTTAAAAAACAGACATTATCGTAGTCCCACACTATGCCAGAGTTAAGGCTGAAAGTATGCATGCGGTGTCACGGTTATGAATAAGCAAAGGTTCAGTTAGTTTGATTGGTGCACATGAAACACACTTTGATCCATCTCTGGTTGAATTGTCCAAGTTTCAGGGCTTTGGATTGCACAATTTTAAAAGGCAGTGATTAAACTGGAAACATTTATTGTATTTGGAGTGAGAGATCTTTGTGAAGTGAAAGGAAGACAAGCTCTAAAATAACTCTGCATCCACTGTGTACGTCAGTGTGCTAAATTTTGACAAAGGTCACATTGGAACAAAGGCAAAGAGGTGAGGTAATGAAATTCCTGAGATTATGACTGAAAATGGTTTGCCCTTTAGAACAATTGTTTTTGCATTTTTATGTGTTCAGGAAATATTTGTCATTGTCCACGGACAATTGTATTACATTAAAATTCATATATTTCACAATAAATTCAAAATTATTACAGAACAGTAAAGACCTTGATGTATTGGACTCTTAAAACTTCAGAGCTTAAAGAGGAATCCTTGCAGTTCCTCACAATGTAATATCCATATTGTGGAGAAATGATATTTGATTTTTGTAACAATAAATAAGTAAAACATAAAAGCAGTAGTCAGAAAAGGCTTGCTGTTACCGGATGCCAACAGATCATTGACCAGAACGAGGAACTTTTCATCTGCCACTTGGCCGTCAGTCATTAGGAACACCGTACCAACATTCTTCACACCGGCTTTGATGTAGAGGGATGCCAGGTCAGTCTGGGTGGGAAGGAGAGAGGAAGAGGAAGATAAGGAGGGGTATAAATACGAGAAACTGAATCTGTTATAGTGGAACTGCCGACTGTAGATAATAAAAGGAATTCCTCGCGCCCAAAAGCATCTGACATTCTAACAACCTAATCTTTTTTGAAGTCAATAAACAGAATTTATACTCCGTGAACTTCATAATTTGCTGTATTACAATGACAAACTTCAACGCATTTACTAATTTATGATAGATCAATACGAGGTAGTGCCTAGTAGTAAAGTTTTAAAAAACTGACATGTGGTTGCAACATTTAGTTGACCTATGCATGCCATATTATTTAGTGATGTGCATAATAATCACGACATCGACCCCTTTCTACTCTAAAAGTCCTATTAGTGGACTCTATGAGTCCACCTTTTGAGTAACTTAATCTCAATAAAAATCCAGCTGTTTTTTTTCCTGACAGGTTAGGGTCAAAACATAAGAAGAAGTAAAAAGCTGGGTTGGTGTAGAAAACAATGACTCATGCTTTGAAAATCTTATTGAGCCTCATCTAAAAATACTAACTGTGACACATAAAAATATATATATATATTAACACAAGTATTAAGAAGGCGCTGTGGACGTTACTTATTCTTCTATGTCTTTTATAAGTGCTGTTTATTTCTGGAAACAATATGTAAATATGAACGAGCAAAGATTCTTGATTGACGCTGAAAAATATCCAGAAACATACGACCCACGATCCGTCAACATGAAGACAACGGCAAAATTCTGGGGACAGATTTCTCTCAAGAAACCCAGTTGAGCAGAAGCAATGCTCAGCTGATACTCTGAAATTTAAAAGATTTACACAGTGAGCATTTCATTGTATGACAAATTCATTTAGTAACGCTTTACGTTTCTAGTGGTGAGCTGTGCCACCTGTGGCATGACTAGATATCTACATGTCGCTAAAATCTACAGACGTAGCAATTTCTTGAGTTTCAGTACAATGCAGTGTGACGTGACTAAGGTCTGGTGAAGGCATCATTTGCCTGTCAAAAGATGGGCTAAAATGTGCCTCCCCCGATGCGTGTTGCTGTTCAGCTTTGCTGACATGATAGATGGACATAAATACAGGGCACTGCTGGAAAAATACATGTTAGAAAACTTAAGAGACTCCCTTTGCAGCAGGCCAGAGATCCTAAACAAAAGGCTACAGCTATATATGAATATTCTAATGCATATCTATGTGTTAGAACTGCATCAATGTCCAGACATAAATAAAGTGACAAAATAAGAAAAAAAAAGGTTGTCTGGTATCCTTTTCTGACCTTTAGGTCTGCGAGACTGTAGCTTTTTCTCAAGGTGATCTGAAAAACCTCCAGATTGGAGATGAAAGCAGCCAGTCGGGTCAGGCTCTGCTTGCCGCTGCCGCCTACTCCGACCAGCAGCGCGTTGCCCCGTGGAGACTCCAGGATTCGGTTTATTCGGCAGCTGCATGGAGAGAGCAGACATTCGGGGGAGGGAGGAATCGGCGGAAAGGAAAGGGTGAGAGAGGAGGGAATGCTGGCTGAACACGGCACCTGACTCATCCAACAAAACAAACACCGGGAGCTTCGCTTTGTGGTTGTTTTTGTCCGTTTTCATGCAGAACAACGCCAGTCTCCGTATGATCACAGTTTCCAATTAAAACTGTTATTTTTCTCTAGACCGAGCTGGCCTCCAGAACACTTCAATCTCCTAAACAGGATGTAAAAAATACTCTTGTGTATCTTCATTTTTAATAGATGGCCTGATTTCATTATGAAAGGAACGGCTTACAAACACAACTCTCATTTTAACTACTGCCATGTTTTACATGCACAGTGACAAATCTCAGTTGTTTCCACGCTACCAGTTGCGCTGACATTTAAATTTCATCTCTTCCTGATGATAGTTCAGCTGCTTTGCATTTTCTTGCATTTCCAATAATGTTTCAGCTACTTTCAGTGATTATACGTAAGATGACATTTAAACTTCTTACACACCAACTGGCACTATAGCTCAACAATTGAAGACAGATTTTAACTCCCTTCGTTTTCTTGAATTCCACTCCGTTTTCTTCATTATCTGCTTTCATTATCCAGGACTTTATTTGCTCAAACTGTTGTACTTTCCAAACACGAGTTCAGTCATTGAAAGGTGTTGACACAATGAGGTGGGAGGGTTCTCAAACTTCTCTCACAGTGGAGCAAAAGTGGTTGATTTGTAGACCAGTGCCGAGGCAGATAAAATCGGTGCATAAAATCAGCTTCACATGTTTTAACCAACCAAAATTAAGAAAATTTGGGCCGATTTATCGGCTGGAAAATTGATCAGGAAAGCCTCCAAAGTTTGCTGTCAGATTTCTAAGCGTAATGATAATACTGAAGCTAAAAAAGTAAATAATTTCAATATCAACGAGAAACAGAAAAAAGTCCCAGGTCTAAAGGAGTATCTATTCTTCCCAACGTAGAATTATTCACGCTGAGGGTTGTACATTGGAAAGTAAAGGATTGGAACTGCAGTTGTAAGTTGGCTGGGTTTCGTTGGGTGTCAGTAGAGTATTTAGCCTTCTTCGTTCAAGATAAGTGAAACTAATCTGAACTTGTTCAGTACGTGCGACTGCTCAAAAACAGATGTCGACCCGTTTCCTGCGTTCAAGAAACGTTGGCGAGCAAAAGACAGGATGAAAGGTAGCATACTGACTTCCAAACACGTCAGTATGCTACCTTTGAATGCTCAAGCTGTGATAACAGCAGGTTCCAGGACGACTTATGACTTAACTTGTTGCTTTTCAATCGGTTGGCGAAAAGTGAGCAGCTTGTTTGTGTTGTGCGATGCATAGGGCGCCTCGCTGTTTTACTTGATAAATCTTTTTACAGAATGCATGTTTTGGCATGTCATCAGTTAGACGATCAATTTGACTCCTAAATCTACATCAATAACAAGAGATGTAGATTTAGTTTATATTTATGCTGCATACTGATTGCTGCCTGGTTTTAACGCTGAATCTTAAAACACCGTAAAGACAAGAAACATTTGTTCCTGTACTCACATGTGAGCCATGGCATCTTCAAACAGCACCAGGTTCAGGGTAGCGTTGACCTCATTGTAGCTGTCCAGAACATCCAGCAGGATTTTACTGAGGCTGCTCCAGGACTCCACTGACATGTACCTGGGCTCCCCTGGCCCGCGGGCAAAGTGGCAGTACAGGTTCAACTCCCGGGTCCGCTGCAGCTCCTCCTCCACATCCTCAGGGGAAGATTCATAGACACGCACACACACACCAGTGGTAAACAGGGAGGGGAACACAGTTCGCTTGCCAGCAGAACATTGCTGTTAGGCCTAAACAGTGCGGACAGGGACACGGCTAAATGTCTTTGCTGCGCAGAGCCTGACCCAGTTAATTCTCATCCATGCCGGCACCAAAATTTTTTGCCGTGTATTTTGTCTGTTAAGGAAGGACGTATGTGAGAAGAAAAATATTCATTGAACTCATTTCTGAGAGACGAGCTGCTCTGAAAAACTTGACTGCTGACAGGAATCTGTTGATTTTCAACTTGATTGAATCTAACTGGTCAGAAACTCGGAAATCTGCTTTTTTTTCTTCTCAGTGAAGCACAAAGTAACGACATGCGGAACCCCACAGCTGTAAGAAGCTATCAAAAGGAAACTATTTTCAATTAAAAGGAAAGAAAGCTAAATAAAAAAAGAAGAGTGAGAGAGGAAGATTTTCAGCAGATAACAGGAAGATTGAAGACACCCCAGCAAAGTTGCTCTGTTTGATCCCTTTAAGAAGTCAACTTCTGTCAAAGAACGAGGTCGAGTTGGAAACGTTGACAGCCTCTTGGCAAACGCAGAGTTAAATTAAGGATATAAATTCTCTTATCAACACACACAGAGATTGATGTTTCAGTACTGCTAGCTAACAAGATCCTGAAGACAGTTAAAAATGTGACCTATAATCATTTTGAGATTTTTGTCATACAAGTAAAAACCTATGGCGCTACTTCTGCTGCTCATATAGTTTACAGCTTCCTGCAGGAAGAGTGAAAGAATATTTAGAATTTGGTTCTTGGATCTTATATTTCATAATTTACCAAAACTTGTAATGGACGGTGAAAGCTTTACAAAAACCTGAAAACTGTAAATTATTGGAAACAAAACTTTCAAAATTACTTCCTCTATCATAGAACCTGCAGCAATTATCCTGTTGTTGCTAAAGGCCTCACATGGACGTGAGTCCAAGAAAATCAATGATTTGGTATTGGACAGAAAAAAATTCTACGGATTTTTGTGGAAGTAGAGGGAAGTTGTAAGTTTGGATTTTATGCAAGGAGTTGATAACATAATGTTGCACGGTCTCTTTTCTTATTTGTCTGTGAGTGTTTGCGCATGTTTTTCAGGTTCTTCTCAGTGGCATGACACAGGGCAGGAAAGGGTACGGAGGAAGCAGTGGAGAGGAAACCATTAAAATGTTTTCCAATTCGCTGGCCTGGCAGTGCAGACCCTGACAGCCGGACCCCGTACCACACTGATTAATATTCTCCCCTAAGTCTCTGCAGGCTGTACGCTCGCTCTTCCCCGAAAAATCTTCTTTTTTTTTTTTTTCCCCCCTCCTCCTCGCCGTGTTGGCCACTGATGTCCAAGTCCAGATACAGAACAGGCAGCCTAATGATTCACTCCCCGCTCTGGTCTGCCCCCACTGAACTCTAGAATAAAAAAAACTCTCACCTCGTAGAACTTTTTCAGTGTGTCCGTCTGTAGCTTATCAAAGGCCTGGATGTCCTGCTCCTCCACCAGCTTGTCCCTATAGACCCGGCTGGACTCATGCAGGTAGATTTTCAGCAGGTCCGCTGGGCTTTTCATGCACTTGCCGGTACTGAAGAGAATGCCCTGAGCAGAAAAAGCAGGAAAGGAGAAGGGCTTTGGGTTTTATTTCAGAGGCTGATTTGGTCCATTTACAGCAGAACAAGGGGGGAAACAGAGCAAAGCGACTGTGGGTAAATCACTAGATGCTCTGAGTGGGCCGGCTGCTGGGAGGTGTGACAGGGGAACTCGGTGAAATAATAGCTGCACTTTTCTTCCATCCAATTGTTAAAGTATTGTATTGTAAAGTGGGCCAGGTTCAGTGGGCAGGGAGAATTATCTGATTTAAATTAAAAAAAAACCTGGATCACACAGAAGGACTTTCCTAAACAGGCAAAGCTAAGCTCTGTGAGTGAGCTCACAGAGAGCTAATGTACTTTACTTTGTAGTGGTGCCTCTCCCCAGTCTGTTCCTGCACCCTGCCAGTCAGCTGGCTGGCAGAAACAGAAGTTGGGCTCTTCAGAAATAAGTTGGGTCTCAAAAACCAGACATTTATGGTGTATAAGCTGAAGAATAAAGGAGTGTCACCAATCGTTTTTATTAATGTAATGATTTACCATTACGATTGGCAAGTTCGGAGTGGCATTTCTAATGAAGATGCAGTATGTAACAGTTTTAAACAATCTGTTTTTTACCCATGAAGCTCCCTGCGATTCTACAGAAATACATCACTAGATCAAAAACTGAATGCTAAGGTTAGTTAGATGACGGCAGATAAACAGCTTTTCTGTAGCGGTAAGTTGTTTCTCCATCATTAGCACATTTAGCAACGCGTACACAAGCTTGATTTTTTGCGTAAAGGCCTTCCTGTTGCCTCTGATTGGTTATTTCTGACTGGGAGTGGAGGATTTTTGCAGATGACAATAGCTGCATCAGAAGAAGGCAGAGAGTTTTTTTTTTCCACAAATTGTGTGTTTTCTGTTATACTTTCATGACATAATGATAATTTGAACAAATATGTATGAAACATGTTCATGAAAGCTACATGCTGCAGCTGGGAGCCGGCTTTTACTGGATAACTACCTTAGCCAATTACCTGAATAAAAAAAAGAGCAAATATGGATAATATTCTGTGCAGTAAATAAGAAAAAATATGACTTTTATCCATTTCTTCTTTTTTTTTTGATTGGATTTAATGTTTCAAATTTAACATATTAAATACATGCCATATTACCATAAAAGCTGGTTCCAGGCACTCAAGTCAAGCTGTGCTGCTACTCAGCAGATGATCTACAGAACATTTCAATACCTCGCCATTATGGGCGGTTTATTTAAGCTGCGAGCTTCCCACATCATTCTGAATGTTGCCACTTCCTGCTGTTTTACTGCTTTTCAGCCCCTTTAATCATCCTGGTTCCCAACCAGGAGCTGCAAGTTCAGAGACTCTCCTTATTCCCTGGCAGTCGAAGGAGAAATGTTCAGGGTGAAGAAAATTATTAGTCCATGATACTTGGAGCAACACAGACATGGAGGAGCCTGAATGCCTCACCAAACCGAGCAAAATATTTTGGTGAAATCTAATAAAATGATAGAAAACGCTGAATGATTGCATCAAGAATCATTTTCCACTATAAATTTGAAAAGCTTATGTCCACCTGATCCTTGCAGTGAGTCATTGTGCCACAGTTTGCACAATTTCAGCAGGTTGAAGGTTCGATTCTCCGCCCTCAGCAAGGAACCATAAAATGGCGAGGCAAATTTACTTTTGTCTGCCGTCAGTATTTGATGCTGGCAGAAACAACACTTCTTTCTCCTATTTAACAAAAAACGTAAAAAATAAAAATGTTAACAATGAGGAGATGTCAAAACAAATCTAACAAGAAAAATGGCGCTCTTTAGGGAATTCAAATCTACTTGAGCCCAGTCTATCCAGCGATGCTTTAGTTTGGAGGAAAATGTTGATCCGACTGGCTGATGGCCGAACCGCACGCAACGGATTGGTTCTTGACCCTGTTTTACATTTTCTTCTTCCTTAGAACGAGTCACGAGGCAAAACGAGTGTTCAGTGTGTGATCGGTGATAAGTGTGCCCGTGGTGGAGGACAGTGTGACGTGTCTGATTTCCCACAGAGGCGTGGATGATGCATTCAGGCAGAACCACAGGGTATGTGCATCCTATAATAGGTGCTGCATCGGCTGAGGGAGAGGACAGAGAGGCGCTCTGTGTACCGTCACCCAGGAGATGCAGCCAAGCAGATGTGTTGCGTCTCCCGCCCCAGATCCTATTCTCATCAACAGAATCATCACTGGAGGTGAAGCCAGCTGAACCTGATCTGCCTACGGATACTGCTGAACGTGACAATTGGCTGCTAAATCCACTGTGTAATTGTGCAGATGGGAGATGTGGCGTGCGTGTGGGCGTATGGACGTGTGCGCGAGGATTTTAAGCAGACACTCTAAGATGTATGAAAGCAGAGAATCTCTAAACTTTGCACAGATCTGCTCCGTTCTACTTCATTTCAGTGTTTATTTGTATCGATCTTGACACCCAGCGCAAGTACAGCTGACGAAAACAAAACACCATATGGGTCTATACAGTGACTTGCCAAAGTAGTCATCCGCTCAAAAACTTTTCCATATTTTCTCACAAACTTCCATGTTTTCTTTTTTTGCGGCAGGCCAGCACAAAGCAGAACATTTAGTGGAAGAAAAATGATCCACTTTCCACAGAAATAACTGATCGTAAACAGCATCTATTGGACTTTCTTACGACTTTATTCATTTGACGACTAAAATCTCTTTGGTCCTCCACTTCATCCATTAAGCCTCTCTTTTCAGCTCGTCTGGAATTTGGGGTTGTATTTCTGGTAATATTTGAACTTTTGAAATGCTAATCAGCTGCTCAGTTCCAGTTGTAAAAACTATACCTTGTTGCCTCGGTTATGCATCATAATGCTACAAAAGTAAAATAAGTAAGAGCAAAAATCCTTCCAGCTGCACAGCAATCAAAACCAGAGGGAATACTTGTCCAAATATGCAACGCTAAACCTAAATACACAATGACCAAAAGTCATGATTGTGGCGTTAATGAAGATGCTAATTTATCTTTGTTGAAAGACAAAGATAAATTTTTCCTCTACATTTCAGTGATGCATTACTCTGCGTTGTTCTATCACATAAAATCCCAATAGAATACTATAAACTTTGACTTCAAGGAGTGGGATTGCTTTTGCAAGACACTGCAATTCTCTGGAGCGCCGATACTTTTAACCTTTAGCTATTTGCCAGATAAAGATATAGCAAAGCGCCTCACAAACCAAGAGGAGAAAGAACTTTGCTCCCCCCACTACATCCCGCTGACTTTGGCCGACTATCTCACAGAATCTTCCCCCGACATCTTCCCACTCCGTTCAACTCAGAGGAGAGGGATTAGAGCTCTGGGTGTCGACATGCATCTTCCGTACAGGGCTGTCTGTTTCCATGGACTCGCTCTCCTCTATGCCTGACAGCTGCTCTGAGCCCCAAACAACTGACAAATGCACCCAGCTGACTCTCCACTGAAAATCATACAGACATATAGAGCAGTCAGTACAGTTTGGTGCCGGTCTCATTGCACCACAAGTCTCATGTACTCTCTTCTGATTCTGTCTCCATCTGCTTTCAACCGCCCCGCTCGCCCCCCCCTGCAGCTCTCAAGCGTCAAGGAGCTCGTTTAGGTTGACGTGGAGAAGACAGGCCGGTGGATATGCCCGTCGGTCATTACAGTTAACGAACATTGGCAAACGGAGCTACTCGACAACATTCCCTGTAGATCTCCAAACTGTTTGTCTCGGCCTGTTAGAAGAATTTAGTTGCTGCTCGTCACTCACAACATGCCCACTTATAAGCTGACCTTATTGATCAACTTGAAAGCTCAAAGCGAGTTGAGTTTCAAAGGAGAGATTATGACAAAAAAAAAAAATGCACTGAGGATAAAAAAAAAAAAAAGCGCTTAGTGGTGAAAGAAGAAAAATGGCTAGGAATAGCTCATGCTCACTTCTTCACTAAACTGGAAAAGAAAAAGGTGAGTTAATTTGGGAACGATACCCTAAAGACTCGTTCTTGATTCTCAACTGGACCTTCATCTTTTTTTTGTCACATTTGTAAACACCTTTACTCAGACTAGTGCAAGCTCATGCAGAGTCTTTGTGCCCAGCTTTCTGGCTCATTAGGGTTCATCATAATGAGACACTTTCTGTTGGCTGCATCCCAGAGTTCCAAAAGTTATTTTAAAAAAACACACACACACACACAAAAACACAAAGAATCACATAAAGTCTCCCCAATTATTTCAGCTGAGGCAAACTTCTCAAACGTCCAGCTAGAAAACACGGACTGACAACCGTTTAGGCCTGCGGCTCAGAATTAGAGGAAGTGTTTGTACTGTCACAACAAACCCAACAAACCCTTCCCCACATCTGTAGGTGCAGAAAAGCAGAGACTTGATTGGAGTATTTCGACTGAGGCGCAGGCGCATGGTGTGAGGCAGCTCACCTCTTCCCACCTGTCCTGAGGTGTTGCAGCCGCGGCTCGAGTACGCAAGGAAGAAAAACTTCAAACGAGCAAATGGGAGTGCTTTTTAATCTAGCTCTCTTTACATATTTCTATAGGTGGACTGGTCCAACCAGACAGTTTTGACGCAGTTTCTTCAGCACTGAAATCTGTTCTGGTCAATTAAAGAAAACACAAAGACTTTGTCGAACTGGTCTGAGTGGCGTCTTCAAACACTGGTTTCAAAGTCTTCACGTAAAATCGCATCTGTTTGAAGCCAGTGATGTGTGTGATCAAGGCTCTTGGAACTAAGCCCTGAGGTTTTCAGGGCGTGAGCTGCTGAATGGCAAAGCAGGCTTTCCCCTTTAAATCCACATGCTTCAAACCGGCAACAAATGCCTCCGATTGGTTGATACCAAGAGATCGTTGGAGGGTTTAACAATGTCTTACAACGTTTTAATGACTGATAACTGGCATAAACAATCACATTAAGAAGTAATGTGCACTGTCATAATGAAACCCTATAGGTTTCCAGACCCTGGAGCAAATTTCAATATTGAACAAAGGAGACCTTAGAAACTAAAAAAACTGCTTTCAGCTTATTATTTAATTTATTGTGAGAACATTCAAATCAACCTGGTCCTGTCTGAAGAAGCAGACAGGTTGAAAAATCAACTCCTTTCTAAACACAACTCGCATGTTATAACCACTAATGACTCTTTTTTTTTTATCACTATGAAGGATTTTTTAACCTCAGCAGCTTATTGAAATTCATGTCCCAGCATCTTCAGTCAATGTAAGTCACACTAAAAAGCTTGACCCATAAATAGAACAAACGATAGCGGTAACGGTAACGAGTGCCAGATCATAAACGTACATCATCCTCAAGGCATTTCTATAAAAAGCTAAATTTCCATCGATTACAGCAAGTCGTCCAGGTCATAAGACAGCGGAGGAGGCCCAGATCATCACACCACCACCATCATGTTCGACTGTCTGAATGATCTCATTGTAATAAAGGTTGTGTTAAATGGTTGAGATGACATCGTTTTATCAAGTCCAAAGATTCCAAAGCGCTTCACACCAAAATCATTCATGCACACGTTCACACGCTGATGATGGTAAACTACATCCATCTAGCAGAAGTGAGGCTGTCACACAATCAGCATCACAGGCAAGGCGGGTGTAGTGTCTTGGTGAAGGACAACAATTTGGTGTTTTCAATCTCTGACCGAGCAGTTACCATACGATGGAGGTTTTAATTTATTTAATTGACTGCAAAATCTCCTATGAGGTTGTGATTGTTTTTCTCAAAGTTGTAGCGACACCCACCCATGCGTACTTAACACTATTGCGAGGTGTGAGATACAGTTTTGATTCTTGTGTGAGGTTTTGCCAGCTAAACTTACAGAAACATTTACGATCAAAGTGATATTGTGGTATTAGCTAATTACGATGTTATAAGTTTATTGTGCCTGTTAATAAATTTTAGTAGAAGCTGGACATTACCAGAGAGGTGCAAACACACAGAAGCTGCACTTTTAGGAGCGAAAGGAAAGTGTGTAAAATCTTATGAGAGTAGAATAAGAACACCTATATATGCTCTGTATAATGAAAACAGTGAGAACTGTGGGCTCCATCTGTAAACTCCTGGAAAGAATAATGAAAATTTAAGTTCCTATAGCTGAGTGGCTCAAAGCATTAATTATACAACAGAGTGCGTTAAATGAAAGAGCCTGCCCTCCATTAAAACCGTGGAGGATTTTGACAGAAATATTGCCCCGAAAGCCTCTCCCTTGATAGCGTTAACACTCTGATATTATATTCATTTAAATACATTTATGCACCCATGGAAAAGCAAATCCATTGTATTCTCTGTTCCACTTATTTCAGACTCATTTCCAGCTTTCAGTGCTGCCTCTTAAATCAATAATCATTTAGCGAGAAATTAGTGACAGAAGCCCAGGGAAGCAGAGCTGCAGAAGAAGAAAGAATTCAGGTAAAATATGGATACCCTTGTCTGAAAAGGAGGTGTGGGTGGTGTTGGCGAAAAGAAGCCAACTTTAAGGAGGCAACTTTCGACTTCTCCTCCAGGGAAGATTAACCCGAGGTCAACCTTCCCTGCTGCATTTGGTCACCTGGAATATGTTGGAGAGGTCCCGCAGGTTGAAGACGTAGTGGAACTTGACTGCCGTGGGGAGGAAGGTGGAGGAGACGCGTTGATGGAGGGCCAGGGCCAACTTGACCAGGGTGGAGCTGCTCTTCTGCAGGGTCGAGCTAAACCCTTCTCCTCTCAGATGCTGAGACAAGATGGAGCTGTAGATGGTGCTCAGGGCTTCTGCTCTGGGAAAGGACAGGGCGAAGACGCAGAAGTGCCGCTGCAGAAAGAGACGGAGAGTCAACAAGATAAACCTGCTCCATGCTAATGACACCGAGGCTAAAACCGCACCAGAACAGAGTTTGACTTATTAAAGCTCTTTTTGTGCAACTTTCTTTTGACAGTAAAAAGTTATTCATGTGTTGTAAAAATGTGTAGTGCAACTTTCTACATGCCAATAAATCTGAATGCATCTGAAAGCAGAGTGTGTGACTTCAGCTGCATTTTATAAATTCCCTGCAGCATCACATGTGTTACTTTGCTGACACAAAAAAAGCAGACTTTAAAGAGCCCTTCAAGTCCAAAACATGTTCCCATCCCCTGCAGATGAATGGATAACTTCCTCTAACGGCAGAGTGGTTACATAAGCCTATATGTGGAAAGTTTTCAAAACACAGAAGCAGCGTATATCCAATTCAAGACCTTATTACCCTAATGCATAAAGAAAAAAAGATAAATAGAGGAAAGAACACTCTTGTGTTATTATGTGGTTTTAACAGTCAGGACATGGGTGACTGAATCTTGCTTTTCACACTAATTTCAATGCGTCTTTTAATTTAAACAAAGCTAAAATGGAAAAGCGGTGAGAAAAAGGAACAGCGGCATCAATAGTTTAATGCACCTTTAGCAAACATGACTTGAAATAAGCTTTGTTTTCTGTGAAGGAATTTGGGGACGCTGCTCTTTCCCACCATTTTTCTGTTCCCGCCACAACCTTAAAATGCACTCATGAACCGAGTGCATAATATTCTGTTCTTGCACAGGATGGAAAAAACAAAACATTCTTCTTCTTTGTTATTCAGAGGAGAACAAGTGTGAGTCTGAGGAGAGCCTATAGTCTCTGCAGCTAAACATTCCACATGTGTGCCTGTTCTTTGCCGTCTGCCTGCTTTGTCACCTTTCCACCCCAACCTTGTTCCTGTCATTTTGTTCAGGAAAGTTGCTTTGATGTGTGACACCATCAGAAAGAAGCAAGGCTCACTGGAATGCATCCAGCATGCTCTATCACACATATTCCTCTCTTAATGTCTCCTACCATTTGTTCATGTCTACAACAAATCTTTCTCTTTACAACATCCAGTCTCATACCTCTTACTCTACACACAGGGGAGGCCAACAACATAAATCTTTTGTTTGGTGGCATTAACATTTATTTCAAAACTTTAAATTTTTTAAGTTACACTAATACGAAAACTAAATATTTGGAGTGATTTTCCTCCTATATTTTTTCCAGCACACTCAGTATTAAAAAGTAGCTAATCCCCAAATCAACTGTTTTATTTTTTGTTTTTTTTTCCAAATAAGCTATATAATTTGGACCCTAAAGCTGCAGTAGATAGCTCATATAAAAATATGTTGTTTTTTTTTACATATTTGTTAAAACTGTCTATGTCCTTACACTATAACAAAAGGCAGATAATGTGTGATAATCTCATCTCACAAAAATTATACAGCTCCAGGTAAAAAACAACCAATCAGAGACAGGAGGATGGGCTTAGCACTGTTAATCAGGACTATATATACCATTTTCATTCAACTGTTTCCCAGAGGATCATTTTTCTTTTTCTGAACATTATCTATGAACCTGTGAAATGGAGGATTTCTCATCAAGTCTGCATTGATGTTCATTCGGAGTTACAATAATGTAGATTTAGTATGCACATGTATCCTACTGCATGCTTTTATTGAATTTACAAAGCTGTAAATTAATAATAATATTAATTCTTCTACAATTTATAATGGCATCATTTTGTTCTGAGCTATTTACAGTTTTGCCATGTCTACCACAATGCATGTGCAAGCAGAAAAGGAGCATATGTCCCCCCCTGCCACTTCATTGTGTAACCAGTGGTACGCCATGTTCTGGGAAAATGTCCTGAATGTGTTAGTCTACCTGCAGCCTGGGATTAATGGTGAAGCTGCCAGCCGTGGGGTTCATGCAGGAAACGTATTGAACGTTGTGTATTTCTTTCAAAAGCAGTTTATTACGGTCATACCTGCAGAACACACACAGGGAGAAAAGAAAAAAAATTATTATTCCACTGCTTTGCAGGAACATAAACACCAACGTCGGCCAGCGGTCACACACAGACTTCTCCCCCTGTGCCTCTTCCTGATACGGATGCCTCGGCTCCCGCTTAAGCTGGCGTGTCTCGGAAGCAACCTCCTTCCTCTCAATTTCATACCTGAAGTCCTCCAAGCATATCTCTAATGGGCTGACCGTGTCTAATCCAGTCAGCCAGTGTCTGACGCAGTGGAACCATGTTCAGAATGGCCTCACTGTGTCAGAGAGATGAGCAACAAAATCCTTTTTACGGGGAATCACACAGGCCAGCTTTCACGTATAACTTCTGATACTCATAAAAGTTGCAGAATATGCATACTGATGCAGGGAGCTCTGAATACTGAAAGGGGGACAATTTCACAAGTACTAAAAAGCTAGCTAGCTGTGAGAAATAAAAGAAAATCATTTTTTTCTAATATAAAATGCCTTTGTATTCCATTAACATTTTGTTAAAACAGAAAATACTAAATTATTATTATTATTATTATTATTAGTGACATCTATAGGTCTGGGTGATATGGCTGAAAAATTCTCCACAATACAATCGTTTCATATTAGTTGATATCAGTAATAAAAAAATGTCAAACTGGTCATGAAATGTGCTGATTTGGACTTTTTTTGTAGCCGCATGACTTGGACTGTTTGATCATGAACTCCGCTGCAGAGTAAATTTTAATTCGAGTAACACTTTATTTGAAGGGGTGTGCATAAGACTGACATAATAGGGTCAGCTGAGATGGGTCCAGAGCATCAAAAACAGATGTAATTGTCCTTCCCTTAAAATTGTTACTAATAATTCAACACATGAATATTATCATGTTTGTGACATAATACTGCCACAAAATATTTTATGAACATGAAGGAGTCTTCATGAATGTTTGACTGTTGTCCCGAAATGTCATTTGGTAACTGATGACTCTGAATACAAAGTTGACACATTTAAGGGACTTTAAATGCAACTTGTGGTGCAACTTTGTATTAAAAGTGTCATTATTTACCAAACGACACTTTATGACAACTGAATTATGTCGATCTTATGAACACCCCTTCAAATAAAGAGCTACCAGAATTTGTTTAGCATTTATTTACACTTCAGGTAAACAATTCTAAAATCAGATGAATGCCACTTATAATTTCTGTTTATTGATGCAAAAGGCCCAACAATTAACTGAAGATACACTTTCTTTTTACCGTGACATTTACCTGATTAAATATCTTTTTCAAAGATTAGTGCGTACTTGAGCTTGCCTATGCGTGTGATGAATTGCAAATGACTTGGTCTTACCAATGCTTGTAGTCCATGTGTTGGCGGATGAGTGTGTGAGGTTGCACCGTGCCATATGCATCTACCTCAGGCATATTCATGTCATCTATGAAGTAGATCAGTCTTCTGCTGCCAGGAGGGCCGTAGTTGCGCCCTGCTTTTTTCTCTAGGGGCTTCTCCAGCACAGCTGCGTGGTAGATCAAGACTTTACAGAATGCCCTTCTCCTTTTTGTCTATTGGCTTTACCTTTTATGGCGTCTCAAACATGATTCACACACATTAAACAGTGCACACTTCAGATAAATAATATATGTGGGGAAGATCAAATGATTAAAAAAAGGAAAATTGTTTTATACTCTAGCTTTTCAACTAAAACCAGATCAGATGTAGTTTTAGATGTTCTGCTATTGATAGCAACACATGTGATGATACACTTCTCTGAGCATTAAACAGTAACTAAGGCATTAAAAGTCACAGCTGTTCTGGTTCAAAATCAACACAACACTTTTAACTGTTTTTGGAAAAAAATATGATGTAACAGGATCAATAGCTGTGATTTATGAGTGTTGCTTGCTATTGAATTATCCTTGGTTTTGTTCTGATTCTGCATTCTGTTCCTTTTATTTTACTATTATTTACTTCCATGTATTTGCATCTTCTTTGCTTTGATTTTTTTTTAACTGAAATTGTTTTTCGTTGTTCAGCCCCAGTTACTTGCCCTCCTGCTTTTGTTATCTGCACATTGTTCACTCTCCGATTACCCCTGTCAGTTCATAGGCTCTTTTGTTGCATTTGTTCATTATCTGCTTGTTGTTTGCATTTGTTAGTCTTCTTCATGCCATGTTAAGCTCCGTTTCCTGACTGATTTTCAATTTAGCATATTTCCAGATCAACCATCACAGCAAACAAACCCAGCCAGAGATTTGCATAAACTCATCAGGGACATGAATATTGTTTTTTGCTAATTTGCCTCATAAGTATTTAGTTTAAGCATTAACCCAGGGTGAAATGATTACATACATACGACAAAAGTTTGAATTGATTGTGGCTTTTCTCTAATCTCTGCAGTCTCAAATATACACTTCCACCACTGATAACATTCAGATATTAGTTCCTTAGCAAGCTGCACCTCAATCATGCTTTTTCAAGCCATCATCATGAGTATGGCATGATGTTTTTAAGCATAGAACACAACATTTCAATCCAGTCGAGGTAAAAGCTTTTGGAAAGCATCTAGATGTTGGTTTGACCCGATTTTAAATAATTCAGTTTGTTACCCTTTCAACTATATGCAACTAACTGGAAGCAAAACAGACCCACTTACACCTACCTTGCAGCATAGCAGACGTGGTGTAATAGTTAAATGGGACGTTTCTGAACATGTATTTCTCAGCATCCAATGACTCAAGTTTATCCCCGATTAGGAGAGACTTCCCAGTGCCGGCATTCCCGACCACCATGACTGGCCTGCGGTGCTCCAGGAGGCGGTCCACAAAGTAACGCACTCGGACCGTCTCAGCGGTGTGAACCAGACATGCCTGCAGACAGGAGGAATTCAGAACTGTTATTAGTGGTTCCTTTACCAAGTTATTGTTTTGGTAGGCTACAACAGCTATGAGTGTACAAAATGAGGTGAAAGTGAAAGTTGCATTCAATAAAAGTTAAGAGGGACATTTGGTGGTCTGCAGCTTGTGATAAGCAACATATTTAGTAAGAATTATCCATTCAGTCTGGGAAAAAGAAAAAAACAAGGACATACGCCCAGAGTCTAGACAGAGCTGCCTGGTTTAAGATTTACCTGAAGAGGTATATCTGGATCCATCTCAAACTTGGTGACCATCTTGGACCACAGTTCGAATTTTTTGCTCTCTGGGTCGATGTAGTAATCGAACACGGTGCCCTGCGATGGGAACTTGATGGTTTTGAACTCAGCAACCCACCACTTGCTGAACTCCACTCTGTAGTCGACCAGCTGCACTCACACAGAGAGACACAGAGGGGAGGCAATGCGGTCAATATTGTAAAATGACTTCCTCTCTGCTTTTTCTCCTCCATACAGCAGCTATGGATCCGTGCATTTGATTTACACTGGTGTGAACACAAACCAAAGGATGAATAAATGGCCCCAATGCATAAATGGAGTTGGAGCAGCTGAAGGGTAGAAAATGAGAGATGGCAGACCCATCTATCCATCCATGTGATTCGGCCAGTGAAGAAGTCTCATCACCTGCTGGCTGGCAGTTCCCTGCCTTCCCCTCTTTCTTCCCAACCCTTGATACCTGTCTCCTCCATTCACCACTGCCTCTCCAGTCAATAAAACCACTTAGCATTTAAATGCATCTGTGATGGGAAAATAAAGTGGAGTACATTTGTACCGAGGGGAAAGCAGTTTTATCCCATAACTTAGATGGACACACTTACTGTACCGAACTAACTGGATTGCTAAGCAACTGCTTGCCATGGCTCTCCTGCTGATTTAAATTCAGTCAGCCTGTGTGTTTCTGAGTGGGAACGCAGTCCATTTCATTTTCAGATGGAGATCTCTGCCTTCATGGAAAAACTACTATTCCTTCAAAAGAAAATAACATTCAAATGACTTTTCATCAATAGAGACAATGTTGAGTTCCATAAAAGCCAAAGAGGCTTACATAATATTCTAGAAAACTATTTCGACTTATGATGGGTAACAAAAAAAAGAAAGGAAAAACCCTTTAGCAGCTCTGATTTTTATTTTCTTTGTTCTTCCCACTTAGGAAGCATCTCACATGCCAAGAGGTCTTAGCAGTACCTGGTCCTGGAACAGCGCTCCCCCAAAGGCCCAGATCGAAGCGAAGACGAAGTAGAGCTCATAAAGATCTTTGGAAGAGTCTGGTGGTGTATTTTCTGGAGTCAGGAGACACTCCAGCAGGTAGCACAGCATCTGGACAAGACTCTGCTCTGGGATTGGGATGATCTTTTTGAACCTGACCAAAAACAGTGTGAAAGAAAAACTTTGGAAACATTTTTTAAAATGACGATCCCCAGGACTTTAGACATAGTTCCAAAAGACTCAATTTGTTGAAGTCCACTTTTCTCTTTCTTAGCTTGTCACTGAATTTCTTGGACTCTGCTATTCTTCTGAGAACATGTTAACCCAATAAGAGCTTTCAAAAATATAAAATGTATTCAGTTAAAATCCAAAAGCACATAGGCATCAGCCTTGTCAAGCTAAAGCACATATTAGAAACTTCAGGAATACCTAATAAAAGGTTAAGGTGAATATATGTTTAAACTTCATCTTGCTTGTAAAATTAAGACTTTGTATGGATTATTGAAAATCCATAATAAGCTTAAACCTCTGCATTAAGTACTTATTTTTAAAAAAATCATAACAGGATTTAAAAACAATCTTCCACCTTAGATATAACACCAGCCCAAATTATGACAGTCACATAATTTGGGCTCAAGATCTCACAGATCTTGAGATAATGAAAACTTTTACCAAGAACCCTTATCTTCTATACAGAATTCACAAAATGGACAAAAACTCTGAGAACCCAAGAAATTTAATCATGCACTTCCGAAACACCAGATGACAAATTTATGAGCTGTGGTGCATATTTAAAAATTTTTGTTAGCACAATGCTTCATCCCTCCCCTGCTTCCTGTTGTTTGCTCCGGCAGCAACGATGATGAAGGTGTCAGAGGATGCAAATGGTCTTTGTACAGAATGTAGAATCACATCCAGTTCTTTCTGAGTCACTCCCCGTTTGCTCCCCCTGTCCCACACGCCCACTTAACACAGCCCTCCTCCCTTTGCAGTGTCACGCAGGAAACTCTTGTGTCAACATGACTGAGCACTTCCCATCGCTGCAGGAACATCACGGTACCTTGATTTGAGAACATCCAAGCAGGAGGGGAGATACTTGTCGAATAAAATGGTGAGGTTTGCCTTCTCGGATTGGACTTCCCTCTTGTCGATCCAGCTGGACACCTGTGGGCTCCACCCAAGGTCTGCTGGATTTATATACAGAATGCCTGGGTGGGCAGGTAGTGAGAAGTGTTGTGATTAAAATGTATGGATAAACCTACAGTGCCTTGCAAAAGTATTATTAGTTTTCAGATTTCCTAATGCAACATTAAAAGTCTCTGAGGGTGATTTCATATAATTGGTGGATAATTGTGAAATGGATTTTTTGTTTTCTCCAAATAGAAAATCAAAGGTAGTTTTACATCAATAGCCCTCAATAAAATCTAGTCCAATCTACTACCTTGAGAAGTCAGATCATGAGTTCATACAATCCATGTGTGCTCAAATTTAATCCTGTTGTTTAAAAAAAACAAAAACAAACAAAATAAAACTGCTTGTTAAATAGCCTCCATGGCATTTATGGTACAATGGCATGAAGTAAGCTATTTTTTTAAAGGACGCCATGTTTGTGATTTCCTACAAACCCTACAGGGGAAACAGCAAGTATCTGGAAGTAGATTCTCAGATTAAATGGGGAAAAAAATATATTTTTAAGCTTGTAAAACAAGCTTAAAAAGTGGAAGTGTTAAACTTGAAATATGGTGGTGGTGGGATCACACAGTAGGGATGCTTTTCTACAGAAAGGGCAGAGAAAGTATTCAGAGTTCATAATGAGATGGATTCTAAGCATATTTCATGAGTTAGAATTGCTAAATATAAAACCATTGCACACTTTTAAAGTCTTGATTGAACAAAGAAAGTTACGCATGTGTTCTTTTTCTTCTTCACAAATAAACACTCCTTTATGATGGTCAATTATGTCAAATCCATACCCAAAATACACTTAAATTGTATTACAGTGGTATGGTGGTAGAGCAGGCTTTCTATATACTCTATTACAATTTCTTAAATAAAGTCCCATAGTGCCCTGAAATATTTAAGAAAAACACCTATATTTGGTTATACTGAATGGAAATGTGAAAAAGTTTGACGGTTATAAAACTTTTGCAAGGCACAGTATTTTCAGCTCATCAGGTTTTGGATTCAGTAAGACATTTAAGTGGAAAAGGTGGAGAGAAGCAAACATAGAAAGGCATTTATAAGCTGATGTACCTGCCCTCGATACAGTAGCAGGAGTAGCAGTGCGAAGGTGGCTAATCTCAAACACCAGCCTCATGGTGGGGTTCAGAGGGATGCGCTCATTACTGGCCAGAGTCAGCACCTAACAGACACAGAAGAGGTTCTGTCACACAGCATGTAATCACGCTGTGCCACTGGAAAAGTTCTGTCTATTATTAGATCCAGTCAGAACAAGTAGCTGTCTGTTCACTGTTAGTGATGAGTCAACTCTAATTGCTGAAGCTGAGAGCTCATTTTGTGTCTAAACAAAACAGAAAATTCAGCCTTTAAAGACACATAATTTCCTCACACCTTGTTGTCATCCATAACCGTGTTGAGTGACTCAATCCACATTGGATCAATGTCTCCATCTAGAACAATCCACTTAGGCCCACTGTGACTAATGTTGGCCAGTTCACGCATTACGCTGGAGAAGAGCCCTGTGAGAAGATGAGTTCACATTCAGGGTATTCAAGGCACGTCATTAAACACTTAGCGCTAATCAAATCCTCTTTCTGAAGGACATGGTAATCACCATCTTTCCACTCTCTGGTTGCCGGGTTGATGATTCCGAAGAGCTCGTCATTGGTCACCGCCTTCGGATTGAGGTCTGCCCACACGGGCCGACGCTTCATGTTCTGATAGGTCCGCTGGAGCGATCTCATCACGTGACTCTTACCGGTGCCCGCATTCCCGATCACAAACACAGAGTGGCGAACGGCCAGCAGTTCCTTGAGCTGCACCACCTTAACACACAGGCAAAGAGAGAGAGAGATTACAATAAATGCCTATTACCAATGCCTATCAACAATAATCCAGCATTTTATAAAGACCGTGGTGTTCATGCTGCTTAATCTCACAATTAAGCAGCATGTGCCTCACTGCAAATCCGGCACCGAGGTACAGCCTTCTTCCTCTGAACATGAAGCAAACTAAATGACAGCAGGGGGACTTCTAAAAACATCAAATGTCAAAACTCACATTACTGTATAATTAATGTGTCATTCATGTCTGCATCTGACATGGAAAGTCACTCGTTGAAAGGGCACTGACTGAATCAGGCCTGGTATATTAACATAATACACACGGATACAAGTAGATTACCATAATTAACAGTGCACACTGCATAAGAAAAGATATCCTATCAAACCAAAACACAAGATTTTACAATTCAAAGTTCCAAATTTGCGAGACAGACTAATTTAAAACCGTACAAGTCATCCGGCTGCCAAAAAAAACAAAAACAAGTCAATCCTCGGGAAGAATTGCTAAATATGGATGTTGTTTTGTGCGCATGGAGAAATAATAGGCATGTAAATGATTGATATGGCAGCAGCTGGCACGTATAGTGCAGCAAGTTGGCATCACGAGTGATTGCCAAAATAGTAGCTGAAGGTCACCAGCCAGAGAGCGTACGTTGTGGATGTAATAGGCAGCGTCATCAGCATTTTGCAGATCCGCTGGGGCATCAGAAAGACGGATCTTTGGAAAAACGCAAGGTCTTTCTTCTCTCTCTTAAAAAGATGCATCTTTGACTTCATGAATTTAATTGTGCAGCAGTGATATATGCCAAACATTTCTATCTGTAGAGCAAATATGCCGCAATACAGTAAAGACAACCAAACACACTAAACTCGTTTGCCTGAAATCCTGAGATTTCCAACAGCTGGGAGACGATTTGGAACAGAAGATGATGCCAGAATATATTGATCATGAAAACAAGCGTCCACCACAAGACTGAGGTCACCATAATTGATGAACACACTCGGCTATGTTCCTGATAACTGCAGATTAATAAATACTATGCAATATACAATTAAGTCTGTATGTAGTCAATATGGAATTTAGTCTGAGAAGAACCACTTACAAAGACATTTGTATCTTGTCTAACAAGTGTTGATAAAAAGGCTCCAAATTAAGCAAGTTTAGTTGGATGGTAGGTAGTATTCTGTATTTTATTAAAATGGTCTATGTTAGCTAAAATGCAATCCATCCAAGATTTGTTCGTCCGTCTGCTTTCATTCAATCCAGAATTTTCACTGACACCACAGGGAGAGGAACAATGACTGCAGGAGAGAAAATGAAAGGCAGAATAGTTTCTTTCCCCACTTTTTCTCAAACATACAGATGGCTCTGGATGATCAATGCCATCGACCTGATTCCTCCTCCCCGTCCATTCAACTGGAACGCAGGCGGCTCGGCGGTCTCAAAGGCCTGGCCTGATTAGCGCTTTGATCTGGGGAGGCCTGATGCTAGCCCAGGCTAATGCTAAAGACATTGGGTCTCTCCTGCTTAGACTGAAATCAAAAGGTTGGGCATCCAAACAAAGACAGGAAAAGTTCAAGCTCTGGGGGTGGAAGCTTGTTATTGACCACTCTGCCGTTCTCTCTCTCCCCCTCTCTCTGCTCTTTGTTTATTTCTGTGCCATCTCTCAGAGTCAAGGTTAAGTGGCGTGGTGCAGCGCCAGCCTCTATTGATAGAGTGTTATTATGTGATTCCCGTGTCTATTTGACCTGCGGCAGATTGCACTTATTTCCCTTGGTCCGGTGCAGTCTTGTTTCTGACACATAGCTCCTTTCATTGTGTGTGTGTGTGTGTGTGTGTGTGTGTGTGTGTGTGTGTGTGTGTGTGTGTGTGTGTGTGTGTGTGTGTGTGCGTGTGTGTGTGTGTGTGTGTGTATGTGTGTGTGTGTATTTGGATCTGTGTGTGACATAATGACTGGAATTAGGTCGTCAGCTCCGGCACCTGAACTCTCGTTGCAGCTAACAACCAGCTTTCGGCAATATTTGCCCAATTCATCCCGATGTTTGACACTAATGTGTATTTCTCAGTGGAACATTATGACATGAGGAAAATAGCTTTTGGAGAGAACCGGGATAAATCTAAATGAAAGCACTGCAAGTGTAATATCTGTCAAATTGTTAAAGATGAAACTTACATTTGGGAACTATGTTTGTACATCTCGGACAACATCTAATTACATTTTCCTTCACATATAATTTAGTGTCAAACTTCCCAAAGACCAATATTTTCTTTTAGGTGTAATTAAAATGAAATAAACAGCAGCATACACAATCATGGCCGTTTCAACTCTGTACCTTGAGAACGAAGTTGTCGTCAGGCTGCAAGTTCAGGTCCAGAATGGACTGCTTTACGTTCTCTTCAAAGTCCATGTCTCTCTTCCGGGGAACTTCCAAGGAAGGAAAAAGGTCTCCGATCAGGCCCAAGAAAACGGGCATGTCCTCAGTCACGATCTTTGGGATGTTGAAATCTCTCAGAGCTCGCATGAGGACTTGGTCCTCAGCTCGTCCCGGCTCTCCCCTTTTCAAAGAGCCGGCTACCACCAACACTGACTTGATGGCTCGAAGGCCCCAGTCATAGTGTTCCTGCAGGAAAAGTCAGGGGAATAGTGTAAGTAGAGGAAAATGTATGGATTAGATGGAGGCATAAGGTGGGTGGTGGCATCAAGATACACAAAGGTGATGAAACTTATGGCTTATGCTATTCTTACATTCAAAAATTGTTTTATTGAGGGAGAATGTGTCACAGTGGCCATAGTTTACAATGACACACCTCTCACTCTCCCCCACTACCAGTCAACTTTTAGAAAGCTAGTTTTTCTACTTTCCAAGACAAATTCAGCTTTTTGGAAAGGTTTTATTGGGGGAAAAGAAATCAAATAAACACAGCAACGTGGTGTGTTAACCGAAGTAGCACCGACCGCTCACCTTTCACCAAGGTAATGTGGACTTGACAAGATATGAGCTGCATGTCTGTTAATTAGCTGACTGCAGCTAGCTAGCCCCACTTATTACCCAGGTAATAGCAGCTTGTTAACCTCCCAGTGTGGCTATTTAAAAAGCATAAAGGGTAGAATACTGAATTCTAATTAACAGGAAACATTTACTCGAAAGTCTCTTCTGGCCTTCCGTAAATCATCTTGTTTCTCCCGCTCAAAAGTATTTTAGTGCCCCATTTCTGGAGAATAGCTAAGTTTGTAAGGAGCAAATGTACATTTTACCTGAATAGAATATTATCACTCTTTGGGATATTAGGTATCAGGGAAAGGAAGCATAACAAATCGCATTTTAATTCTTTCTGCAACTAGTGTCAAACTTCCCAAAGTTTGAAGCTTTACTCTAGGGTTATAATTCTTTAAGACATCTTTACCAGAATTAATTTCAACATTAATGTCTAATGTTGGTTCATTTGCTCCACTTTTAAAAACTATGTAACACTATAACCTTAATCTTTGTAATTCCCCTCAGAAAGATAAGTAAGAACCAAAATACTTGCAGTTTCTGTACTGAACATGAAAATTTGCACACAGGACGCAGAACTCTCTGAAAACATTTGTTTTCTAATTATATCAGAAAAAGTTATGCTTCACAATTCAATTGGCACATCTCTATCCTGTTAAACAGACATTTGTTAAGCAGCAATGAGAAGAGTTGAAATCAACAAAAGGAGACTCAGACGGAGCAAACAGGTCCAGCCAGTATGTAATATAAGCCTTGCTTGAAGCCGAACATTTTTCAAACCACAGAGAAGAGAATTGGATCCAGCCCAAACTTCAACTTCTAACTTTTTAAAGTTGTTAGCTTATTTTTCCAATTTAACAGTGTAGGTCATTTTTAACCTTTTAAAAGTAGCTCTCACAGTATCATGTTGTGCTAAGTGATAGAAAAAGATGAATTCCCTTCTCAGTTTTAAGCCCTAAAGAAATTTGGCACAACTTTCTAAGCGCTGCCACTTCTTTCATCCCCATCCCCAAGAAATCTTTGCCAAAAGGACACAGGAAGGACGACTTTGCTTTCTGTCAAAGCAATGTGGAGATATGTTTAAAAAGTGAAAGGTGAAAAGACATCTACATAAAGAAATTTATTGATGTTGTGTTTCTTAAAAGTAGTTGCGAAAGCTGAATTTGGACCACATTAAACAGGCAAACAAAACTTGAACATTGCTGAGACTAAATTTGGACAGGATTAGATAAATCCTATTAATGTTAAATTTCCAAAGATTGTACAAAACGTTGAAATACTGTATGTAAAGCTGTAGATAACTTTCTAATTAGAAATTTTGGAATTTTGCACAAAAGTATAATTTTTAATATGTATATTTATACTTTTTTTTTTTTTACCAAATAGTTTTTGTGGGACAGCCTGAAAAATCTAAGAATTACTGAAGAGGCTATTTATTCACTTAAATAAAATGGCACATGCAGTGACAATGTTAAAAGGGCAGAAGGTACTACCTGCTTGGACAGCAGCTCTTTGCACAGTGTGTAGAGGGTGATGAACTTTCTGCCGAGAATCCGGGCATTTACAAAGCCTTCAGCCACCAACATGATCTCGCAGATGAGCTCAAAGTCTGGAACCACCATAGCACAAGGTCTGTGGACAAACACACAAAAAGGAACTTCACTTTAATTTTGGGTCTTTCGGCTCCGATTTCACAATTTAAACTATCCAGAATTGCACTAATCAGTAACCAGGAAGGATAAACAATCGGATTTTATGGATGTTATCCGTAGAGAGAGGGTGGACTTAGGATTGGTTTAGACTTACCTGAAAAGAGTCTTGAGGTTCTCTGGAAGCTCTGTTCTACCGGCGTAACCAGGATTCATCGTGATGAAGATCCCGACTGAAGGACAAAGATTCACCTCCTCTCCCATGAAGTTAAATCGTTGCTTCTTGTAACGGATGGCATCTTGAATGCTTTTAACCTGCATGCACAGCCGATATAAAGAGCAATTTTTGTCATCTCTAAAAAACTGTATATGACGTCAGTCATATTTATTGTGGGGTGGAAACCCATCAACAAAGTGATGGTCTGAAGGGCGACCCTGTGCTGCTGTCCTACAAGAGAAACTCAGATCTAAGCTGAGGTTGTTTCTGGGTAGGGTTTGCAGGTAAACTTGAAACTGTGCCTGTGGTGGATTGTTTTCAAGTGCTTAGATTTATTGTCTGTCCAATTCAATGCATGATTGTCTATCTGGAGATTGTAGTTCCTTTTAGGTTTATGTCCTTGTATTTGATACATTGTAAAAATCATTTGTCCCCATCAAATCCTATATTGTGACTTCTCCTTTTGAAGTCCAAAGCCCAGGCTCATGAGAAGACATAAAACATAAGGATTTTATTTGTCGTCATGTTTCTACAACATAGCAAAATTGGATAGGTACTCACAGTGATAAATGGATAAATAAGTAGTCATAATCAGTGCTTGGGGCGCAGCAGATGGATGTGAGTGTGTCTGAAGGGAGGCAGGATGGAAGGTGGACATATTGATTTCACAGTTCTTGAGAAAAAGCTTTTCCTAAACCGAATGGCTATTGTCTTTATGCATCTGTACCGTTTTCCAGGCAGTAGAGGTACAAACAGTTTAAGTCCTGGATGGGTGGGGTCAACACAACACAACTGGCCTTCCTTTGCATTCTGCCAGTAAAGAGTAGGTCCAAATTCGGCTACTGACTCCCCACAAACCACTGGCCATGTCCTTTTTGTCCTGGACTGTGCAGTTGCCAGATGTCACAGTCATTCTGAGGCAGAGGATCACTGCTCTATAGAACTGCTTGAGACACTGAGCAGGGAGTCCAGGCCTTGGACTCAGTTTCCTGAGGAAGAAAAGTCTTTGTTGGGGCTTCCTCGTCAGAAAAGAGGTGTGAGCAGTGATGTTTTTGGATTATGGATTAAGTTTGAAACTAAAGAATGAATCGCATTTAGGTTGGGTTAAAGCATGCACTGATAATAGTGAGGTTTAGTATTGCTATGGACTGCCATTAATTGCTAGGCCATAGCAATTTACGACAAAAAGAAGAGAAGTCAATGCAAAAATAGAAAGAGATACTATGTGTGTGGGCTTGTAACTCTTGCTAGATTGCTGAATGTCACTGACAAACATCACTTGTTTAGTGACGTGTCACTTGTTTAGATCTATCAGCTGACTGTATGTTCACATATTTGGTTCTATTCTACAGATCTGGCATTAATCGGAGTATCTGCTTAACCGTGGTTGACTCATATTTCACATATTTATTTTCACGCGTTTTACTCTGAATAAATGTCACCATAATTTGAAAATTGCCTATTGTATTATTGAACGTGTTTGCAATTTTCAATTAGGTGAGGATCTGAGACATTTAAGATAGACTTAACACAGATGGTGAGTACCGAGGGATAGTCCTACTTTACTTGGAGTAAAAAACGCACCCTTAGCTGCTCTCAAAAGTAAGCAGAGCACCCTGGCACTGCTGTCCTTCTGTCAGTCAGTGGCCTGTCAAGAATAAACTTCCAGCTTACTCAATGTGTCCCACACCGTCATAGTTTACAGTGAGTTGAGTCTCTTGCTGAGAACAAAACTGGCTCATTTTAGCATCTTGTTCAGTCATTTGGGACTTCTATCCATGAGGCAAAAGCCCCAAAACACAGCAGAATAAAACATCACCACTTGCCTCCACAGTGCCTCCACAACATGGCATTAAGGGACCTTTGGCTCTGAAGGGGGCAGAAGCAGATTTGCCCCTTCTCTGGTTCATGTCCCATCACAATTTTGTTGTATGGAAACCTGTACATGGTTTAGGAGTTACAGTAGGGTACTTTGCAGGGGAAAACGCATCATAAGCTCAGTTGGCACCTTTAATGCAAACAGATTGTATTAAAGGTGTTTGTATTACCAAATAGTCTGCAACCAGAGATGGTTTTAATGAAAGAGGGGTACATTTCTACATGGAATGGGTTCTAAAAGGATCGTTGAGCAGAAGGACTTGTAGACATGTCCACCAGCCAGACACTCATAGGTAATAAAATAACAGTAGTGTATTTTTAGGTGCAGTATACGTCGCTGATATATTTCCCTTCAGGATTCTTTCAGGTCCCCTAAAAGCTACTTTCAAGGTCATTTTGGGGAACTTGCAGGGTATTTTAGGAGAAATGTTCCCGACACTTCTGGAATCCTTTGTCATACATTTTCTTCGTTTTTCTTACCAATGTGTATGGTATGGCATGTCTAAATCTGTTACTAAAAATGAAATTCTACATATCTGTTTTAGATGTACAGTGACTTACAAAAGTATCCAAAGACTTTTTTGGGTGATTACTATTGCAAAGTGCTGTATGTGCTGCATATCCACTTCAGATAAGTTAGCCATCTTTAACACCAAACCCTCAGTCATTTTAGATGGCATCTCCAGACTGGTGTGTCAAAGATGGGAACTGGAACCAAAACTGGTGCACAAAACACTGGGAAATTCATGTTAGAATCTGCTAGGAACATTTGCAGTGAATTCAATTTATGGAGCAACTCGTCTGACACTGCTGGTTTATTATGGAAGCAACTCACACATTGATTGAAATAAGATATTAATTAATACAGCAAAAAACTTCTCTCAGATCCCACTTATTAATATTGCATTAATATTAGCATGTCCCAAAGTCAGTCTGTTACAGCATGTCAACTTATTATGCTGCACAACCTTATTTTTTATGTATATAAATGTTCACTATTTTATCACAAATATAAATGTCCTATCAAGTAGGGTTTACTGGATGGATGAGCTCCCGAGGCTCTCTGTGTGTCTAAATCATGACTAAATGAGTTATCAGGCTGAACTTTCTCCATGTCCAAGCCTAAAACTGAATCCCTGCTTATGAATTTAACATGTGAGTGGTTAAAGAGCATAGCGAGTTGACAGCTGGAAAGAGAAGGAACATCTCTTCATGGATGAGTAGTCGACTACAGATCGTTCAGTCATACCAACACAACAGAGAGAGGGATGCAAAAAACAAACAAGGCAGCTGTGGCACACACGCAAATACACGCACACACACAAGCAAAACGTTTGTGCATTTATGTCAAATGATTGGACATAAACTCAACAGAGGTGAAAAAGATTTAAAAATAAATAAATAAAACTCTTGCAAGTTTAACAAACTGAAAGTGTTTGATCTTCAGGGGTTTGCTCCCAGATTTAACTCAAGAAATGTAAACTGAACTGGAATGACTTTATGCCCGTCTGTCAGATAGTGTACTTGGTCCTCTTTTGCAAACCTAAGAACATCTTTGATTTGTCAAAGTCACTTACAGTCTCAAAAGATTTCTGAAGGCACACCGATATGTTTGGCATCAAGAGTATGGCAGGATTTCATGCAAATCCTGCAAGATGCTAAGTGGGACCTCCATGGATTGAATTGGTTTCTATGGCACATCTTACAGATTGCATCTACTGGCTTTCCCTCTTCCCTTTTGTACGAGAGAGTTGCCTTTTTGTTTAGCCTTAGTTTTCTCCTGTTTATGTGCTTGTTAGGTAGGTTATGTTTGTAGGACTGTATTTTTTTTTCTTTTATTGCAGTTAGGCAAGTTCCTTTTATTTTTCTTTCAGGGTTGTTTTGTTTTATTATGTTGGCTTGAGCTCTCCCCAAAGCTTTCGATCGCTCAATACAGAAAAGAATTTAAAAACTTGGCAGAAAATAAACACCTTAATTGCCAACCTGATTCCTCATTCACTGTCTAGATTTATGTTAGTCCTTTTTGTCCCCTAGACCAACCCAGGGATGTAACGACGTCCCACAAGAGCTGCAGTTAGGAGATGCTCTGATTCAATTGCACATTCTTTTTAAGACTCACCTATTTTCTTTTGACAGCAAAAGTTTTCTTGCTCCCTAATATATCTCACCAACTAGGTGTTATGACCTAGTCGCATGTAAGATTTGTGTAAATCACAATCGGCAATCCAGGTTTGTGTAGACTGTTAAAAGAGGCAGAACCTCTCCATTTCATCCAATTTATCTTCATGTATGGCTGCCTTCTGTTTGGCTGTGTTGGTCTGATGTCGAAGCGGTCCCACCACCTGTTCTAGACGTCCCGAGCAGCAGTGGAGTTTGGCCCCGTGTAATATTCGCTGCACCCCCATTTTCAAGCGATGGATTAGGTGTATGCTCGCCGAGGAGAAATGACGCTGCCTTGGCTCCACTGAGGAAGGCTGAGTGCCGGAACGGGCTGCCAGCTGTCACAGCGCGAATTTGATGCTCTTCTGTTCTCAAGGTCTGCTCTTCCACGTCTAAGCCAACATGATTTATTATTTATTGCACCCTGCAACACCTATTCATTCTTCTGGCACTTTAAAATTCTCTAAGTACTGTGGACTTCCCCTGCTTACGGAGAAAGACTGCTTGACTTTCATCTCTGCTTAAGAGAGGCTGAGAGAAGGGCAAAGAAGTGACTGTTTGGTCTGGCGGTGAATAACAATGCTTCAGGAAGCCATCTCCATTATCTGCACTATTATGATTGCAATCAACATTATCAACTGTACATGGTTTGCTATGACAGTGTGTAACACTAATTAAGGCTAGGCACCTGACTATGGCCAAATATGGTAATAGGCAGTCAGAAAGGTTCGGCTGAGGAGCTTGTGTGTGTGTGAATAAAACACCATCAGAAAGAAAGGTATTGTATTCAAAGAAGTTATTGTATTCAAACTTGTATATTTGCATATATTTAGGAATAATAATAATAATAATAATAATAATCATTTTCTATAAGTATAACCAATAAACACAACAGGAAGACAACAATAACAATAATAAATAAACAATCCCTGATGACACCCAAGAACTTTTTCTCTTATTCAAGTCCGTTCTTTTGTATTCAGGGTTATTAATGGTCCGTCAATCAATAATCCGACTGTCTTTAGTCCATGAGCCAAGGCAATAGGTCCAGAAAAATAAAGTAGTTTGGTTTAATTAAGTCCTGTTGTGTTCTGGTAGCTCGCTGGGTTGAAACAGGGGGTGGGAAAAACAACTGACCTAAATAAGATCATAAATAAAAACAAAAATTTGCATTTAAACACGGTGAAACTGCTATCCAAAACGAGATATTCATAAAAAAACTAGTTATATTCCATAAAGTATTTGTCAGGAATCATTCAAATGAATTTCAAGTTAAAGATCACATTAATGTTACAAAACCAAGTGAAGTTACAGATTGAGTGATTACTTAAGTACTGTTTCAATCAACAATGAAAAGTTTTTTTCTCTTGTTCAGTAACTCCAAATAAATTAACCAGTTCCAGGCTGTCAACAAAATCAATGAAAAGTAACTAAAAGTATCCTTAAAGGACAAATTCACAAAAATCGATGGGCTTATTTAATACTTTGAGGACATATCTTCTATTCAACCACAAAATTAATAAAAAGAGAATGATCTTTTAATCTATAAGACCATCTATAAGACGTCGATACATAGATTTGAAGTGTCTATGTTAATTAGACTTGATTCAGCAATATTCTTCAGCTATTTTGGAAAACGCCAACACAAGCAGCAACAGCATTGGAGAAGATCTGAGTTCACCTCTCACCCAGAACTTAAAAATGTGCTGTCGGTTTGACCCACCAAAATAAAATACAAGTTGAGTATTTTGTGCAGGCAAAAAATGCTGCACATATTTACAGGTAGCGCTGAAGGTAACTGCATGCTGGATTTGAAAACACCAGAGAACCTCGATGCATTGCAAGATGACAAAGAAGCTAACTTTTGCTGAAAAATACAAAATGTGGTTGGTTGCAAAAATCTCCAGAGGTCATGCAGAAAATCCAGCACTCTGCCTGAGAGTCATTATTTTACAAGTATGCAGTAGCATTCCGTGCTTCATTTAATGAAACCCTTGTAAAATTAGTTGTGTTGCACTATTTAAATTGTTCTTGCTCAATTTGGTTATCGAGTGCAGTTGTTAGTTTGTGTATTTTGCCATTAAGCCCTGATTGCTTTGAAGAAATCTTGCTCCAATTGCTGATATTGAAGGAATACAGTGTCTGGCAAAAGTCCTAATAGCACTTGTTGTAGCTTCTTGCCCCATTTTAGCTACAAACAACAGTGTTTCTATTGAATCTTTATTTAAAAAACAAAAAAACAATGCAAAGCGGTGCTTGATTGTTGGATTGTTATTTCAAACTCAGGCAAATGTGCTGCACTTGCCACATTTTTACCTCATGTAAAAGCAACCAAAGGTGAAACGAGGTAGTGTTGTCCTTACCTGTACTGCTACAACAGACAGCACCTCCACAGAGATCCTGTTAAACTCGTCAAAGCAGCCCCATGCCCCTGTCTGAGCCAGGCCTTTGTAGATGTTCCCACAGGACTGGTGGACAGACAGAGACATGAATAAGATGGATATGTCCAGTAAGTGAGTGAGCCACTCGCAGACTCAAAAGGCACATAAGACTTCGGGAAAATCTGAAGAAACAAAATCTTTGTGAGCAGTCTGTTTGATCTTAGTGGAATAGTAAATGAGACAAAGAAATATTATTGTTAAGTTTCAGAAATGCACATGGACATTGGACACAACACTGCTTTAAATCAGTCCAAACCTTGACTCTTGACATTCTTACTGGGTTACCTGGTTTCAATAATTCTGTTTGTCCACTTGTCAAAGAAGTAGGAATACATTTCCATTGATATATTTTTCTTGTGCTAACCTAGGGGTATTTTCTTAAAATTTGTAGGTTTTTTTGCTTGCTTGTTTTCATAGCAGCCATGGAGATAAATTGGGTAATTTCACTCAGCTTGGAACCCTCCAAAAGACTTTTGGCCAGACCTTTGACTGATAAGACCTGTGTTGAAGAGGACAGAGGAACATTTATAATTGCGTAGCAAACCAGCTACACAGTAACGTGAAAGGAAGGCTGATCCATTTAAAAAAAAAAAAACACCTCACAATAATAAAATCAGACACTGAAACCAAAAACGATAACTAAAACATCTACCACTCACATTTTCTCTTGCCTCTGAATTCAACATGAGAGCAAGTGAACAACCCTTCAGAAAGCACCTGGGCTGAGAAGGAGCATGCAGCCGACTGGTGTCTTTGATTACAGAGCAAAGCTAAGCTTGTCATGCAAACTGGAGCTTGTCATGCACAGACGCACAGAATGCTGTGTGTCTGTGCATAAATAAAAACAACAAAGTGTGAGGCTCTGAGTCCAGCTTCTCATGTGGTCTTCCTGGAGAACATTAGCACTTAGTACAGCCTGCTGTACAATGGGCAGCTCGGGGTGGTATTTGCCTCCGTACTGCTACGATACCCCCATCTGATGGAGGTCGGAGAATATGCATCTTCCCTAGACATTCAATCTGTGGTAGGTGTACGATAAAACACATTAAAGATATAATAAAAGCCAAAGGAGGCTGGGCATACATGAAGCTTTTTGCAAAGAAATCATAACATGGTGCAATTTAATAATAGCTCCTAAGAAAGCAGCAACTGAACCGTAAAAAAGGATTTAGAAAAGGATGTAAAGGTCAAAAGACAACTTTGATGACAAATACATAGCATTTCGCTGACAATGGCCAGAAAGCAAATCAGCATGCATAACGCTTGCTCCTATGAATGCATGGCTTGTGTTTGCTCACCTTGTAGTCCATCTGCTCAGAGCAGTTGAACACGTACACCATGACGCCCAGGGCCCGTCCCAAATCTTTGGTCGTCTCAGTCTTCCCTGTGCCTGCAGGCCCAGCTGGTGCTCCGCTCATGGTCAGGTGGAGAGACTGAGTCAAAGTGATGTAACATCTAAATTTAGAGGAGAAACATGCAAAACCATGACTGATAAATGAATCATCCCAAACTCAGAGACATACGTAGAAATGCTACTCATTCAGTTGAGATTTCTTTAGAAGTCTGGAAGTACTCACACCCTATAAACTTACATTTTGTACTGATGATTTATGTGCTTGATCAACTTATAGAAGACCGTAAAGATTCGACGGAAAAAGAAAACAACACACAGCTTCCAAGCTTTTCTACACATAAAAATCTGAAAAGTGAGACTTTAAAGGGGACAATGATTGAAACACTCCAGATATCTACCCTACATGGAAGAAAGCAGGTGTTGAAAGAAAGTCTTTAGAAACCCCATTTACAGTTTAGCACCAGCCCTGTAGACGGCACATGTCTACAAAAAGGTCTTTGAAAACAAAACTTAACTTTTCAAGAAGAGACACACAGAACTTCACTCTAGACAAAGCACCCCCATTCTGAAACACAGTAGTAGCAGCATCATGTTGTTGAGATGCTTTTCTTCTGGAGGGACACAGGAAGCTGGTCAGGGCTGATCTAAAGGAAACTCCTTGACAGTTACTCTTTGATACACAATTAGTTTTTTTTTAGATATCTTAAACTGTAAAGGAATAGAAATAAGCACTGTGCCAGTCGGAGGCCCTTTCCACTTAATAAAAAAACTGAAAACACTAACTGATCCATTTGAAAGTGACTGAACTGAGGCAAAACTGAAAAACATTCTTCATTTTGAAGGCGTTAACCACATCGCTCTTAATTCTTTCCAAGCTTTTATCCACATTTCCCTTAGAGTATTGGCTAAAAGTCCATTTTGAATATTTCTGAATTTTGACTGTTATCCATTCATGAAGCATCAACTAACAACTTGGCAATAACAACCTGAGTGAGGAGCAGCTTCTTTCTCCATCTGGGTTTTGAGAGATCTGGTTTGGACATGCTTAAGCCAAGTCGAATGTGTCGCAGCTGTTATGCAGCTGGCCCTCATGGGAGAGATGTCCTGGTACAGAGCATTCATCAGAGCTACCTGGTCCAAGAGCCACTAGGACTCGCTGCTCACTCAGAAGCAGCTCATCGAAGCTTACAGAAGAACGCAGAGACAGACAAAAGGCCTGTTGGGTCATGCGTTTCACTTTGCCCATCTGCGCAGTCATACCAACACTCACACAAGACTCATCTGAAATCAGATGGTGGGTTCAACAGAGCAGCAGCAGCTCCCTCCTTTTTCCAAAACTTGAAATATGGAATGTTGGTTAAACTATCTCGGTATCTAACATATTAATCTACCGTAGAATGTCTCCTGTGCACTAACCATACATTGAAACAAGGCGCCGCTATGCACTAGAATTTTATACCATGCTGGAATGACTTTACCAATGTGGGTGTCCCATTTTCACATTTCGAATACAAAACTACCAAAGACCAATAGCACTGCCAAGATGACTCTCCACGCACAACCCTGATAAACCCCCGTCTTGAAAGTCTGCATGTTCACCAAACTGAAGGAGTCTCTTGCTCTATCACTTGGACAATTACAGGTTCAGAAGTGCCTGTAATCCAGTAAGTTGTGACATTTTAACAAAGAACAGGGATTTCGGGGTGTGCTGTGGTGGCGCAGAGGGTTAGCACGCCCCCCGTTTGGAGGCCTCAGTCCTCGACACGGACGTCGCGGGTTCGACTCCCGGTCCCGGGGGACCTTTGCCGCATGTCTTGCCCTCTTTCCCGTCTGTCTACTGTAAAAAATACGAGCCACGAGCGCCACAAAAACTCTTCGGAGAAAAAAAAAGAACAAGGCTTTGGACACCTCTGTTGTTGTTGTTTTTTTCTTGGTTTGCTTGTTTTGTAACCAATGAAACTCTCTGCATAGCCGAGTTACCCCACAGTAATTACAGTTAACTTTATGTGACACCAGTTCTAGTTTGGAGCAGCATGAATATTTCATCAAAAACCAGAAATCGACATGAACGCTATTATCTATTGTTTATGTTTAAGGAAATGCATATTGGTGCTCACTGCTGAGTCATTAGATGAGGTTTTTATCACATCCACACGATGACAAGTTCTATCACTTTTATTTTATTTTATTTTTTTACACTTCTGTTTTTGTTTGTTGTAATTCAGGTTTGGTAAACCTGCAACTGGCACAAGTATACCATACACTGACAAGAGGAACCTTAATGATCATGTTCTTTATGTTTTGAATTATCAGTTGAATCCAGACAACTGCAGTGATGTGCAACAGGGACTGCTGTCTGTCACACACACATTGTGACACACTCTTTGCTCTAAATCTGAAGAAAAAAACAAACAAAAAAACAATTAATTCTAACATATGTGATTTCAAAGACTCCTGTCTTTAAAACAGGAAAAAGTTCAGTTCTCATTAAATAGTTAATTATAAACTCTTAAACCGTGTCCATTTCATTGAGATGATTTGACAGAAAAATATCCTGGTAGATAAAACTGTTTTAAAGACAAAACAATACAAACAAAAAAATGTGAGACCTACTGTCTCAGGTGAAGGAATGAAAGAAAGATGTTGTGATCCATTAATTATAATTAATTAAAATATTCTCTATTCTCCAGCTTGGCAGATAGTACTGTAAGTCTGCATTCTAAGAGATGCTAAGAGAGCGTCGCCAGGTCCGGGGCTGACACCGTCTTATAATCAGGTCTCACATCGTCTTTGGGTCAGCACAATCACTGTTATGTGACAATAAAATCTGCTCCTGTGATTTTATTATCCCTTGATTAATACAGCCACTGAATGCTTCACCCGCAGAATCTGTCAGAACTGAAAGCGAACAGTGTGTCCATTTACTCTCACTGAAAAGCAGCAGTGAGGTGACGGGGACAATAAGACCTTTATTGATCAGGCCAATGAACACAATGGCTTTCCTCTAATATCAATAGAGTCATGCTTTTACTAACCGCCTGTTAATGGATGATGTATGGAAGAGAGAAATATTGGAAAGCACAACAAGAGACAGAAGCTCAGAGAAGACAAATGATCCCATCTGTATACAGTGCATCATCCAGATACCAGTGCCAAGAGGCTTTATGGGCATCCATTGAAATCTGTCCAAAAACCTCACAATGAGTTGTCAGGAGGGCTGGATGAGGATGTGCTGTGCAGAGTAAGTGAAGCCAGATTGGATATGTGACAGTGAAACTTAACTAAGCTGTGACAAGGTGACTTGTTTTATTACAGTGCCTTTAAAAGTAACTGCGATAAATCAGTATTCTGGCTGGACTCATTCTTCTTTCATTCCTCTTTGTCACTCTGCGTGTATGAGCTGGAAATGGAAACTTTTAAGACATTTTGAAAAATGGCACTGATCTGGAGACGATGCAGCAAGTATTGAGTGAAGGCTAATGCTATGCCAATAGAATTACGCTCCGTTGACGATTAGCTTAAATTATTTTTGCCCTGATTATTCTTCCACAGAATTATGCGCTTGTTGAAGCTAGGGAAAAACTGGGAGATCCTTCAGTACATAAATGAGTTTAGTTTAATATTTTATTGTATTTTAGTTTAACCAAAAAAACAGCCATAACAATGCTATAGTTTGATTTCTCCATTCCCCCCAAAGTCTTCAGTGCTTCTATTTCTACCATTTACAAAGTAGATATGTGTTTAAAAAACTACAAACTATAACAATTGTGCAATTCAGGTTGACAAATCATGAAAACCAAAAAGCTGAGAACATTTCAAATTTCAATCAAAGTGAGGTTCACTGATTTCAAACGAAATTAGGTCCGTGAAACGTTTCCTTTTTTCTCAGTGACTGCATGACGAAAGCTGCATTGCAATATCATTCACCAAATCCTTCTTTATCCGTTTTCTCAAAGCAAGAACTAAAGGATTTGAAAGCTAGCTTCCTTGCTCCTGGTGCATTGTTGCAATAAAACCCAGCAGCAAATTGTGAAGTGCAGTGAGGGCATGCACCATATGGTGAAGTCCTGCTACTCGTCTGCTGAAGTGACCATCAAAGCCCATTGTTTCCGCTTTGTTAAGGCTTCAAAGGGACCACTGGTCAGCCAGGAAACAAATTCAATCGCTACTGTTTGCCAAAGATGTCCAGGAGACGGGTATTCATCTCTGTGTGGTTTACTGAACCTCCTGCAGAAATGTGCGTGTGAACAAACAAGCTGTTGGCTACGTTCCCACTGTGACTTGTTCTGAGTGGTTTGATGCATACAGATTTAACTTCAAGCATCTTTGCTTGGAGACGTTATCGGACTAGAAACTTAACATTTTCTGACAGCTGCCTATTTTAGTGCCTGACAGAAACGTTGGCTGCATAGTTAAATGTTTAATAGACAAGAGTTTAACAAGGCTTCGTGGGGCAAAATCTTTTTATTACATACAACTATTTGAAGTAATCTGTTGAGTCAGATGGTCAGTCATCTTTAGTTTAAAATCTAAATCACTGGCAATGATCAGAACTGAACTGCTTAAAAATACAGTGATTTCGAGAGGTCAAACCACAACGATTTCTCCTATTTGTTGTATAAATTTAAAAACCATGTAATGAAAAACAAATTTGTTGCATTTATTTATTTTTAAAATAATAAAGATGCTGCTCAACAGGACATCAGTGTCAGTGTTAATCTGGCCATCACATTCCTACACAATAATCTCCCCTCAGTGCTCCGACTGGGCTTTCTCCCTTAGAGCTGGATTTTTCCTGCAGAATCTGTGAATGATGACGTCAATTTTTTACGCTATTTTAAAATTGTAGTCTGAATGTAGTTTAGCAATGGCAGTAAGTGTCAGCACATCAAACTGGCACATTGCATATATTAACAGCCAAATATTAGTGATTGGGTACAATTTAAAATGTCAGTAAAGTCCTTGCCTCCAGACTCTCTGAACAAAGCAAAATGTAGAACAAGAGGCTTGTTTTTACCAGGCTGTCAGTGTATGTGAACTGCCTTATCTGACAAAACAACCAAAAAAAACTTCAAAAACAAACAGTTTGATCATCAAAAGATTTTAAAGCTGAACTTGTTTGTCACTAAAGTTCAGATGGATTCTGAGCTTTAGTGAATCCATCTAGAGTTCAGAGTAAGGCTGAGATCTTCAGCTGCACTGCAATTCTAACATTTTTCTCATTGTCAACCGCAGTCAGAAACATGGAAAAGAAACAAAACCATCGTAATTTGCCAAGGATGGGGTTTGTGGGGGGGCGTGGGGTTCTACCTGTCTGTTAGAGGAGTGATGACCAGTCGTGGCGTGTTGCCCAGATATTCATACGAGTAGAGAAACTGGGCATCACAGATGTTGGCAAAGCAGTGCCTCTCCCTCTCGTCCCAGTGATGTCTCAGCTGAGAGAGCCACACAAAGGCCTGGGAATTCTCCACCTTCAAAGAGGAGACAAGAAGAAGAAAGTTTCCAGAAGCTGCCAACACTTGAGATGAGCCCAAAATAATCTGTGCATTTCCACCCTCTAATTATGCTAATGTCTTGTCTGAATATCTTGAATACATTACTTACTAGTAATAGCCTCTCAAGAAGGCGTGGCAGCTTACAGCAATGTGTGCTTGCCAGATTTATGCCCCGGGCTGTACTCACCTTCTGACTGATCATCTTGGCCACCACATCTCTGGCGTGGACGTCGATGGTGCAGATGGTCATCACTTTCTGCCTGTCACCTGGTGTGAGCTGGCCAATCAGCATGGAGATGAGCATGTTGAGCTGGGATACCTGCTTCCTGTAGTACTCCTTCATGGAGTTGTCATAGCCTTCCTCGAGTCGGGCAAAAGCCATGTTCACATCAGAAGTCCACCAGATCTGAGTGCAGGTCAGTGCAACCTGAACGGAGATTTTAAGACATTGGAGGAATCAGAGGAGAGGACATTAAGTAGATTAAGTCAGATTTCGGTACATACATTTATCTACTAGGGTTCGTATGGATTCCCAAAGAGGAAAAAGAAACTTAGGCATCCAGTATTCCCATAATTCATGTGAAGAAATGCTTCAGAATTGTGATGTAATGTTTGGACTGCGGTGTAAACTTTTCTATGCCATGGATCTTCCCAAATAGCAGTTGCTTCTGGCTGGAGACTCTCATTGCAAATCCACAGACAACACCGCAAAATATGGAAAGCAACATTGACTTTTAGTCTCTTTCTTTCTCACTTTTAAACTCCACTTATTCACTTAGCATAAAGTTCATTCTGCATTTTCATTGTCAAACACTTTTCCATTTCGTTCGTTTTATGCTAGTTTGATGGCCCCATTTTGAAAAAAATGCTTAAGGTACTGATGTATCTCCGAATGAATGCAGTGAATCTGTATTGTGGCTGCAATCTGAGAAAAAACAAACCTGGTGTTTATATAATTGGTGCAGAAGCCTCACACTTCCTTTCTGATCCCAAATGATGGGATGTAAAAGTTTTAAGAAAACTTAGTTTTGACAACAAAAAAAAACTACCTTGAGTACATAAACAAAAACGGTTCCCATTTTTCTTTGCAATATACCTTAACTGGAGTCGGCTTGAATAGGCATTGGACAGAAAACACTGTCCAATCTATAAAACCTTGCAGAGTTTCAGTATAATTTATAATTTTCAGATAAAAACAAACATGAATCAGGCATTGTACTGTTTATACCCCCTATGGTTCCTTCATGACAAATTACAAGAATAGTATCAAATATTTTTTTTGCATCTCTAAAGTTTTTAATTTTCTAAAGGACACTTTTGAATAGCTCTGTTGGGCTTGCAAAAAGCTCTGGGGAATAATAGACAAAAGGGATCAAAACAACTTAATTGCATCTAAAAAATAAAAACTATTGAACCTAATGAGTTTATGGGAATTGGGGAATAGATTGTCTAAACAAAAACAATCATTTTAATTGCTATTCTGCATGGGCTTTAATATTTAAGCAACCATAAAATGAAAACCTCACCTTTTTTTAAGCGTATGCATCTAAATGCTTTATCATCAAAGTACTTGTTATTGAAAAAGCCCTAATGGAGTACAGATGTCCTAAACACACCGTATACGGTATATGACTCATCACTTCAACTCAGCTGGAAGAAAAGAAAAACAAAAGTCAGTAGAATTTATTAACCGTATTTGTAAATCATTCTTGAGATAAAGAAAAATATAATCTGACATAAAAAGTGGTGAAGACTCAGGAGGAATGATGTGATTTAGAAGTAATTTGGTGCAGACGATGACATGTATGTTAATGAAAGCATTTTCAAGAAGCTGGAATGTCTAGAGCTCCCCCTAGAGGCAGTGATGTGCGGTCAGGTCATCATGGAAGAATAATACAATAAGATAAATAATTGCTATTTTCATTCTTTGTTTTGTACTATAAAGTATTTCTTTTTCATTTAGCTTAACCATTTTTGGTTATTCTTTCTTTGAAATCGCAGAATTTTCGCATTTTAGCATGCACAAAATATCCCTATGTAAACAATAACATGCAGGGGGTCTATTGATTTTGATTAAGTCAGTGCCTCACCAGCCATGAAACAAATCGCACGTCACTGCCTAGGGGGTATGAGTGGTTCCACCGCGGATTGTCCTTAGTTTTGGAAAATCAAAACTAAGGATTGAAGGAGACCGAAGGTTCAGCGTAAATGTACTAGACATTATTACTGGCATCTGAAGGAGTTTAAGAGATGTTACAGTGACCCAAAGGTGGAAATGGTTAACAACTAAGGTTCACATAAATATACTGTAAGGGCTCCACTTGCTTAAGACAGACAGCATAGGGAGATCAACTAATTGTTTGTCCACATAAAATAAGCACTTGCAATTCAGACAGTTATAAAGACTGTTTTCAACATGTTGTTCAGCAATGGCTACCAGTTCAATGTGGTTTCGTGTAATGCCAAAGGCCACTCCTTGAAGGAGTGGTGCCTTCATGGAGGCATGATCTGGCAGACGTAGTACCACTCATGATTATGAGATCCATGTAGGGCGGCACTGATGTAGAATGTAAAACTAATCTTGCCAAGGTTTTAAAGGCACAAAAATTAATCCAGGCTTCACGGCATGGGGTATGACTGCAGGACAGCACTGGTAATGAGTCGGGCGGACTCAACCAGTGACGTCCTGTGTCCATCTGTCTAAACCCTGCCTTATGTTGCAAGCAACCCAGTTCTCCTATGTTTGCCAAGTTAAGCTATGGGAAATCAGTTCATTCATCAAGTGTCACCCGTAGTCGTTTTGCCAGATCTCAAAGGCCAGTTCCAACACCTGGGGGCTGACTTGTAAGTTGGGACTGTGTTTTGTGCCAGATAGCTGCTTGTATGCAAGCCTGAGGGAATGTCACAGCCACGGAACCAGGACTTTATCCCTACTGTCTTGCTTACAATGTCCTTGCATACATCACTGTTAACTGCTGTCAGTCTTAGGGTTGTACATTATTATAAAAACTTAACTTTGTGATATCACTGTCAATAAAGTTATACGAATGTCATAACTTTCTTATGATAGTGCATATTGTCCTCACTTTTTCATCAGAAAGTCCAAACCTCTCTCTCTAAGCTTCATTGCATTTTAATCTAATGCAGCAGAAGTTTTATTGCTTCCAAATGCTTTATCCAAGCAATTTTAGTGGTTGTGATGCTCCACACATCCATTAACAATTGCTATGATCAGTATTATTTATTTGTTCATTTACTGAGCCTGTTCACCTGAGCTGGGTAGTCAAACAACCATTGCTCTCTGGATTTGTCCTCATAAGCCGCCACTGCCTCGGTCATTTCATGGCGAACAGTTGAGCGCATGGTATCCAGCACCCGGTTCAACCAGATTTCCACCTAAAATGAGACAGAAGAACAAACCAGGCCACAAATTCAAACATTAACACATTTGTTAAATGAGTAAAATGAGACTGTCTTGTCACTGGCCCCTAATGAGGTCCTTTATAAGCGTTCAAGTGGACATAGGATCAGGCAGCTACTGTAGCATGTAATGGAAAATTAATGATGTTATGTGTTTTGATATGCAAAACCTCGGGGGCAAAGACAGAATCAGTTTCTTTTGTCTGCTTTATTACATGCGGTGATATCAGTCTCTGATATCTGTATATTTCCTCTGTTCTCTTCAGAGGAAATGGCAGGTAAGTGAATTTTCCCATCTATTGCATTTATCCTCGACAGCTCTGGTGTCACAATCAGGGTAACAAATACAGACAGTAAATGTCTCCTGCATTTAGATAAATACACAAGTTATGGCACCATGATTTCAGTGACATGAATAAAAGATAGCTGAACTATTTTACCTGTCCGGCGCAGTCGCAGGGCTGATTAAAAGGGACATACTCGTCTTCTTTGCTGTACATGCCCACGGCAGCCGTGGAAGGATTTCCCTCTTTATCTGCTTCAAACTGCATCTTAGCCATGTTGTCAAACAGCTTAGATAGATGCTTCTGGACCTGAGCAAACACACCGACACAATAAGCTCTGGCTTGATTTACACTCAACTCGCACTCTGTTTATTTTCGTTGCAGCCTCATGTATAAATGCATCGGTTCAGCGAACGTAAGGGAAGGGCACTGCCCGTATTCTGCTCCATGCCTGCTTAGTTTCTCTCAGAGAAACCTACGGCCACATTCTTAGCCACTTTTTTTGTTCCTGTGAGTTGAGAATATATAACATAATGTCCAGATGTGGATGGTGGAAGAAATCTGGACACCTGTGAGCAACATTGCCCCTGTGTGGACACTGAATGTATTTACAAGTTCTAAAAAGCGTCATGCATGTTTTTAAAATGAAATTCCAAGAAAACATGAAAGTCTTTTAATACAAGCAACCTGGTGAGGGTTTGTCCCATTAGACAGGATGTCCAACAAATCAGCAGAAGAAATGAAGTAGAATCTTGGAAAAGCAAGTCGTTTGGTGTCCAGATACTCTGCCAGAGCTTTTTCACACAGAGAGAGTCTGAAGAAAAAAAATTTAAATTTAATTAAAAATCACCAGGTTCTCAGTCAATGTTTGTGAGTAAGGAATTTACAAGCTGACCATGTATACACACTTTCAAAGATTCCTTTGTCTCTCTCACCTGCTCTGAATGTCCTCCAGTTTACCAAACAGACCAGGCTTATTGGTGGCCTCCACCACATTAGGCGTCTGAAGCACCGAGTTTGCCAGCTCTTTGAAATCAGCATCAATCCCCTCGAAGCGCCTGGAGTCCTGCGACAGATTTCACCAGAGAACAAGGCAGGTTTTCAGCCCAGAAAAAAGACAATGGAACCTCAAGAAGCAAACATCTGGGTTGGAACAATCTCTGCACAGGTGGCAAGTGTAGAGATTTCAGCTCCTAAACTACGAAGAAAGGCGAACTAATGACGGCTCTCTTGGATCATAGTGTGATGGCAAAAGCTGCAAGCTAACGCACACAAGAGCTTAAAAAAGATGTAAAGAACCTTGCTTAAGTGTCCATATCCCAAGAACGTTTCACAGATTGTCATATTACAACCATAAAATTAAATGTGTTTAATATTTTCAAAGGTTTTAAAACAGAATAAGAACAAACACTTTTGCCAGTTCTTTGCAAAATGGCTCAAACTCGGTCAGATTAGATAGAGCGTCTGAACTGCATCCTTCAGGACTTTTATCTTTCTCGTCAAATTCTAACACGCAAATATGTTTCATTTAGGCTATTTAACCAACTTCTATGTGAGCTTGCTGTCTTGCTAATAGATGAGCTTCTATCCCAGAGACTCCAGTTGTATAGTCTCCAACAGGTTTCCTCTGTATTTACCATCAGCTTTCTATCAACTGAATGTCATGATCCTGTGTCCAGAGGGACGAGCATGGAAAATCCTGTATGGAGGATAAGAGCAAAACTGTTTAGTTTTGCTCTTATCTGACCAAAGCAGCGTCCTCCACATTACAGCTGCGTCCTTTTATAAATGGCTTCCTTCTCTCCACATTCAAATGACACCAATGTGTTCCAACACACTTCAGAGGCTTTCACGTAACACCTAGACTTATACTAAGATCGACTTTGCTCACTAATGAGATTGGTTCATGCTTATGGTTGCATTGCATTGCATTTCGGGATATTAATGAAAACTGTGCCGAATAGAAATGCATATCACTCTTTTTAGATTCTTATTCATAAAAAAGTTGAAAACCTCAGTATTACTTATGTTGATTTGATAACTATACACTATTTTGCACTGGTTCATCACATTAAATCTTAATCAAGTACATTTTGCAGGGCACTACACAGAAATGTGTCAAAATAAAGTGTTTCTTTCCTTGCCACTTAAAATCCACAAACATAGAACTAAATAATGCATTCTCACATTTAAATTATTCACTTTGATTACGTTTGCAAATTGTGAATAATTTTGCGAAGCCCTGCAGCCAACACATGCAGAGGCGCAAGAAACTCTCCACGTGTGTAGACATGTTCAGCGTCTCACCTCGGGCAGCTGAGAACGAATGTCCTCGGAGCCCATGAAGATGCTCTCCAGGTGGGTCCAGGTCCGCTGCACCTCAAACCAGATGGAGATTACAGAGTCTGCCACAGAAAGCTTGTTCTGCCATGTGGACACTTCATCCAGGAAGTGGGCTATGTACTTTGAAGACATGAGGTTCTGGAGTTGAACCTGGTTATCTTCCAAGGTTTCGATTAGCTCCTCGTCTGTGCGGAGCAGAAGCACCTGGGTCCTGTGGTGGGGCTCGTACTGGAAGCGCATACCTGGACAATGCGGAAACATGAGATGAGATCCCGAAAGGCCCGATATGGAGCAGCATGCCTAAACTGAAGTAGCTGCTAATTCTACCTGTCCATGTGGTGTCGAGCTCAGACAGGACTTTCTCCATCCCCATTTCTTTAACAGCCTTGTCCACAATCTCTCTGACTTTCTCCTCACAGCAGTGCAGGTTGAGCTGCAGCAGGTCAGCCAATGATGTTTCCTGCACACACAGTCATGTTGGTGTGCCCCCAATATTTACAACAATTTCTAAAAATACTAATGTCTTTTTTTTATGCATTTGTTGCATTCAACCAATACGTTATGTGGTTTATTACATAAAATCTCAATAAATTCATTGAAATTTGCAGTTGAAAGATGACAAAAAGTCAAAAAGATGTGAATACTTCAGTGTGGTATAATAACAGGCAACACAGAATGTTTAGATAAAACAAAAACAAAAATGCTAATTTATCACTCCTTAGCATCTGTTATTTTGGTTAATTTTCACATGTTTTTCCATCATTTGCTTCTGTAGCAGATCTTTATTTTTGCTGTTTTCTGGTATATGGGGAAATAAAGAAACTCTTGTGTAGTCAGTGTCCCTAGACAAAAAAAAAAAATCTGAGTAATTTCAGCCTTCTGGGAAGTGAATCTGGTCATATTAACATAAAGGCAGATAATAGCAAGTTGTGGTGGAGGAGGCTGACAACCAGCTGATACCAAAGAACTGGAGCAGCTTGAGGTTCAAAGACTGCCAGGCCACACAGAGAAACCATTAATATCCAAAGATGATTAGCTTGAAGTGTTCAGAGTTCTATCTGAACAGAGTGATAACACGACTCTGCAGCTTGCTCTCATTATGCCAGACAACTGCTGACTTAACTTTGGAAAAATGCTGGCTTAAGCACAACAGCAGCAAGCTACAGACTTCTTTTATTGATTTACACTAAGCAGAGTTGTGTTCATCTCTATAAAAACAGCATCAAGTTTAAATGTGTAGAATATATGCTTCTTCTTTGCTGGTTTTCTCACTGTAAATGGAGGTATGTTTTATTATCACTGTCTGACATTTTAAATGTTAGGAACGCTAACATTACTTTTATTAGTTAAATATCAGAGAGTGCGATATTTATCTGTTCAGATAGTGATATGCAAGTACAAGCACAGTGGAGATGCCTCGGTATTATACTGATCAGGAAGAAAATAGGTTCTGTGTTGGTGCAAAATATGACTAAGAACCTAAGAAAAAGAGGCAAAAAAATTGTTAAGATGCTGTATTAAGATGGTGAGATTGAATATGCACAGTAAAATAAGTCCTGTACAAAGATCAGCTAAAAGTCCACTCAGTAAGAATGAAGCCACCCTCTTAATTCAACATGAAAAGCCAGATTACAGCTACAAATGCACTCAAGTACACTTGTTGGAGATATATTAAGGGGTTGGACGAAACTAACATTTAATGATTTGGCAAGAGTGACATTTAATGGGAAAAAAAGAAACGTGGAAATAGTGAAGCAACATCGCCAGACATCAGTCTGCAACTAATTTATCTATACAAGACCCATTTGTACCCAATTTTAAACAATCTTAAATGACCTAAAACAGGAAACATTTTAGTTTGACTTGATGTTAGAAAGTGACAAATAAAACATAGTTCCATAGCTCGTTTTGTGCTTTCAATGTAAAAAATCTTACTTGAACTACATAGATCATGAAATACAACAGGTTGGAAACTTCAAATCAAAACCGTAAGTAGCTGTTTAAATGCTTAAAGAATCCCAGACCTGGTCAATTGTGAAGTGAACACCAGTAGCAGCCATCAGCTGATGCCAGTGTCTGGGTCGTATCGCAGGGCTTTGGAGTTCTGCTACTGCCCTTAGAGAGGTGAGGATGTTCTTCACCCTATTGTCCAGACATGTGAACGCCTCCCATGCTCTTACCTACAAAACACAGACAGTGATCTTTACAGAAGCCCGTGACATATTCAAGGGAAATTTAAGCAGCATATTTAAAGCCAACTTCTTGTGATGCTAAAACGCTCTACTTGTGAAACTGAGCTTCTCACCTCCTTATCCAGCCCTCGTATGTCTTTAGAGAAGCGCTTGCATTCGTGTTCCATGTCCTCCACATTGATCTCTCTCCAGGGAGTCGTCCTCCAAGCTGCCATGCTGGATTCTACTAATGTAATCATATCCCACAGCTCTTTCAACAGGCCCACCTCACGCCTGTGGGAAGATGCAAATAAGATGAACAAATCCAAGAAGCAAATGCAATCTGTGTAATGAGGGTTTGTAAGTTAAAAACTTGGCTTGTGGTGGAGGTACTCTCTTCATTCCACGTCCTTCCTTCACCTGCATTGTCGAAGCTGTTTGTACTCCGAGACAGTGACCTCAAACAGACTCGCCGACTCCATCAGGGAGGCCATCGTCTTCTCATGTTCCCGGATCATCCGGTGAAACTTACTCATCATCCGGTACGGCTTCTGGCTGTCAAACCTGAGGACCGCATCGGCACACACACGTACCAATCAAAACCCACACTATCACAGGCTCAGCATCAAGCAGGCAGTGTTTGGGTAATGACAGACTGTTGCGCTGCCAAATGTGATTTGGCTGTAAGTGTAACCATTCTGGAGTCTACAGCACTAATGCCATACTGCAAAAATTACTAGTGACTTCCATGACATTAATGGGGAAACAGTCACCAGGTTATTAAGAGGCCAGTTACACACATAACTAATCTGACAATTAAAAGATATGACAAAAAATATTTTCGCATGAACGAATTAGCATCATGTTAAGATTCAATTAGCGTTGTCAGATAAGCAAACTTTGAGATAACATTGTTGTGGTGTCAAGTGGGTAGGAGAGCTCAGGTGACATTTTAGTCTTTCCAATGTGCTCATCTAAACTGTGTAGCTTCGAAGGAAAAGTGAAACAATTAATACCGTTACAAGTAAGGCTATCACAATAACAAATCTTGCCAGGCTACAAATTGTCCCACAACGTATTGTGATAACATTGTTGTTTTGAGACAATTTTCAAGTAACATTATAGTAATAATGGAAGACCAATGCAAGAACACATTCTCAAAGATCAATAAACGTTAGCATTTAAACACTGGAACTGGAAGACATTTTAAATATTCAAAATAAACAAAACAACAGAAACAACAAGTAAAATGAATTACTTGCTTCCAAAATTTTGTCTTTTGGAAAGAGAAAATTGTCTTTCCAAAGCAGACGACTGAAGACCGGTATTGGTAGAAAGAGAGTGAAAAAAAAAAAAAAATAAATCAAGCAAATGAAAATTACTGGGTTTGTTTGAGTTTATTATGCAATAAATTGATTTATTTAAATCTTTAATTTGTTGTTTTCTAGCATAGATCGTCACCCTCAAATTTCAACTGTATTGTGCTGTAAAGTTAATGGCATTTATATATAATGGTTTCAACTGGTGGTGACTGCAATCTTTTCAAAGAACTTATATTTAAGGGTCTGTGTATCATAAGTTTTTGTACTAGAATACAAATGTGTGCATAAAATTCCTATTTTAATGCAGACATCTGTATGCTTTTTACCTAAAATTAAACACAATGAACTTAATTTAAAGTGTTTTTTCTCAATTTCTGGATATCAGAGTTATTCTACCTGAAAGGCCCATTGCTGCGGAAGTGCTCCCTGAAGGCATGTTGCTCAACATCAAATGAAGCGCATTTTCTACGTAGGCTGACCACCTCTATGGCCTGCAGCGGCGCCACCTGCTGTTTAACCAAGACTGCCTGTTTTTTTAGATTGAGCCACTTTTCTGGCAACTCCTGTAGAAAAAGAAGACAATCAAAACTTTGCAAACAACAACAACACCGTAAGCAAAGAAAGCTGTGGTGATATTTCATGACTTGCTGGGAGGAAGAGATCAGAGATTAGCATTCAGAAAACGCAACAGAACCATTAGAGAAAAAATTTCACCTCACCTGGAAAAAAAAAAAATCAAAGCAAAGAGTCTCTGATAGAAAACCAAACGAAGAGAATGAATATCAGAATATGAGTTTTTACCGTTAGGTGTTTGTACACCACTTCTGGGAGATCCTGCTCATACATTTTCAGCAGAGCAATGGTTTGTTGCAGAGGCTCAAACATGGTGTCTGTTGAGGTTTGTCTCTCTTTAACCGCCAGCAAGTGACCCATGACCTCAACCAGACCTCTGTAGTCACCCTCCTCCACCTGCTGGCTCAGGCCAGCATCAGTTATACAGATGAACCTCTCTAGATCAAACAGACTGAAGCAGACATACACATTGTTTTGGTAAAAACAAAATACTTAAAGCTGTAGTTTATCACCAGGGCATCTGCAGATTTCAACAAGTCAAATGTAAGACTTTTAAAGACCTTTTTATTGACCTTGAATTAAATTTAAGACAGAAAAACAATAATTTAGGCGAATGGTGCTGCACTACAGACAAGCATAGCAAAAACTTGAATTTTTGGAGCGTCTTTATGGCTCTTGGCAGCAGCTTTGTGCTTCTTACACTGCATATGATGCTCGTCTAAAGTCTTAGACTTTAGACAGTGCTCAACATTTTACACAGAATGAATGTAACATCTTATTGGTTAAATGGTCCTATCAAGCCAGAACCTAAGACCTGATGATTTACATATTTATGGCCAACTTAATTTTCAAAATTAATTGGAACATTTTAAGGCTGCGCGGACACCCTAGTTAGCTTAACTTTAGCTTATAGTTGGAGATGAGTTAACCCTTTTTCACCAGGCCTGGCCAGGTCAAAATTATTATTTTTTTCTGACCGCTGGAGTCAACCTTACAGAACCAAACTGTGGATACAGGGGAACTTTTCCAGTTTTCCAACAATCCAGAGACAAATTGCTGGCAATCTGTGACTTTTCCAGCATGATGGAGCACCGTGTCACAGGCCAAATATGTTAAAGTGACTCAAAGATTGAACACAGATTTTGAAGTGAGTCTGTGGCTAGTTTCTTTCTCATGTGAAATAGAAAAGAAACGCATTTCATACCTGTTGGTTACATGATCGATGAGGTGCTGCTTGAACATGAAGCTCCACTTTTTGATGACATTGAGCAGAGCACTCTTCATCCTCCTGCCATCCACCCTCATCCATCCATGGAAGACATGCACCACCTCCAGGTGCTGGACCTCCTCATAAAGCTTCTCATAACTGCAGTATAGAGTCAAATAGATTGCATTTAATTCGTAGTTAAATGCCAGAACCTGCAAATGCATATTGTTAAGACAGAAGAAATAATATTACTTGAGTACAGTAGTATTATTTTCTACCTGTCTATCTGTTCTCTGAAGCTGTCCAGATTCGGTGTGCTTTCATAAATCCCACCATCACTGAAAACCTCTACATCAGGGCTTGCGGGATTTTGGCCATACTCGAGGAACTGACGCATGAACTCCTTCCTGTCGTCCACGTACAAGTAGCTGTAACGCTCCAGAGAGTTGCGGAAGTTGCAGCACACCGTCATGGCGGCCTTCACACGCTCCATCAGGAGGTGTCGCGCGTCTGCCAGGTCAGTCATGCTTTCCATGTCAGCCTGACAGAAAAAGAGGGATAGAAACCCAAGGGATGCACGTGTGTTTTTGTTAAGGCTGCATCAAACCTGCTTTACCTGGTAGTGGGCAGAGGGGCTGTGCTGGGCGAGCCGCGGCACCAACGAGGACATTTTGAACACATCGTTGATGAGGCTTTCCACTATCTCGAACAAACTATCTGGAGCCCCCAGCTCCAGAGAGGGAGAGAAGACCATGTTAGGGGCCTGCAAGTCCAGACGGGCCTCGAGCAGAGGGGCCATGACAGTTCTTTGATCTGTGGAGAGAGAAAAACATGAAGCATATAAGCGCTTTGAATAGTAGTACTTAATTCACCAATGGTTTAAAATTCAAGCTACTGTTATTACAGATGTTTATTGGTTAGATCATTCACAGATGCAAACAGTGTTGACTCCTATTTAAATGTATAAAAACAAAAACCTTTAAAAAAAAAAAAACAATTATCTTGCAATGGAACAACCTCACGTCAAGAGCTTGGTTTTATTATATCCTTCTTCCTTAAAGTGGTTTTTTATATGATCTATGTTTTGGAAGTGAGACTGCATCTAAAGGTTTTGTGTCTGATAAGCCATTTGTATCTTAATCTATTTATACATTTTGAATATTAATCTGGTAAAAGACCCATTAAACATCCATAATCAGCTTAACAGAAGAGTGCATCAGATTTGAGCTATTTCAGTCAAAATTTAAAAATGCCTGCCATTCACTACTAACATGAAAATGCCTCCACTCTTGATGGTTGATAATCGGGTGGCCACAGTGAAAACCGGGCTTATGACAGAACAATCAAAGTAAATTTACGATTTACTTGACATCTCAGAGTCAAATTTGATTTTTTATTTATTTATTTATTTATTTTTTACAGCTAATGTTTGGCCGGTTTGAAGAACCAGTGAAATGGAACGAAACCCTCAAACTGCCAACTGGAGATACAATACATATGTTTTTTTGTTTTTTTTTACTTTTAAGTTTAGTTTCTGAGGTGTAAATTACATACAACTTTTCAGGCCTCTACAATGTTATGTAGTGTTACAACAGACAACTAAGTGCTGTCCTATTTGCAAAAGTGTATCCCATAAAACAGAAGGAATGTCACTTGTGCTGCCAGTGATTTTGTGAAAAACAATTTCTCAAGATGTGTTTTTGCCCCCCACTGAATAAATGTACTAAGCCTTAATATTTTTTTTTTTCAGAATGAGATTACGTGCAATAGCAGAAGCATTCATTTTAAGGCTCTCCGCACATCTTTAGCAGCGCTGCCAACAAATTTGTCTGTGTCCGTACTTCAGAGACTTCTTGATTTTTAAGACGTTGAAGGCAAAGAGAGCACACAAGGGAGAGCTGGTTGGACAAGGCAGCTATTTGTAAATACTCCTGCTCATCTTGAACCGCATCTACACTGGCTGACAAGACCCATGCCAACAAGCATGTTCGCTAGTTTCCCGTGTCCATAATCCAGCCAATAAAGGCGGACACCCGACTGACATCAAAGCCCTTGAGGACATGCTGCAAAAGAGCTGTCCAAGTGAGCGCTGGCTGAGAGACGCTGCAGAATCAGAGTAATGAGCAGCTCTGAATTTTCTCCTATTAATATTAGAATTGGCTGCAGCGTTCTGCTGGCACCAAGACGAGAGTCGTAACAGTCTCTACACCACTGTGGCGTTTTTAAAAACAAATACAGACTTTTTAGATCTACATTTGAAGCAAGATGTTTTACATATACCTCACAAAAAAGAAACACAGGTTGTTATTAATTGCTATCTGACATCATATCAGACTAAAGTTTACCTTGTTTTGGGTTAGTTAGCATTACCGTTTTTTGCTTTCACTTTGCTAAATGCAAATGGTCTCAGTTGTTGAGTCCTTGAGCAAGATACTTCACCCGACTTGCCTGCTGGTGGTGGCCACAAGGCACCCTCTGACTGCATGTGTATGAATACTGACTGTAGTGTAACAAGGACAAATTTGGAGTGCTTGAACATGATGACATGCTATATAGCTGTGGGCTATTTACCATTTGCTACCTTCAAAGTCAAAAGTTTAAGAGAGTCAGTGAAATGTGTCCAGGACTGATAAGTTGCCTGTAAAGCCACTTCATAAGCTTAGTACCCGTTTACAGTTTTCACAAGTCATTTGGCATTTGGTCTTGATGATCATTGTTACTTTAGGTGAAAGAAAAAAAGTTTCCAAAACACCATTTCAACTAATAAATACACTGGTGGTATTATCATTTTGTGTTGGTGTTTTGTTGCAGGAGGGACTGAGCACTTCACAAAATAGATGGCATTATGAGGAAGAAAAATATTTTGGAAACATTAAAGGCATTATCGCAAGACTTCAGCCAGGAATTTAAAGTTTGGGCACAGAACAGGATTTTATTTTAAATTGGAAAAATAAAAATCTGCAGAACAATTTTTAATCGGCTTCTGAAAAGAGTCAGGGATGTGTGAACCAAGTTATTCAGCATACAGAGCAATTCTGTCAAACACCTTGAACTTTGAACAAAGTGGGGGAAATAAATTGACATAATTATTAGCATTTAGCAAATATGATTAATTTTAGTAATCCTAACTAATCTAAACAAAACAAAAAAAAGACAAGTTTTGTCTGACGTATTTATTGTCAGGCAGTGAGAAAAACAGGGCATGTGCCTCTAATAGTGTATGGACTTATCTGGCTGGAACTGCAGCTCTATCGTATTGCTTGCGGTTCATTGCCCCTACCAGTGTTGTCCAGGAAGAACTTGAGAGAGCACTCAATACAGCTGAAGAATCCATCTATAATCATGTCATCAATGTATTCCACATAGGCCTTCCACTCCTCCGAGGACGACTCGGCTCTGAACAGTGCCTGATTGCTCTAAGACATAAAAAGCAGGACAATCTCAGTAAATCATTTAGAAATTACATTAAAATGTAGTTCAAAGGGAATTCCAAATCCCTGCTTGAAAACGTCTTTTAAAATGATGAAACGTTAGTGAAACCTAAAGAGAATTGGAGATGTCTCAATCATCAGAAAAGTACCTCTAGCAGGAAGTGGATTTTCCTCCCAGAGGACTGCACGGCATTGTGAAACCGCTCCACCCTTTCAGCGCGCTCCTCCAGGCAAAGCGGCGCATCCTTTCTGCAGTCTCTCCTGTCAAACATGGGGACGGCCCACGACTTCATGTACCTCTGGATCTCCTCCACATTCTCCTTGGTCTTTTGAAGTCTGCTCTCCAAGTCCCAGACAGCGTCTCGGATGTCTTGGATGTACTGCCAAACACCTGAAAGACGTGTGGGCATTTTGGAAATTTAAGGCGTCCAAAATAAGTTTTGCAAATTTTACACGTCACTTAATTATTGTATGGGATTCGCACAAAAAACAAAAAAAACATTAAATATCCTGGAACTCTCCCACATTTTGTGACAACTATTTTTGTTGGGATTGCATATGACACACCAAGACAGTAGCATTAAACTGTAATGTGTGCATTAAAAAAAAAAAGTTGTAATATCTAATAGAAATGAGAATTTTACACAGACATGAACAGTGGGCCGTGTATTTACATTCACTATCCATTTGAAGTGGTGAAGATTGTCATTTGAATCTACCCACTATGTGGTGCTGTTTCAAAGTTACCCAGACAGAAACTGACAGGAATAATTTGTCTAATATGCAATATGAGAGAAAAAGGGGTTCATTTTTATAAAAGTAATAATTGTACAACATCTTTCATTGTTTAAGAAATGTCACAATTCCAAACTAAGTACTTACTTAGCAAGCTAGCTGTTCAGCTCAAAATTAGATATTTACTTAGCACGCTAGGATATAGCTATAAACTAAATACTTAGTAAGGAAGCTAACTATTTACCTCCAAATGAAACATTTAGCTTCAAACTAAATATATAAGTTACAAACTAAACGTCTCATTGTAAATTCAAGGTGTAGGTGGGAAGTAGAACATTTAGGTTTATGCTAATTAGCTTAGCTATAAGCGGAAATGGACTACCAAAACAAAAGCTCAGTCCCGCGAGCCTCTCTCTGGTCTCAACCTGTAGGTCCAGTAGTCCTGCAACTTTTCCCGCCACACATTTGATAATAACAGCGAAACGACCTCACGACCAAAATCTGCGGACCTCTGCTAATGAGCTGAAATTGGAGACAGGTGTGAAATTGGAGACAGGTGTGCTCGAGCAGACAGAAGTCTTAAAGGTGCAGGACTCGAACCTTTGTGGACTGAACTTTAAGGTCACTGCAAAAGTCCTGCTGCTGGCAAGACCGAATCTCTGCTGGGGTTTAGGAAGGATTAGAAAGACCACGCTTTTATTTTGATAGCTCACCTCGCCTTGAATATTTAGCTCTGACCTAAATATTTTGTTTGCAACTTAATATGTTCTCTGTTGTTTGTTTGTTTTGAGTCAAATATTTAGTTTACAACCTAAATATTCCGCTTGCTAATTACCTTTTTTTCTTTTTTTTTTTTTTTAGCTTGGCACTGACATTTTTAAATATATGAATGGGCATCAAGACATCCAAAGCTTGGAAAGCATCCATTCCTGGAAAATGTACAAATCTACCAAAATATGGTTATTTATCTGTACCAACACGGCAGCCAAGGAGAGCCTTGCCTTACCAGTCTGGCAGTCTATGTACACTACATATTGGGTTTTCCAACATTTCCACTCTTTGCCTTTGGAAATCATGAGATATATGCAGCCTGCTCAGCATGCAGCAGATATGTGTGTAGCTGCTGTGTGTTCCTGCAGAGAAACAGTAAGACGGTCCCCACAGACAGCTGAGTGCACTGGCTTGTACCATAAACACTCCCCTTATTTCTGCCCTGTTCCGCCAGAAGTCCCAGAGTCGGAAAAACCAACAACACGTCCTGCTGCTGTGCGTCAATCAGCCCTTATCAATGATTAAACGGCACCTTTATTCTTATTTTATAAGCGAAGCCTTTCAGTTCGTGTTAGATTCTCGAGCAAGCCGCTGTGCCCTCGAGGATGGAGGCAAACGGGAGAGAAGAGCGGGGCAAGACTCTTGGTGTCCTTACGTCCATTTTTTGGGCTGCATTCTCAAATTCGAATGTACGACAGTAAGTGCACAGAACATTTTAACGAAGAACGTGAGAGCAGAAAGTCCAACACCATTCCTGAAAAAGTCAACGGCAGAGGTAAAAAAAAAATATATCCCATTTTCCTGCTTCATCGCTAGGACAGGAAGATACAAGCTGGAGTTGGGATTTCCTCAACTGTGTGGCAACTGACATTGGAGCCACTAGAGTTAATGACTCTTTGTTCTGTCACGGTGGCCAACATAGCAACTCTATTGAATGAGCAACACACACGACATCAGAAAAAAAAAAAAAACATAGTAGAAACCGTTACCCAACAGGTTATTGGCATTATTTCTCTGGATTACATGCAGAAAAGAGGTTGTAAAGCATAAACCCATGGATATCAGAGGGTTGATTACAACAAAAATGCAACCTTAAGATTTGTTTAAACAAAATAATCCTCTCTAACTGACTGTATGAACTTGTTCTGGATTAATTGTACGTGCAAAAACAGTTGCATCACTTGTACTCCCATGAGGAAGACATACCAGAAACAAACACTGAGACTTTTCAAGCTTGACTTTCCATACTTTGCTCAAAGCCTCCTGGTGAAAGTCTATTCAGGGAGGTTTGATTGGACAATAATCCCTGGAGCTGGGAGGAGCAGTCCTGCGTTTAGCTTTGCGTAACTCAGAGGCCCGTTGTTTTCCAGATGATGAGGCTCAGCTGGTGTCTACCGCTATGACTTTCCACTTGAAAAGGAGCAGTTTGTAGCCAAGCGTAAAGTGGTTCAGAGAGCCTTCAAGTCTTAAGTCAAAACAGCAGAAAGCCTCAGTGACGAACGTTTGCGCTTTCAGCTTGACAGTTTGTGTGTTTGAGCACTGAAGAGGCCGTCGCCACTTTTCAAATCTTTTGTGTGACAACATTTAGAGTACACGGTTTGGGGGAAGGAAGAAAAAAATAAAAAAGAAGAAACCGTGACAAGACAAGACAGAGATGAAAGCACCGCCGTGAGTAGAGCGTGATCGGATAACCTTTGGATGCCAAATACACCGAAGTTAGCTTCTGCTGGAGGCCTTCCTGTCAAAAAAAGCAATACAGAACAAAAAAAAACACAATCCCAAAACCTTAGACGGCTAGACTGATCCGACCTCTGCAAGACAATTCCACACCGAACGGAGTCTTTTGAAACACAAAGATTATTTGAGGATTTACAAAACCTCGCCTACAATTTGTGGAAACAGAAAAAGAGCGTTGTCAAAAGTTTTTGGCAGGAGAACCGCTTGAAACCTAAACGAGCACGAAAACAGCAATGTGTGGACTTGTGGAATCTTGACTGTTATCGCTGAGTCCATTAAGCAGTTTCTGATTTAAGAAACTGTTTGTAAGAATAACAACAACAATTGTTTCGATTCTTAAGTTTCCCTAAAATTAGTTTCACGTCTTCCTGGTGAAATCAGCGTGGTCTAACATTTCGATCACGCTGATATGTGCAGCCATACAGGCGAGCCGCCTGTATGGCTGCACACCAACGCGTGGCGTCAAAAGCAACAAGCCGTTGTGTAAATAAATTGCAAATTATGTTAGCTCCACCATCAATAATCGACTGACTCCTCCATGAAACAACAATTCTCTCTGAGCTTTGTGTTTTTAGTCGTTGTTTTGCCTATTAATTATTTATCTGGCCAAGTCTGTAAATTATTCAGCATGACACTCATTTTGAAGACATTTCGTTTTGCAATTGTAATGAAACTTTTAAATGAATAAATAAAGGAGTCTGCATGTTTGTGTCGCATTTCTCATTTGTGTTAAGGGGAGTAGGCAGAACAGGAAAATGAAAAAAAAGAAGAAGAAGACGACATCGGCACGACTGAATGCCATCGCACCGAGCGCGACGGTGAAAGAAAGAGGCGTCGCCGCTGTACGTGTTACTTTGTCGGCTGACCTCTGCTGTTCCAGGTCAGGCTCTCCTCTGCCTCCCCCAGCCGAGCATCGATGTCTCTGAGCTGACCCTGGATCAGAGGACGCTCCACGTCCAGCACAGACAGCATCACCTGCGTTCAAGCCACAGGGAAGAAAAATAAATAAATACATGTAAATCCGCCATGAAATATTAATATCCATGCCAAAATGCTACTCAGAATGCCTAATGGGGTGTTTGCTTTTCCAAACTCACAATTTCAGCATCGTTTGCCTGTTTCTCTGGCGTTTACAAGTCGATTGGACCAGAGTAGCTGGAAACTGTGCGTTGCTGTACGTTTGCATTGTAAACGGGCTTAATTGGGGAAATGTATGATGAATGCAGCTGAGGATAATAGCAGCCGTTTGCTGTGTTGCTGCGTTAATTACATAAGTGATTTCTTGCATATTCTTCTATTATTCATTATTGACACTGCAATGCCCCTCTGCTTAGTTCCCATTAAGGCCGACAATGGGAAAAATGTCTTGGGTAAAGACAGGCGTATAATACGTGCAAATTAATTTTTCAAATGGACGAACAGAAACAAAAACAAACTAAAATAAAGCCCCATATGCTAATCTCTGTAAAATTCAGGAATTAAATGTACATAAGTCACCATGGCTCTCGGGAGATAATTTATCACAGAGTAGCTGCTTTACATCGTGATTTATGTTTCACATGAATGTACATCCATCTTTCACTGAGAACATCTCAGAAAGGTGGATCCGGTCAAGTTTTTTTTTTTTTTATGTAATGAACGATGGGGCTAATCTGATCCAGGATCAGTCCGACAGTGGCGTCGCTCATTTGAATGACTCTTCCGTCTTTTCCAATTATTATAATTTATGTGAAGCTTAGTATAATCTCAACCTATTATACAGGCATTGGAAACCATGCTACTGTCTAAAGGCATTAATGCCATGCATTGGTGCGAATGCACGGCGCTGCAAATATGACGCTTTATTCGAGCCGTGAGTCATGATCACTATGCCTATCCAGTTTATTATTTCTGGATTCACTAATTCATAGACTTTTCTGTGGAACGTAACTCCAAAGCATCCTCAGATTCACAGATCTGAGAGTATAAATAAGACATCTGAAAGAAAATGCAGCTGTATCTTCGATTATTATAATAGTAATAGTGGCATTCTGGAACTGGAAGACATCTGAAATATCCGAAAGACAACAGAAACGACAAGCAAAATGAAAAAAGCACCTTTCATAAAAGGGACCAGACTGAAGACTTTTGTCATTCAGATTGTGGTGAAAAGCAAGCTAGACGAGAAAAACGATAAATGAAGCAAATGAGAGTTATCCCTTTAAATTTATCATGCGACAAACAGATTTATTGTTCATTGCGCCAGGCGTACTGTTAAGGTGTATTTGGTGCTACAGCATAAGCGTTTCCTGAGGGGGCCTTTGAGGAATTGTGGACAACTGCAAGTTGCAACACTTGGTTCACATCCGGAGCGACACGGAGCTCCAATGAAACAACGGGAACTGGATCACAGAAAGTGTGTTTAATCCGTCTACCACACATTCTTTGGAAGTGTTTGGCATTCTGTGGTAGACTCAGGCATAAAATAGGATTATTTGTGACTTAGAAACATGGGGGATTGGTGTTAAAGCTGCAAATGCTAATTGTGCTAACAATTAGCACACAAAAACCATTACAAGTGTCGACCGCGTTCAACGTTTTCACCTTGGCTTCACTACTGCGCTCCTCTTTAATAATTAATGGCTGGTTTAACTACTCTGTCACCATGTTTTTTGATGGAGCTGGTGGCTTTTCAGACGTTTTATCAGCGTTTTGACACCTGCAAGCCACAGAGTTGACAGCAGCAGCATCTTCAGATGATAACTCTGCTCTGAAGTCGATGATGAAACCCTTTCCCCTCCAACGCTTTACTTCTCTGTATCTCAGCTTCAGCAGCCACTACATAAGGGGTTCTTCAAACATTTAAGTTGGGGTTTTGTTTTGTGTTTTTTTTTGTTGTTGTTGTTTGTTTCTGTCACAGGCCTTCTCTTGACCATGTCAGCGCAGCTTCCTCACAAACTCAAGAATCTGAGAGTCGGTCACTCTGATCCTTCCTGACCTTGTTGTATCGGACTGCGGCGCGCTCCAGGTTGGCCACGTACTGCCACAGCTGCTCCCTGGCCGCGTAGAGCTGAGCGGCAGCCTCCGGTATGGCCGCAGTTGGTCGACGCATCAAGTACTTCACTTCTCTGAGCACGGCCGCCAGCTAGGAAGAAGCAAAAAGAGTCCAAAACAGTCGGGATTGGTGCCCAGCAACAAACACTTCGGCCCAGTACTTGGCAGAAGCGGTGTAACTGAGTAGGATCTCTAGGCTGCTTCTTCACACACGTCTTTTCTGCTCGCCAATTATCTGACTGAGATCAGGTCTTTTTGACAGTCATCCTAAAACATTGCTTTCCCTTATGCCACTTTGTAGCTAATTTGGTGGTGTGATTAAATTCTCTGTCCGCTCGGAGGGCCCACTCGTGCCCAAGCATCTACGTCCTAGTTGATATCTTGAAATGTAGATTCAACACATGCACAGCAGGAACCTGCCAACCCTATTACCCTGCTGGAATGGTGTTCTCAGGCCTGTTTTTTGTCTCCAAAAGTAATGAGGATCATAATGGACAAATGATGATGTCCCTGATTGGACTTGGACTCTGTCAGTTGGTTTGTATTCTCTGTTTGGGGCAGTGGCTTCTTTCCAGCTGAGTGGCTTTTCAGCACGTCAGTGACGGACAAATTTTGAAAGTCAATAATGACTCAGTTTTACTAAACGAATGTATGCAGAGGAGCTCGCATTTCCAGGCTGCTTAAAATTATAATCAAAGCCTTTGTCCAGGTTTGACTGTGATGTTTGGGGTGTTGCCTAACAAAAAAATAATCCACAGGCTATTGAAATTTACAGCTCAGTCAGAAAAAAATAAGGTTATGCAACTCTTTCTACAGTTAATGTAAATGCCTGTTTATTGTATTACCAACAGAATTGCAACATGCACTATCAGGATTTAGGAACAATTATTGCTTCTTTCCCTTAAATAAAAGCAGTGAGATCACACCATACATCTTTATTTTTGCATGTTTGCATCAATTCTGTGAAACCTTTTCTGTTTCTACTCAAGGTTTTTGCCATAAACAAGAACGTCATGAGGTCGACATAAAAAACCTGCGGGCTGAAATTGACAGAGATCAGACGAGTGTCCGAGTCTCGGCTGATTAACGGCGAGCCGAGGTTGTGCTGCGAGCTCTCGCCCACGGCCTCCGTCCAGGTCGCATACAAGCCGGCCGAGTATCTGGAATACCAAACACAGAGGGGACGATCACCATCGGGCATGAGTTCCTCTAAACAACAACAACAACAAAAACAATCTGCAACGTTTGCATCCACAATGCTTCACATACAGAGCTCGGCTTTTATTGCACAGTGGGAGATGAACGCGTGGGCCCCCGTGGAAATTAGCATATGCAACGAAACAAGCAGCTAACGTGCGTGTGATTGAGGCATTTTGTCAACCCTCGGAGGTTGTAAATAGAACCAGAGGCGTGATCCGCCTGTCTACGTCCAGAAAACGATAAAGGGCAGAGGGAGCGGAGTGAAGGAGTGTTAGGTGAGTGTGGTGCGTAATATGGGGGATAAACGCTGATTCATCTGCGAGAGGCGGCACACAGACAAGATGTCAGGGCTCTGTACGTCTATATCAATCTGTAAATAGCCACATTTATGAGGAGAAGTTGGGCGCGCGCCGCGTGCTCCTTATTGAATCTCTGCTGCGAGCTTCATTTCCTGACAGTGGCGCCACAGACACAGAGGCAATCAAATGCCTCGGTCACGGCCATAAATCACGCCGCATTTTGTCTGCGGGGGTAAATGAGAGAGGATGCCAGTCCTGCTCCTAAATGGAATATGTATAATAATAGTGGCAGCCGAGACGATTATTACCGAGGAAGAAGGGCCCTAATTTCTGACGGGAGTAAATTGTGGGCAAAGAACTGGTCGTGTTCATCATCCCATTACTCCGTGTGTTCTGGGGGACACGGAGTGAAGGAGTAATTGTGAGCTTGTGAAGCGCCAAAGAAGCACCTTCGATCTGGGGCTGCAGTAGCACAAGGATTCATATCACACACTACATTTTGAGAATGAGAAAATCATTAATCCCCCGAAAGATTTTAAAAAGTTCGGCTAAAAACTCTGGGTTTTCTTTAAAATGTTAGTTTTGAGCAGGGCCGCCAACCTATTCTTTTTATCTGGTTCGGTTTCTTTATTGTTTATTTTGCATCTGACTTCTTATTGCACGGACTGAACGGATTAAAGTTGTGCCGTTTTCACATGTTTGAACACACTTGTGTTCATTTTTTCTATCCTTCTGTCAAGTTATTTTGTTGCCAGTTTTGAGCTTCGAGTCTTCTGCTCATTCTGTCCTGCCTGGACTTTTGCATCTCTGTCATCTTCATTAAATTCATCACTCATTCCCAACAAGTTGGCTCTGCTGCGTTCGGCCTCAAAACGTGACAATGCCTGTGTTTTAAAGGAGAAGCGTTTTTTAGCCCATTCAGCACTGCTTTCCTGTGTCCGTACTAAACCTCGGATATCGGGTTCAGTAGTGAATAAAGTGGATCGGTGCGTCCCCTTGTTGGAGTATTTATTTATCTTTTGTCATTAGTTTTGAAAACATCTTGGATCTAAAATAATATTTATTATTTAAGGGCATATCGGAGATGAAATTTCCCCGATTTCATCTGGGTAACTTCCACATCATAAAAAATGTTCAATTTTTAGTATTGTGGTTCTGCATCGTTGTACTACAGATATGAAGCGTCTGTCCTTAACAAAAGGTTTTTTATTTTGGATTACAAATGCAATTTAGTGGATTTAACTTCAAGAAAAATTTCAAAGAACATCAATCCTCTGAGTCATTCCTGACCTGTTCTTTTGGCAGACTGTATTTATTTTGTGACTTAAATGTGCATGAATATGAAAGCATCCATAATGCCTCAGATCAATGTGGGTAAAGTTTGTTACTGATGAGAAATGCTTTGAAAAGGGAAAACGATGTTGGTTAAAAACTCTAAATATTTAGTAAGAAATGAGAGGCAAAGAAGTACAACGTCAAAAGACAGCGTCTTCTGATTCTGCAACAAAATGGGCGGAAATTAGTGGTGACATATACAGTACTTCATGCGCAAATAATTTAAAAAGACGATGAAGAAAAACCATCGACTGACCTTTTTTTAAAAAAAAATACTCCCTGTCAGATGAGGGTCTATAGCAGTGACTCCATAACTAATGAGTCGATTCTCCTGTCAATAAAGGTCAAGTCACAGTTTGAACATATAAAATCCTAAAAACAGATAACCTACTGCTGTAACTGATTATTTTAGAAATCGATTATTCTTTGTGATTGATCTTTTTTTTTTATCACCATGTGCTACAATTTTTATTTAACCACTTAAGCCCTTTTTTTATACTAACTGACTAATATTAGAAATGCATTGAAAGATTCAAACAACTCAATTCCTTTTGCAAGCAAGAAAAATACATAGCATTCATCTGAATGCTTTAACTAGACCACTTGAGGAGTTTAGGGTAAAATATACTTGCAGACAGACATGTTTGTATCTTAAATAAAAAATGTGTGTTTTAATTTTGTAGAGTTTTGGCTTAATTGCTGCTCTGACTATGATGTTCTCTCAACAAACTCTGTTTTTGAGCTCACCAGTTACCGATTAATCAATTACTAAACGACTGACAACAGATTCATCGCCATTCATTAGATTAATCCTTTCACCCCTAAATAAACCTGAATAACTTTACATTAATAATAATAGTACAAAACAAAATGAATTGAGGTCAATACCGACTCTCCAAGAACATAAAGACTTGCTCTCTATTCTGGTAAGAAAAAGAACAATGTGCTTTCTAGCCAGAATCTGTCCTACTTGACAAGAAATCAAGTGCAGAATTCATTAGAAGTCTTCGTAAGTCTCTGCTACTGCAGCACACACACTTCAAAAGTCAAAAAAAAATATATATATATATGCACAAGGAGCAAGAAGCCCAAAACCAGGACTGGATGACTATTTTGTTCTTGCAGCCAATGGGAGAAGAAATGTCTCTGTTCTTCTGAAGCATATGTTGATCTGTACTGCTGCAACAAAAGCTCTATACGGAAAAACAGATGTTACGGTAATCAGTCCTCGTTTACAACTGCAACATGTGTGGGTCCATTTTGGCCTTACTCACAGGTACTGCTCTGCATGAATTAATCTGCCTCTAAAAAGGAGAGACGGTTTAAAACACCAGTCTCTGTTGGCACACGGCTAATTTAAACGAATGGGTAAATAACATGCTTCTGCAGGAATTGATGGCGCCCTGTGGAGGTAATGCACTCGTTACATTCTGCTGTCCTGGAGCACAAACACACGTCTGTGAAGGACGGTGGGCCATCATCATCATCGTCACTACTACTGCTGTTTTTTCATTTTTGGTAAATAATCTGTTATCGGTTATTAAAACCTCTGTAAAACTTATATTCAGTCATCTGAGAAGTTTGTATCTCGTAGGAAACGAGACATGAATCTCTCAGAAAATAACACCCGTCAGAAATTCATACTAATATCTAAACATTTCCAAATGGTTCTCAAACACACAGCAGTCAAATCGTTACAGTTGCTGACGAGGTTTTTTTCATGTTTCAGCTGCTCTTCTTCCAAGCATTTGTCTTTGGTTATGAGATGCAATTCCACGACTGGAAGGCTAAATCTAGTTTTGACTTTCTCCACAGATTCTCTGTGGGATTCCGCTCAGATTCCAGTAAGAGAAACCAAATTAATGATTGCTTTCAAACCTAAATCTAATAGGAGTATGAATAACTTTGGGCTGAACCGCAACCTCATAACATAAGGATGTATAAAAAAAATAACTTCTCGCATCAAAAAAGTGTTTCCACAAGGAGTATTCCAGTCAGGGAGCTCAATAAAGTCTTGCTCAACTTTTAAATTGTTTTTAATCTCTTATCGTGGCTGCCAATAAGACACTTCTGGGTGATTTATATCAGTTCGGAGAGCAAAACAGAACATTGGACTTCACCCTGCGCCTGTTTGGAAATGCGAAAGATAAAGAAACCATTCCGCGTTGCAGCTAAGGTAAAATTTGTTTGGATTCTAATATGATATTTAACTAACCCAGTGAAAGCGGCAAAAAAAGAAAAAAGGCTGAATATATTCATGGAATGTGTTGAAATATTCCCTCAGATGTTTACGAACACAGAACATGTCATACTAAATGAACACTCATTTTTCATGGTTTTTTTTTTTTTTTTTTCAGTGACCACAAGGTTTATTTTTGTGTGTGTGTGTTGTTTGAGTCCATTGCTCACTTGGCATCAGTGAGCAGCGACAGTGCATGTGGGATTATGGGAGTCCTGCGGAATGATCTGCAGAGCAGCACCGAAGTAATGAGAACATAAATCACGGCCAGAACTGCATGCCGACACGCCGATCCACAAGAGACCGCTTCATGAATGCTAGGCAGTAAACTAACAAAATTACAAATGCTCACTTTACAAGGAAAAAAAAAAAAAAAAAAAAACCCACAGCATCGTGGGGGTGGAAAAATGTCATCAACGGTTATTATTTAATAAATGCGCTTTTTTTTTTTCTGCTGTCAACTTACAGTGAAAGTAAAGCGAAGTCTTCCTGCTCACCCTCTCTGTCCTGTTGTTTTATTCAGTGACACATACATGATGACATACACTGTAAGATGAGATAATGCCCACACACACACACACACACGCACACGCACACACACACGCACACACTCATACCTGTCCAGCAGTTGCGTCACCTCCTCATAATTCTGGATTACCCTGGCTCCTTCCACAGAGTCCAAGCACCTGATGAAAGTTTACAATAAAGTTCATGTCGATTTTATTACGTCACTTTTTTTAAGAGGCTTTTAAAAGCAGTGACTTCATTCTGAGACCCTCAGAAAAGAGGAAAAACATCAAGTTTGATTTGTTTTTGTTTTGTTTTTTGTTGTTTTTCTTTCATCTTTGTTGAAAACATGAGGAGCAGCTCACGAGGGGATGAAGTGCCTCAGTTTGGAGAAGGGGACCCGGATGCGCTGTTGTAGCTCGTCAGCCCATCTCAACCCTCCAGCGACCTCCGGCATGTTCTTATTGGTTGGTGCTGAGCCTGAGGAGGACAAACATTGCACAGAATTACACCGATATGGAGTGTTCATGCAATATGTGGCGAATAAATATTAGCTAAAAATGTCCTGGTCTTCAAAATGTTGCTTAATGTTCTTCTAAGCCGTGATATCCTTCTGATATGTCTGTGTAAATATGTTAAATAAGTTCTAGACAGATTTTTTGGGTAACCCTAAATCTGATTGGTTCTAACACAGAAGGCAGGGGGGAAAAAAGATCATTTGAAATAATTGGCAATACATCTTTCCATCATTGCTGACTCCGGTCCACTCTTTTGTTTTCTTATCGCAACATCTCTGTTTTTGTTTTTAGCTAAATATATCGCCCACCTGTCTGAGGAAAGGGTCCCTGTCAGGTTGAGAGAGACATCTAACAGTGGCAGAAACTCTTCCATGTAAAAGCAGCCAAAACTCCAGATGAAGAAATCTGTTTCAAATTAGTATTTTTGTCAAGTTTCTTCACAGTCCAACTTTCATTTCACACTACCTGACTGACTAAACTTCCTTCCTCAGATTACGAGAGGCGCCGCCTTCCTCTTTAGACGGCATGACTGTTCTTTTGGGAAGCAAGCAGAACGACCTGAATGTGGCGAATGAGAATTATTTCTACGCAGTCAAGCACTCCGGTCACATGGCGTGATACAGGAGAGGCTTTGAAATGTGATTTGACAACGGGGGTGTGCTGCGTTTAGGACTTGTGAAGTCAGCAAGTTTCCAATGATTGTGTTCTTCTAAATTAATAAGTTTTGATATCAAGACTATTCAAAGTTTCACAAATTTCAGGGTGTCCTTGAAGCATTCTAATGGACGTCACTGTTCACTGAGTACAAAATTATTTCCTTAACTATTATTCAGCTTTTTTTCCCCTTTCTTTCTGATGGAGGCTTGTAAGGAAGTTTCATCAAAGACGCCCTTCCTATTCAAACATAAAAAGCCAGCTCACCAAAACACACACATTGCTCCGAAGCATAAAGTAAGGCTTTGAATCTTTTCCTAAGCCTGATCTCACAAACTGAGCTAATATTACAGATATCGCTTTCAATCTCACCCAGCTCCTTTACAGCTTTCATCTGTTTGTTGTAAAGATGTTTACAGGAGTCTAGCTCTTTGTCAAACATGGACAAAAGGAGGGGATATTTTCCCACTGCGTCAACGGCGATCAGCGGACGCTCCATCAGACCGCCAAACATTTCCAGGACCTGAAAACATCAGAGAAATTCAAAAAAGAAAAAGAGAAATTTAAATGTTCACATAGGCCTGTGCCCACGGATTTTTTTCAAGTAAGGAATGGAGATTGTGCTACCAGACCTTAAAGGTGTGCTCCAGTCCAGAGGCATCATCAAAAGCCTGACAGAAGATTGCCCCTAGGCGGCGATCTGTGTCATCCACCTTCAGCTTAAAGTCCCTCACATCTCCTTCGAATTCCTGCAAGGCAAACTGCTCAGCGGGAACGGTGGCTGCAGCATCACACCGCGGGGCCGATGTAACCCAAAGCCAGCATAGCATATTGCTTTTTACATCTCACCGACTCCCAGAGTTATTCGGCTAAGACTGACTGCTCCTTACAAGCAAAATAAATTGCCTTGTCCAAACGTGAGGAGAGGAAAATCTGCAACTTACTTGGCATTTAAAGTAGAGGGGGGGATTTGGGAGGAACTTGGGGGGGTTGGAGGGCAAGGGGTTTGGCAGGAACACGACTTGTTCCGCAAAAAGCAGAGTGACCAGGCAGCTGTGGCGGTAAGTTATTCTGGAGAAGACCTCACTGTTCTCAAATAAATAAGTTGACCATAGAGTTGCGACGGATACACAACCCTCTAATTTCCCAGTGGGCATTGAAAGAGCACCACAATCCACAGTTGTGATACATACCATGTTGGAACCATCCAAGCAGTCATACGGCTTTCCTGTGAAGACCCTGTAGGAGTCCAGGAACTCTTGATAGAGCGACTGGATCTGAAGGCTAAGAGCTCTTCCTCGGACACCTCCAATCTCCAGTTTCTCGAGCTTCATCAGGTCCAAATACGTTGACAGGATGTCCTGTGATGAAACAACACAGGGAAGCACATCACAATCAAACACAACTTTAGGATCTCATTCGTCGAGTTAGTTCCCGAAATAAGGTTTTGCTGCTTTTTCATCTTTGAATGCCCTCCCATGTTTACCTTTATATTTTCCAGTGTGCTGATAAATTGATCCAACCTTGAGAAAACCAGCTTTGGGGGAAAATCCCAAGGCCTAACCATGATCCCATTCTTCTGGTACTTCCTCAGGTTGGCCCTGTGGTTCTCATAGGTGCTTCTGAAAAGCTGCAGGACCTCCAGGCTCGTCTGGACCTTCAGAAGACTCTCGGCGGGTTCTCCTGTCAGAACCTCCTCTGGAACCAGATACACCCTGGCCTGATTGTTGGAGATCAATAACATGTTAGCTTGGCTTTGTTAGGTTTGTGATCTACAGTACATTTGAGACGAGCGTTTTGTTGTAACGAAGTGAGGCGAAGTGAACGTCTGAGGCAGCGCATTAACGTTAGCACAAGGTGCACTGACTCTGCTAAAATAAGCTTTTTGGCTATTATTTCATAGCTAAAATGATTAGCATTTAGGCTAACATTAGCATTTGGGGTCATTTTACCTTATACACTATTTTTAACATACTTAATAGAGTACATTCATTTTACTCAACATGCTTGTGACCCTCCACATGTTGTTGAGTGCTTTGTACCTTATTTTAGCTCATTTTTAGCATCAAAATGCTGAATTCCAACCGACAGACACACTTTGGTCGGCCCCATTTAAATTCCTCAAGACATTTCCTAGTTTTAAGTGCTGTTGTAATTGAATTACTGAATTAACTGAACTGAATTACTGTAGTTCGATGTGAACTACGAATGCACACATGATGTTCTACCTGTGCCTGTGAAATAATGTCACACAACTAAGGCAGCCAGCAGCTCCAGGTGCCACACAAGGTGCTCTTTTTTTTTTTTTTCTCACCCACCTGCCACCCAAAGTGTTTGTGCACGTCACTGATCGTCAAACCACATGAGGCTCGACATTGACAATCATGGAGGTTTCGTAACATTTTTTTTGTTGTTTTTTTTAGATTTAAAATGAAACCGCATTTTCCAGAGAGGACTGCCTGAGATTAAGCGCAATCTGACAGCGTTCAAATCCGTTGACCCGATCGTTGAGTTTAGATGAGTGGATCCCAAAAGCAACCGCAATGCTTCTTCATGTAAAAACTCTTGTCAGCAGCGAGACCGAGCTCAGAACTTCCTGCGACAGCAAACTCTTTGGCATTTGGAGAGCAGAGGGTTGAAACAAATCTTCAGCTGTTTGAGCCGTGGCGTCTCATGGCAGACTGTGGAAACCTTCTGCTCTATCAGATGAAAAGGATTACAGATCTGAGATGAAATGCTCACATCTAACTGCAGGGTTTCCTGCAAAGAAAGCAGGAAAAGTGTTTTGTTTTTTTGTTTCCTGCAGGAATGCCACAACTGATAAAAACGTTGACGGAAAGCAAATGAGCTGGTTTGCGAAAGTCTTTGCACATTTTCACATATTTCCTTCCTGTTCAGTAGCACAGTTCAGTATATTCTATTGGGTGTTTATGTGACAAGTATTGAGTAATAATCATAGTAAAATGATACATGATGTTCATTTTATAGTAAACTCAAGTCTAAACTTTTTCCAGGTCTTTATAACTGCTTATAACTATGTTTTTAATAGTTCAAATATCAAATATTTGAAGTAAAATCGATGCAAAAAAAAAAAATCATGAACAGGTGACTTTTTCATAAATAATTTGGAGGCACTCCTGACAGAAAAATAAACCAACAGATGAAAGCCGATAAAGCAAAAACTCAAAATTTGGTCTCGTCTGACCTTATTTTCCATAATGTTTGCCGTTGGCCATAGATTAAAATAAGATCCCCCCCGAAGCCCAAATTTGTGGACTACATGGCTGACAGTTGTCCTGCGGACGGGTTCATCCCACCGCTCTGTGTTTTTCTGGGTGAAATCCCACTAAAACACTTTGGCCTTTAAGTTGAGAAAGTGTGGAAAATATACAAGGCTGTGAATAATTTTGCCTGGCACTGCATAAGTCTCTACCTGGCTGATTTGTTACTTTTCATCGTATTTATTCTTATTATTTTATTGCGATCATAATGCTGTTGTTGTTCAGTGGAGCTCCATGTCAAAACCCAGATGTAATGCATTTATCAGTTCACTTTATATTCTGCTGCTCATGGGGTAAACATAGCCTCCGGGATGAATAATGCAAATATTTCAAACTGACACAATAAACAGGGAGTTTCTTTCTTTTTTTTTTTTTAATGCATCGGAACACCGGCTGTTTTCTAAACTCAAACCTCTGTGTTCGCTGTGCTTATTTTCCATAGGAAATAAATCAACCTGCAGCTCAGTTCTGCCCTGGGCCTGCTGAGCTTTTTCATCCCCCTGTCCCCCTGTCTTGCCCTGGTGACTGACAGGACCTTCGTCTGAGAGGTTTCTGATTTCTGAAGATTATTATTCGCTCGCTCCCCTTCTCCAAAAAAAACAAAAAACAAAAACCGTAGAATGCACTTCCTATGGAACAGTGGAAGGTCTCACAATGAAGACGAAGCACAAAAAAAACAATTTCCCCGAATCATATTACATTTTCAATGAGAAGCACAAAATCTTACCCAGAATCCTGTGTTCTTAAAAAAAAAAAAAATCAATAATGAGAGAATCTGGGCCAACCTGCTGTATGAGGAGGTTGCAGGTCTCCTGCAGCAGGACAACGAGGCGTCCTGGTGTGTTGTAGTGTCTGGAGTTGGCCCACACCAGGCACACCGTGTGCATGAAAGCTTTAATTTGACCTTTGACACCAGGGAGCTCCATGTTTTCCAGTTCCTCAAACAGACGCTGCAGGGGCGTCAGGTAGATGCAAATGTCCTGGGCTTCCTCCAGAGCTGCCAAGAGATAATGATCCGTTTGTTTTACTTATTGCTTGTAAAATAGATGAATAAACGTCTCGCCGCAGACGAAGCAACGACCTCACCTGCAAGGACGTCTCGCTGCATGTTAACAAGAGCAGGATAATAGCTGCTCTCCACAGCCTCCATCAACACCTCCATCTTTTTCACTTTGCAGGAGGTCAGCTGAGAGTGGATGTTCTCCAAATCTGCATATCTTACAGGTGGAGAAAAAAATTAAATGTTTCAGTCAAATCTTCACAAATTCCCAGATTCACACTGGGAGTCCCAGGGTTCCCCCTCAAGAACTTTTAGGACAGGCACTCACTTTGAAAGTCCTGTTCTCGTATTTTCTTTAGTTGACGGGAAACCACAGAATGACTCATATTTCTTCATGTCCATCACATGCAATCCCAATAAATATGTGTTAAAGCGTTCAGCTTCCATGCATCACAAATCTGGAGGAAACTTCCAGCAAACTGCAGAACAGCTGAAACACCGAGTGCCTTTAAATCTAGACTAAAAACACGCTTGTTTAAAGTTTCTTTTCAAAAGATTAACTGGCACTTATCGAAAGGTTTCATTTGTTCACTGTGCGTTCTATGACTTTGTATTCTTATGTTACGATGACGTAAAGCACTTTGACATGCCTTGTTGCTGAAATGTGCTGCAGATACATTTTTGATTGATTGACTAATAAAGTTTGTTGTTGTAACTTGTCACATTTTTAGTACTTTTACCAAGCCCTGGTAAATATGGAATTTTTTTTTTGTGTCATGATTAACATAAATCTCCAATTTGCTTCGCCTGCTGAAATGGAGAAATCAAGCAAAAAAAAACCCACAGCAACATGATTCTATCTCATTGATGAATTGATGGATTCATTTTTGAATGACAGTCAAAAAGAATCATTTGAAGCACCGGAACAAAACTAAGTTCTCTTTGGGATCCGTCAGAAAGCAGATGGAACGTCAAACTATGTCCCTTTTTTTTATTTCCAGGTTTCTCATCCGGTCGTGTAACAGTTAGCTGCAGTTCATTGCTGCAAGATCTAACACCTGAGGTGCAGTTTGCTGTAATTTAGCAATAATTCTGCTATGAAAGCAGATTTCCTACAATAGGAGAAACGAACGGAGCACTGGGCCAAAAATTTCCATTTTTCACTCCACTGCACAGATGTTCTGGAACCTGACGGTGCAGCAGCAAGAGCTGATGAAATAATTCGGCGTCGAACCAGCGGGGACGGGGACGGAGATGGACTCCGGCAGCCAGAGGCGGCGCTTTACCAAAAAGCAGCCGGCGGCTCCAGTGGCCCTGTGAAGCGTGGAGGTGCTGACCTGTTGTTCCAGAAGAGCAGCTCGGTGTGAGGCGTGGGGTGTTGTCCTCCCAGCACGGCCTCGGAGGAGTCTTTCTTGAGGACGGCGCCGATCTGATGGCTCCACTCGATCACCGCGGACTCCAAAGGGTGGATGACGCTCCTGTCCGCTGTCGCCTCGCTGACGTGTGAACACGGTGAAACGGTGAAGGACGAACGACGGCTCGATAACGACGCCGAGAGTCGGCGCTCCTGTCTTACCTTTGCTCTGCCTCCAGGGCAAGTTGTTCCACTTTCTCGAAGCCCTCTGGGAGAGGAAGCAGGGTCTTGCCTTGGACTTGGCCAGACAAGACCAGCACGTCGGTTTTGAGAGATTGGACATGGCGCTCAACGTCCTGAGACACAACGTGGGGCCATTCAATGTGGTTCTGCCTGTTGGTCAGCAGTGGAGCGACAACCTAAACAGGTGTTGGGAAAAAGAAGTCTTTGTGTAAAAAACATACTGACAATCAATCTCTTGCCCTCAAACATTTTCATAACTGGAGGCAACATAGTTACTTGATCGTATATTTAAATGACTGGAAAATACATCCTACCGCCCCTTTAATTACGACCATCCAACCACGTAGAGGTGAAGAGCTTAAACGGTTTGACATAAAGGCAACTTTAACCATGACTTTGACTAGGCCATTGTGAAAAGGCTTGAAAGAACAGTGCACCAAATTTACATACTGGTGCATCTCAATAAATATGAACATGATTAAAAAGTTTATTTATATCACTAACTTGACGTGAAGCACGATTCAACTTCCTGTGCCTTTTTCAATACTTTTAAGTACTTTACATTCAGAAGTTCCTGCTTTTCCAGAGCAGTCGAACAATGTGCCTCTACTTTAAGTGAAACAAATCCCCCTGCTTTCTAATTGCCTTGGTGTGAAGCTGATAAATCTTGAGTAAATATACCTGAGAATCATCTATCTGTGTAATGGCACACCTTCGTAATCAGAGATCCAGCCTCAAAGTGGATGAGCAGAAATCCATCTGCTTATCCTGAGCCTGGTGTAATCATTACTGCATTCTGCTCTGCTGCTCACTTACCTCCCCAACTAGAGCAGAAAACTGGTCCAGTGGAGCGGAAGACAGGTCTCCGTAGACCAATCTGTCTTTGATGGACTCCGGACTCAGCGCGGCTTTGTCTCTTTTCATAAAGTACACTGCCTTGTTTTTACGACTGCCGGCGAACGAGGTTGCGGCCTCCAGCAGTCCGGCTGCGCTCACGGACACCATCAGAGTCCTCTGCTCGGCCGCGTCCAGGAAGTCCAGCAGCGCCCGCCTGCTGTCCTCGTCGGACGCACATTTTTCCCATCTGTCCGGCCTCACTTTGAGAGTTCTCAGCACACAGTCGGCTATGAAATCCAGCCTTTTGTCTTCGGCGGCCGGTGACTCCTCCATGTCGGCGGATTTCTCTGCTGTCCTCTGGGGTGGGCCCCCATGAGTGTTTTGAACTGATTTGTGTCTCTGCCTCCATGGCAACGATGTGTTTGCATTAACCGGGCCGTTGCTTAGGGGACACTTCTGACCCCAGACCTGACCCCGGGACAAGGACACCCGTCCTGCTGACAGGAATCCTGAATGACAGCCATTGTTCTTTGTCAGGCCTTTATTGGTAGTGAGACGGAAAGTTGCAATCACAGCTTGGCCCTCTGAAGAAGAACACTTAAGGTGATAAAGGGTCTCTATGTAAACACTGGGGCACTGTGAGAGGTGAGGAGAAGTTTAAGCCCCTCGTGTTTCGCTTACACTCAGAACTGTTAAAAACTACCTCACAATATTCTGAAATACAAATGTTTCCGAATAATCTTTAAAAGCGCTCCTACCAGTTTAGCATATTTACAGACGTCTTTGACATTTCTTCGTTTTTTTTTTTACGTTTCGCCACAGACTGCTAATTGGATTCATGTCTGGGCTTTGGCTAGGCCATCGTAAATGACATTCATTTCATTCGATGAGATGAACGTTCCTGTATTACAAGAAATTTCCCAAAATCTCCTGAAAGTTGAGAAACATGTCAGGATTGCCGTTTCATTCCCCTTCAAGAAGGTTGAGCAGGTTTATTTTTATGTTGCCGTTTCATAAACGTTTTGGTGACTTTATACACTTTTAACTAAGACTTAATAGTGCAAAATATAGGAATGCGCAAATAAAATAATAATAAGAAAAAATAAAAGCTAATTGTTCTCATTGGTTTTATTTGTTTTACTTACTTTTTTTTGTTAACAGCTAAAACAGACCGTGATTTTTTAAATTAGTAGACAGGAAACAGACAAAGCACACTTCCCTTGAGACCACAAAATTAAAAAAAAGGCGATAAGTCAGAAGGTACTTTTAAGGAGACTGGAGCCAAATGCGATGGGCTCTGATGGGTAAAATATGAGTTTGGTTTTATTTTGTTCCTTTACAGATTATGGTTATTTCCATTAGGGATGAAGGTCTGCACACTCTTTGGAGATGTTTAATACATAACATTTTGTAGTAGAATCACATCCAGCACATATTAGCATCTTAACTGGAAATGTTTTGGAGGGTTTTTTCATTTTGTAAAAAAAAACCAAATAAATAAATAATAAAAAAAAAAAAAAAAGGAACGAGGAGAGATTTTTAAAAGCAAGAGCCATAATGGCATAAATTAAAGTTTTTGCTCTTATGCAACTATTCTTTGAATTTGTAACGCACTGACCTCTGACAGTTTTCTATAAATAAACATTAGTTGTTTTGAACCAATGTATTGACTCACTACCTACAGGTATTCTTCCACATACATTCTCTGTCACTGGAAAATGGCGTAAGATAAAAAAAAAAAAAAAGTTTTCTGAGATTATGTGTAGTCTACGTGTTGTCCACTAGATGGCAACAAGTCCAACAAGATGAAAGCTCTCAATTCCTAGGCTAAAATTGAATTATAACAACAAAGCTATCTCAGCCTGTGACAAGAAGTTGAAATATAAAGTTAAAGAGGAATCTTGAGTCCTGGAAGCGCTCGGTCTGTGTGGTCCTTTTCACTGAAACGTTACGCAGCTGTTTGATTTCAATTTGTGGCACCAAACAAAACAAAGCGAAACCAAACAAAAAAAAGGCGCAAGATTGGGTCGGATTATCAGCAAAGATGGCATCAAACAACTGGCTTTGATCCCTTTTGTCTCATGGAGATCCAAATGATAGAGCGGCACCGCCAAGAAGAATGCGTATGTGTTCTTACACTGTGTGTGTGTGTGTGTGTGTGTGTGTGTGTGTGTGTGTGTGTGAATGGAGGTCGTTCAGAACGTCCAGGACCAACTACTGAGGAGGTTCGGCTTCTCGGAATATCTTTGAAGATTAAGATGACAGAGCGAAGAGAACCATCACAGCCAGACTTTCCATTTCACAGTCAAAAGAGTTTGTCTGGTCGCTGATACGATGGAGCTGCTTCCAGCTGGGTGGCTGGATGCGGGAATACATAAACCAGTACTGTTTGCTCAGCCGCAATCTTTAGCTCAACTCAGACAATTAAGGTTCATAAATGGCGGCGAGGACAAACTGGGACGATGTTGTTCAAACGCAGTTTGATGTTGGGGATCAAAGTGGCATCTTGTTGAAGTTAGTTGGAGGCCCGAGTGAAGTCGGTGTCAAACGTAAAAATGTTCCTTTGTGCTGCTGACATTTTGAAGATGTTAAATAAAAAAAGTTTCCAGAGGTCACAGGAGGTCAACCACCCCATCCCACACTTATGATGTCAAATATATTTGGAGTCAGTTGACATTTGAGCTGCTTTTGTTTTCGAGACATTAATGAAAGTTTAAAAGGTCAAAAGTTCAACCGCCCACTGCATTCGTTCACATTACCCAAAGCAAACAAAATTAGTGTTCATTGTTTTTATTTTTATTTTTTTGCCACATACTGACGTTTCACCAACGCTTTCATTATTACACGGAGGACTGAATCGAAGTAAAAATGCCTTTACATTTATGCTCTTAAAGGAAAAGTGTGACTTGGATTATCTGTATCAATTCTACTCAATCCTTTGTTCCCTCCTAAATCTCATCCACATCTATCAGAAAATAAAGTTTGTGGCTGAAATAAAAATATATATCCTCCTCCTTCTTTCTAATTGAAGTTCATAATTTGTCGGGTGTCTTTTATCGTAAAACCTTTACATGAGAAATTCTGTATTAGCTGTTTGAGTTCTCTGCAAACCGTCTGCTCATTGTTTAGTGAGCCAGCAGTTCCCACAGTCACCAGAAGAGGTCAGCAAATGTCCACAAATAATTCAGTTTGAACTGAGGATGCACCTCCGTCACAACACTGATTATATTTGGTGACATCATTTTATTTACATGTTGATTATTGACAATTATCCAAATTCATTACATTTATTAAGAATTTTAATAAATTTTAATAAAAATTCCTTTGAATCTAAATTCAAAGGAATTCAGATTAAATGCCTTTAATCTAAATTAAACTTAAATTTAATGGAAATTCCTAAAAGAATCTTGCTTCAACAAATTGTTGTCTTAAATGTTTCAAGAGTAAATCCAGACTAAATAAAAGTTATTCTGCTTAATTTCATTGCGGTTATTCAACTGGGACAGTGTGCAAAGATCACTGTTCACTTCTCTTATCAACCAACACAGTTTTCTGATCGCCTTATTGTTTCAGACGTGTCTCAGCATTGGTGCAAGAAAAAAACAAAAAAAGGCAGCTGGATAAAAATCAGGAGAAATAACAGCGTTGGTATTCATGGTAATCTTCCCACTGAACCGTCCTCATTCCTCCAAAGTAAAACTAGACTGAGCTCGCTGTCTGGAATGTGATTGAGCATTGGAGGAGGAAACACGCAGAAAAAGTGTGGCTCACTTATGTACTGCCACGCATGTCGGCTTTCTCACACAATATCAACAGCGTGGGACTCTTGTTCCAAGATGTCTGCTTCTGACTCCAGATACACGTGGTGAAGAAACCCTGTTTGACTTTTCCCTTGCTTTTGTTGTTGTTGTTGTTGTTGTTCAATTCTCAGGAAACATCTTGATAGTCAACACGTGAAACCACGTGTTGACAGTCCAAAACGGACACATGAAAAGCAGCTGGTAAATGTAAACCAGTTATGGTTTACATTTTTTGATTTCCTTCAATATCTTCCTTATAGGTTATGTGGTTTGAAAAACAAACAAAGGTCAGTTTGATGTACATTTTGATGGTGTTTGTCTGAGGAATGGACCTAAGGGGCACTGGGCCAGTCATTCAGACTGAACCATGGAGTCCATTACTGCTTAAAGACTCAGGAACATTTTTTTTTTATCTTGGTGAGTAATATAAAAATGTAATCAGAGGCAGCAGAAGTGGGGGGATGTCATGTCTCTGAGATCAAGGTGTGTTGTACGTCTTCTTCAACTATAGTTAGTGCTTCATGTTACAGATTTTCTGTAACTATTTTTTTTAGACCATTTGAAAAGTGACTTGGTTAAAGTTGCTTTCAACCTTTTACAAAAAATTTTAATTGTCCCCCAAAAAATTCTAATAATTGAACTTGGAATGGAAGATATTTAATAATCAGCAATAACAGACAATTGAATAAGTAATAGCAAATGTAAAGACTCTAAAGGTGTGGTATTATGTTTTTTCAAGGCACATAGAGTCATTTTAAAGCACAATCAAGTAACTGTGTTAACTTTGGTAGTTATAAACATGTTATGACCAACATACCATAAAAGAAATGTGACTACGACTCCAAATCATGAAATTGGTTTCTGTCTCTTTAAGAAGCTCCAGCTCTTTCTGACACTGTCTTCAGCATATCACAACAATGCAACTCGATTTTGCTGTTTATAACAGTCTTTTAAGGAGTGTTGGACCGAAAAGTAGTCTGTAGAACCTCCACAGTCCTGCCAGGACTTTTGTTTGGCCTGGTAATCAGCTTTTCATCCTAGTAATGAAGTTCGAACCTCAGACAACGACGCTTCTTGCCTGAAACAGTTCCTATAGCGAAAACACTGAAGATTAGCAAACCGGCTTCAGACGCGCTTACCCATAATGCACACAATCAATAAACGCAGCCTCACTACTTCAGAGGACCGCGCTAACGTAACCCAAAGGATTCACTGCAATAAGAACAGCTTTGTTCCCTCAGAGTTATTAGTGGTTACTGGATGCAGTTCTCTGAATCTTGTTGCCCTTGAGCAAGTAGTGGTTTAATGATCCAAAAAAACATTGCTTATTTAGACCCATTTGTTAATGAGCTTCATTGCAAATATGTAAATGTTTGTTTTTGTTTTGGATGTTTTTGTTATTTTGAGTGCTGAGAGGACAAATACTTAAAAGCCAGGGGAATTTTTCTCACACTCCAAACGTTATCGCATGACACAGTTTGCAGAAGTGACATGGATATATTCCAGTAAACACATACAGTACACGGCCTCATCAACAAAGCAACAAAAACATATCCAAAAGGAATACATGGAGGGGGGGGAAGAAACTTAATGCTGCTTCTTTTACTTA